ACTTTGTTATAGATGTTATTAGCAGTGGCCCATATTAGATTAACTTAAGAAAGCAATAATTTCCAGTTTCCTGCAGTAGTTTGAGTGGAGAAGACAGAAGGTGTAGAAAGCAGAGAATTACTGTACTTGCAGTGAGAGTCTGTAGGAGAGAATCAACAGATTTGAAAAGCATAGATCATCTGAGATTTAGATCCTCCCATTCTCCCCCCCCAATTATCTCACTGTTACTATATAATTATCTCCCACTCTTTCTCTCTCTCTCTCCCTTCTCCGACTCTTCTTCTCTCTCCCCCTCTCTGTCTCTGGTATGTGGGCAGTCAGTCGGCTCTCTGATGCGAGGACAAAGCCTGGGTTGTCCTGCTGCTGTGTTCTGAGGACAGGACAGGCTCTGGGTCAGTTTCATGGAATACCCGCAAAGCGAATTTGTGTGTGTGTGTGTGTGTGTGTGCTGCCCTCAAAGCAAAGGGCAGAAGTACAGTCTATCCCTCAGTCTCTCCCACTCTGACTCATAGTGAGAGTGAGTCACAACACCGGAGCACACAGAGACCAGTTATGATTGACAAGGAGTCAGAACATGGCACTTTGAACAACACACTGATCTTTCCTTCATTTGATGTTTCAACTTGTCTGCTTATGCCCTGTCCATAGAGGCAAAGAATGCCAAAGGGGGATTGTGTTCTATTAATGGGTATCTCTCGCAACCTCTCTTTCTCTTGCCCAATTACCAGTTGACCCCTAGGCTAACCCCTACGCCCATATGCACTTGTGTGGATCTGAGTGTATAAGAAATATGTTAATAGTGCCTACAAGGGGTCAGGGCTATAGGGGTCGATTTTTGAATGAGGCGACAGTCTGTCTATGGTCCCAGCTCAGGCCTTGAGGTCACCACTGTGGTGGAAAAACCACTCAGAAGGCAGTCTGATCTCAATATACAAAAGCTTTATTTGAACATGCATGGGAGAACCAATTCAACTCCCTCTTTGTACTCACAGACATTTTATACCAACCGAGGATGGGTGGGGTGTTTCACATGCCCTTCGAATGAGTCTGGTACTTCTGCTTATCACCACAGACAGTAGGCCCAGAGAAAGATAAATCATACCAAGGACATGTCCACTACCCCACTGGGCACACACTGGTTGAATCAACATTGTTTCCATGTCATTTCAATTAAATTACGTTGAACCAACATGGAATAGACGTTGAAATGACGTCTGTGCTTAGTGGGTATGGTCTGTAACTGTAGCTGATCAGTAGTGATGGATCAGAAGTGGTTAACCACTGAGATCCAATAAATTACATTGAGTTCTAAGATATACACTGAGTATACAAAATATTAATAACACATGCTCTTTCCATGACATAGACTGACCAGGTGAATCCAGGTGAAAACTATGATCCCTTATTGATGTAACTTGTTAAATCCACTTCAATCAGTGTAGATGAAGGGGAGGAGACTGGTTAAGCCTTGAGACAATTGAGACATGGATTGTGTATGTGTGCCATTCAGAGGGTGAATGGGCAAGACAAAATATTTCAGTGCCTTTGAACAGGGTATGATAGTGGGTGCCAGGCGCAACGGTTTGTGTCAAGAACTGCAATGCTGCTGGGTTTTTCACGCTCAACAGTTTCCTGTGTGTATCAAGAATGGTCCACCACCCAAAGGACATCCAGCCAACTCAACATAACTGTGGGAAGCATTGGAGTCAACATGGGCCAGCATCCATTGAGAACACTTTGGACACCTTGCAGAGTCCATGCCCCGTCGAATTGAGGCTGTTCTGAGTGCAAAAGGGGGTGCAACTCAATATTAGGAAGGTCTTCCTAATGTTTGGTATACTCAGTTTAATTCTGTGGGGTTAACTGACCACCAGCCTCTCTCCAGCCCTGAGTCAGTGTGAGTCATCATGCCATTGTCTCTAAGTTCTCCTGGCATCACACACCAGGGCCTAGGCCTCGCATCACAAGGAAATAGAATGGGATGTGTGTGTGTGTTTCCTCTCCAAGGAGCCGTGAAGAGCTGGAATGTTTTAGCCAGGTTTGCTGGTGCCAACCTAGTGCCCAAACTGCCCATTTCCCCCTGAACTCTTTTAGTCATCAACTCTATCAGATATCAGTCAAAGTGGACTGATGTCTTTGCCCAGTAGCAAACTTGTGCCATCCATCTGTGTGTCTGGCGGTATTATCTACAGGCAAAACAGCCTGAAGCATCTGCCTCACACTCTCACCATCCTTTCACATAGGTCCATGAGGGTGTGTGTGTGTGTGTGTGCATGTGTGTGTGCTGTGTTATTGACCTGCTGACTCCAGACACACACTTTACATTCAGTATTAGCATACTGGGAATGGAGCCATGGCAACCCTTCCTGGTATGACACCGATTATTCAAATGCTGATGCGACTCTCTGGTGATGAGGCCTTGCAAACAGATGTGGTGTGTGTGAAGAAAATAATCTCACCCTGTATCAGTTGTTAGGACTATATCTTGCCTCTGACTGTGGAATCATACAATTAGAATTTTGTTCTATTAATTCTACAAAGGGACTGTGAGTTATTTATAATGATGGATACCTGGAGGAAATTGGACCTCTCTGAAATGGAAATGGATGGCCCTCCCTTCAGTAAAATATATTTTTACCCAACCCTCCCTGAACGCTTGAAAACAAACAAGTGACCCTCCCCTGTACCCAAAAGAATAATTCAAACAAAGTGGATAGCAGAGAACATGTCTACCATTTACCCTCACTCCTAGGACAGACCAGAGCCTTAAATATGCCTTTTATAAACGCATTTCATGCAGTTCTACATCATTTTACATGACTGGAGACAAGCAGAATCTTTTTTAATATCACAACAGAGCAAGACAAGGAATGAGCGCATGCTGCAGCACCAGAGACACTTTGATTTCTATACAGGCTATTGTTAAAAAAGAGAATAGTCTAAGTTTGTAACAGGGGTAAAGTTGTCTATCAACTGTAACAATTGAGCGCAACAGAACTAGTTACAACTGAAGTATCTGATCATCAATGAATTTGAGAAAAGCAATTAAATGTTTAACACAGGTAGGCCTATATGCACTTTTCATTTGTGAAACTATCATTTTAATAATAATAATATGCCATTTAGCAGACGCTTTTATCCAAAACGACTTACAGTCATGTGCGCATACATTTTTACGTATGGGTGGTCCCGGGAATCGAACCCACTACCCTGGCGTTACAAGCGCCGTGCTCTACCAGCTGAGCTACAGAGGAAAATTATTATATTTTATTCCATGATATTGTTGTTACAAAACAGATTTGTGTTGACTGTGATTAGGGCATGGGATTATAAGAGCATCTGCTAGGATAAATTAACAAACTAGGCATGCATAGCTCACCGCATGATCCTCAAACCAAAGACTGGCCAAACTCCTGTTTCTAAAAGTGAATTCAAAGGCACTGTATGACTGTATAGTCTAATAAGGCATTTTCCATTTAATTATTATTGAATTCCAAGTAATTATTATTTTTAAATTGTATTTTATTCACCCTAAATGCGAAATGTATAGACATGTTGTTGAAATGCTGTTGTTGATGGGTTGTTGTTGATGTGTTGTTGAAATGCTGAGCGCTCCTGCCATCCTGTAGCATGTCACAAATGATTCACAATGTATTTTTTAAATGGCAGGCTATAGCCTTGAAATAATTATAATATAGGCTAAATAATTCATTTTTTTCCTTCTTAGGCTACCTGGCTTGCTCCTGACTGATTTAGAGTTAGTATGTTGTTTAATAGCTTGTTGAAATGTTAAATAGTGAAAGAATCACACATTACTTCCCAAGCAAAGTCATGTTTTTGTCTCCTCGGCTATAGGTTGTAGCACAGCCTCTGAATGTCATAGTGACAAACCAAAGATTTCCCATATGCATCAGAGTCCTGCAGAGTTCCCCTGCATTTTACAGCTTGTTTCTAGCATAAAGCATTGCGGACTAAAGCGTTGTTATAGATCGCTTTATATAACCATTTTAAAAAATCTAAATCTTAAGCTAACAAGGGGTAGGCCTATGCTTTTAGCCATTTTCTTTAACAAAAGCCACAATTCCCTCACATATCCCCTCAATTAGAGCCCTGGTTTTAACTTAACACACCAAGCCCTTTACTAACACTGAGATATTTAAGGAGTGCATGGTGACTGATGGAATTGGCTGACAAAATCTATCGATAGTAGACTGTAATTTAGTCTGTCAAACAGGTAAGCCTACCTACCTCCTATTTCTTGAATAGGAAGAAATAGGCTCCAACACAAAGCCCTCTTGTTGTTAATAGCCTTAAGTCAAATTAAAATGAAGACTGTTTAAATGAATTAGGCCTTCTCGAATTATCCTACTTTCAGCACCCATGCGCTGTCCATCTCCGCGGCTGCCGCTTTATAGTCATGTAAGTTATGTAAATTACTTGAATATGGCTTATTATCATTAACTCTGATAAATAGCTTCATTATGGGGAACGAAACATATCGTTTTTATTAAAATCAATTATTGCAGTAGCAAGCTTACCACCAGACCTCCTCTTCACTCTCTCTCGCCACTGAACGGGACATAAAAAATATATATTTTCAGAAGAAGCCTTTGACTCGCTCCCTGAAGTGCCACCATACACAGCACAGCACAGCACTTTTTAGGCAGCACAAAAGGGTTTACATAAGCAAGAGCAGGGCAGGCCAGGGCTCATGATTGGGACAGCCTATCCATTGCAGTGTGTAATGCTGTGTAGCTTAGTTTTATATACACCATCCCAGCAGCGCAAAAATATAACTTTGCCCTGTGCTTCTCCTATAATTGCTCTTAGTATAGCCTAGGCCTATACAAATACTAAACCCTCCCCTGACTGAAATGTTCAAAGCATGACCCTCCTCCATTTTCCTCTGGGTAACAATTGTGTACATTTCGACCACTCCCTAACTACAATTGTATAGCTTCTTTCTCACCTTGAAAGTAGGTTAGCTTCTTCTGTATGTTCTTATGTAGGTAAGATAACATATATGGAGGGAGGGAGAGTGGAGATGTAGGATGGGCGCGGCACAAGCTTCAAGTGGGCAACATCCTACCCAAAGCCCGAGATAGCCAGCATAAAGTCAGACATCACTTCACTCGTGCGTGAGTTCTATACCACGGACAAACAGGCTGAGTTCCCTGGAGAAATAACTGTGTTCATTTTCAGTCACACAGAATTAAACCCTTTTCGCCGCAATGGGGGTGAGATTGATACAATTCATCTCATATCTTTCGCTTATCTTTACCCTGGAATGGACGCATATATCGGCTTTCAACCTGGACACAGAAAACGTTATTGAAAAGAAAGGAGAGCCCGGGAGCCTTTTCGGCTTCTCTCTCGCTATGCATTGGCAGTTAAATCCGTTGGAAAAAAGAATGTAAGTGTCCCTATTTTTTATTTGTATTTATTTTACGGTTTCAGTTGCGGAGTTCCTCGCTTAACAGGTTAACAGGCTACTATAGGCTATACTTCAAAGGCTCGCAGGTTCTTCGCAAAAGTTTCTTGGCCCAACATCATTCTTACATTTATTCGGGAAACATTTTAACGAGTTTATTAACTCCGATTTCGGTTGTTTTCATCGTCTAAATTTCGTTAACGTTTCAAATCTGCATGTTTTTGTAACCGGTTAATTATTGGTGAGTTTTACTGCTTTACTGCCATTTGCAGGCTCGTGCCTATTCGTGCGCGCCTCCAATCTCATTATAGGTCATGCATTTGGCAAAAGAAAGTCACATGATTCCAAACCACTTACTCTGCTCTACAGATTTATACTAGAAATGTCCTTTGGGGAGTTTTCACTTGGCCACAGATCTAGTTAGGATAATTGAGTTATTGTACTCAATATCCTATTATTATTATTATTATTAGCCCTTGTGTCATGTGCACCTTATGCTGTGAGGCCTCAAAAATACAGTAAAGCAGCCTATACTGTAGATGGTGAATGTCATTTGGGTCACATACTGTAAAAGTTAGCCTAGTCCCTAGGCGATGGGCGTGGTAGTAGCAGGGACTGTGCCATTGTGTTAGTCAGGGTCACAGTGACATTAGATGGTGTAAAAGCATATACTGTACATCATTGTCTGAAACCTCAAACCAGCTGAGCCTTAACATTTCCAGACAGTTTAGTTGACTTCTAAGAGAACTGCTTTTCTTAGAACTGATTTTGGCCAAGTGAAAGACATGTTGTGTGCAATTGGCTAACACCCCCAAAGATGTGCCGTCTACCATAGGAAATGACACACTTCTGTAGTCTTACCATTAATCTCATGCCTAATTTCACCCTGCTCATTTTAGCACAGCAGGACTAGACCTCATCTGCCCTCAACAATCTAATTAACTACTGACTTAGGATCAGCTGTCTGCACCTCAGACCCATTTTATACCATCATGTGCTCAATGACTATACTGATTCTAGACCTGCTGTTATGGACAAAGAGTCATTGGAATGGATTTGTGTTTAGAATAGATTCTCCCCTTTTAACGAGGTCTGGAATGTTATGGGTTGAAGTCATTATAGTCTCAGGTCTGTAACTTTCTGTAATGGGGGCATTCTTAGTTATGACCTAAACTTGTCTGAACACACACACACACAATTTGATGTTCCAGTTTTAGACTGTGTCTATATTAGAGGCACCTGTTCATCAGCCCTGTGAACAGTCAGCCGGTAGAGACAGAAACAAACATGTTCTAGTTCAGATTATAGTTGAGATTCCATACCCTGAGATTCCCTCAATGAGTTCTCTCATGTAGAAAACCTGACTGAAGTTTATATAGTGATCAAAAATGGAAGTTGAACTGAATCCATATACCTTTCAGGGACACACTCTCACAGCCTGTTTCTGTTCCATATGCCCTCAGGACATGTCTCTCATAAACACTGAATCAGCAGGTCTCAGCCTCTTCCCCAAATCCTAACCTCCATTATGGGTAAAATGCTGGCCTTAGATATCAGTGCATGCATGAACAGCCAAGTGATAGTGTGTTTTTGTGTGAGTGTGTGTGTGTTTGTGCAGACGTGTTTAACTATACTTGTGGGGACCAGAAGTCCCCACAAGAATAGTAAACAAACAAAAATTGGACCAACTGGGGACATTTTGTTAGTCCCCACAAGGTCAAATGCTATTTCTAGGGGGTTTAGGGTTAAGGTTAGAATTAGTGTTAGGGTTAGAATTACACACTAGACCTTTAGGTTTAGGGTTAGGAGTTAGGGTTAGTTTTAGGGTTAGGGTTAGGAGCTAGGGTTGGTTAGGTTTAGGGTTAGGGTTAGGGGTTGGGACTGGATTTTGAATGGGACTGAAGCTTGTGTCCCCACAAGGTAAGCTGTACAAGACTGTGTGTGTATGTGCATTTGTACAGTGTAGCAGAGTATGTGTGTGCCTATTCAGCAGTGAGAGATGTCTGTGTGTGTGTGGTGTTAAAGTGGTGACTGATATATAGAAGGCAATGAGGCATTCTTGGTCTTTTGTAACTGTGTCCGTGTGAGTCGGCACATTGTTGGCTGGTAACAAACTGTATGCACGCACAAACACACACACACATACTGTGTACACGGAGACACACACACACACACACAGGCAGACACACACAAACACACAGACATGCACACACTGCACTGCAGGAGTTGAAATCCACTTCTACTCTGCACAATGTTAACCATTGACTGACCTTAAGTGAGTGGACCCTTCCCCAACGTGTACAGCACCATTTTTATAGTATAGTAAAATCATGTCAGTCAGAGTACAAGACACTAAACTCGGCAGCCATAACATAATCATGATATATACAGTAAATAGTGCTGCAAGAGGCTACACTTCTTAGCTGCCTGCCTCAGCAGATCAGTATTACAGAAATTACTGTCTGTGCTGCTGGGCGTTCGCTTGGGTGTGTGTGTCTGTCTGGGAGTGTGTGTGTTCTCTGTAAGTGTTTCCGGAATCTAGGGTGTGTGTGAAAGGTGAGTCATACCTCTGTGCCACGCCCGACAGGTGCACCTGTTCTGCCAACCTGAGTCCATGCCTCACAGGTATGTGTTTGTGTGCTTGTTTTTTAGATACCTGCAGATGGAGGGATCTGTTTGGCACGGGTCTGTGAGGGCAGGTGTGTCTGATTGTGTGTGTGTGTGTGTGTACATGCTGAAGAGCAAGGGGATCTGAAGCGCATGTATGCAGAGAGTTGGCACTGCTCTGTATGAGAGAGAAATAAATAAATTGTTACTGAAAGAACAAGAGAAAGAGAGAGGAGGGAAGGAGGGAAAGCTGTGACAAAGAGAGTGAGATAGAAGTTGAGAGAATGTCTTAGTGAAAGCACATGGGAGAGATACAAAGTGTGTGTGTGTGAGAATCCATTCCACCATGTTCTATAGACAGAGTGGGAGCAGCTACTGCACTGTTGCAGCTAGGAACACAAGCATTTCGCTACACCCGCAATAACATCTGCTAAATATGTCCAATACCATTTGATTTGATTTGATTTGAGGTCTAGTGTGTAGAGCTGCGAGGTTCCTATGTGCAACAGTCTTTGATCTGTCAGATCCTAGATAGATAGGATAGTTAGGGTTAGAGTTCAAAGGTTAGTTCAGAGTCCTGGGAAAAAGCACTAAATGAATGAAATCTTTTATTGCTACTGATTTTTTTTACTACGATACATGTACAGTATGTGCAAAAGTTCTGCACACACACACACACACACACACACACACACACACACACACACACACACACACACACACACACACACACACACACACACACACACACACACTGCCCTTTCTCTCCTGCCTGCAGGCTGATCCAGGTTAGCTCAAGTTATCCAACATCAAAGCTGAGGAGTGGTGGAGGGATGTTTGCAGGAATGCTGACAGCATAAATCACCTTTACAGCTGGGCACCAAACACACACAATCCGTCAGTTACTCAACCCCCGCTGTCTGTCTCCCACACAGACCTGGTACTAGGTACCAAATGGAAGAAAACGGACTGAAACAGGGAGGGACTACCCGAACTTGTCCAATAAGAAGCACAAAACGTTTTGTTATGGTGTACACTAATTAATACAACCCTGGGTTTATATCTGTCCTGACAAGGAGCAAAGAGAACTTGGCGTTAAAATGTCAGAGTTCTGGAATTCATTAGGGTTCTGTAAAATGTTCTGGAATCCATTTAGAACTGAAATGTGCTGAACGTTTCATTGAAGTTGATCCATTGTTGCTTGGTAACAAGATGGGGTGGTGCATACATGCAGCGAGCTGTTTACACAGAAGCTGTTCCTCGATTTGGTGTTTCTCTGTTTCTTTCTGCTGTAGGCTGTTTGGCCTCGTTGTGTGTTTGTGTGTGTGTGCTTGAAAAGAGAGAGAATGGCTGTTTCTCTGTTTCTCTTTGCTGTTTTTGTTCACACACACACACACACACACACACACACACAACTTTATTTTTGGGGGAGTAAAAATGTTTGACCATTAAAAAGTCCTATTTCCCCTAACCCTATCCCTAACCCTTAACCTAACCCTAACACACACACGCACGCACACGCACACCACAGACTGAATGTTTGTCTTTGTCCTTCCTGTGGATTTGATTCTCTACTGTTACTTCCTCTACATGTGGTGAATGATTGGAAAAGCAGCTGTGTTGTTAGCCATTATCAGTAGAACAATACACCCTCCCTCTCTTCACGCTCCCTGTCTCCCTCTCGCTACCAGTGGCAGGCTACAGAGTAATGGGCTACGCACGCGTTACATTGCACAGACATTAATGAACAATTGAGACCACGTACAATTCAAACATTGTTTCAGATTCCTTTACTGCAGTTACTGTGTATAACTGGGTAATTGCACTCTGTTTATCTATGTAGTTATAAACCATCATGTACAGTGTTGGTGGTTCCTGTTAACTGTCTCCCGTAGTCTGAGGAGTAGGTACATGTTGTTCCTAACCAGTGATGCAGGGTCAGTTCTTTTCTCATCCCCTAATGTTTTAGGTTCGGATTTGAGGAGGGTAATGTGATCCTAGATCTGTGTTAAGTGGCAACGTGTACCTTGAGTGTAGTCTGAACCCAGTGACCACAGGGTTTCCCTAACGACAGTGTTGGCGTGGCTAAAGGGGATACCTCTTCCTTCCGCCTATTCTCCTGACTTCCTGTTAGTGTTAGTGCAGGTGCGTGTACGTGTATGTATGGCAGGGGGCAACACCAAGGATGCTCATTGTTCTCAGATCAGTGTGGGAGCCGTCGTTTAATTACCTGGGCACATTTATTTTCACTCCCTTTTATTCTCTCCCTCCCTCCACTTGCTCTCTCCACTCTGGGACATTTCCATTGAGACCCAGAGGAGTCAACACCCACATGGCTCTCTCCCTCTCTCTTTTTCCTGTCTCTCTCTCCTATCGCTCTCTTTCTCTCTCTTAATGAGTTCATCACATTAAAAGCCCCTTGACCCCAAAATACCTCTGTTCACCCATATAGGTATGAATACGAGTTGTGTTTCAAAACAGGTGGGGTTTTCTTAATCTCATCAAGTACTTAAAGCATAGAAATCAATCTAGTATGGCTACACATTTTACCCTTTGATGAGAGACCCTTGGATGAGAGTTTTTCAAGGTCAAGTTCAAGTGTATTGTGACCCACATAACAATCAATGCAAACTGAACATGACAAATGGCCTATCACAAAAACACAGCATATTTAAAGGTCAAATAAAGGTAAAACAGGCCTGTACTAAAACCATGTGATTTGTACGACAAGGCATTAAGCATTTCTATGCATTTCTATGCATTGAACAAAGCTTCAGTTCATTTCATGACTGATGATTGTCATCAAGAACACACACACACACACACACACACACACACACACACACACACACACACACACACACACACACACACACACACACACACACACACACACACACACACACACACACACACACACACACACACACACAGAGTGCCAGCCTCAGTGATGGGGAACTTTGATATGCTGCTGTGTGGAACCTTGAGTAATGCATCGTGGGTACTGGGGTGTGGTGGCTGTGACCCCTCTCTAAGAGCCCCTCTTGTCTGTGGTTCCATAAAGACATCCAGTGTGTGTGTGTGCGTGCGTGAGTGTGGCCCCTCCCTGGAGTGTGTGTGTGTGTGTATGTGTGTGTCTCCAGTCCACTTTTCCTTTGTGGATGAATGTTATCGCTGAGTCTCAGTTCTGTCCAATCATGAAAGAGCTCTTTGTCTGAGGGGTGCTGGAGAGGGTGGGGGTTGGGGCAGGTCATGGGAACAGCGGTTTGGTTGAGTGCGTGCATGGTGCGTGTGTGTGTGAGACATTCTCTGATGTTCTCTGTTGAAAAGGAGATGTTGTGTGACTCAGAGGGAAAGTGAGAGGAGAGTGGCGAGGGCTGCTGACAGGCCGGTCAAGATTCTCACAGGTGTCAAAGTGTAGGACTCCACATTGGGACAGATCAACTGGCTCACTGACTGTAGCTTCCTCTTATAATGGTTGTGTGGTGGTGGTTTGTATGATGACCTCTTTGTAAAATGTGGGTAGGACAAGGACAGGGAGTGATGTGTGTACCAGTCATGTTGTAAAATTGCTGTCAGTGTTCTCATGTGTGTGTGTGTTTGTGTGTGGTGTGTGTGTGTGTGTTGGTTTCCTGTGTTCAAACATGGCCTTGTGGTGTGTGTTACAGGTTGCTGGTTGGTGCTCCAAGGGCCAAAGCTCTGGGAGGTCAGAAGGCTAAGATCACAGGAGGACTCTACAACTGTGACACCTCTTCCTCTTCCTCCAGCTGTAACCGAGTGCAGTTCGACAACGATGGTGAGCTTACCTCTAAACACATGCACACACATATTTTCTGTCTTCATCTGTCCACACAAGTCCTTATAAGGGAATGGTCTGTTAGCAATCACTAGATATTAAGCATTTGATCAAGATTTGATGATTTTGTGTGTGTAGAGGACTTGAAAACCGAGAGTAAGGAGAACCAGTGGATGGGAGTAACAGTGAACAGCCAGGGACCAGGAGGAAAGATTGTGGTAAGTGTGTGCATGTGCATGTGTATGTGCGTGTGTGCGTGCACATGCGTACGTGCGTTTAAATTATTGACTTGACTGACAGCTTTGCTAACCAATCCCTCTCCTCTCTCTCTCTCCAGACGTGTGCCCACCGCTACCAGCGGCGTCTGTTTGTGAACACGGCCCAGGAGTCTCGTGACATCACAGGGCGGTGTTACGTGCTGAGCCAGGACCTGACCATCGATGCCCTGTCTGATGAGGATGGAGGGAACTGGAGGTTCTGTGAGGGGCGGGCACGTGGGCATGAGAGGTTTGGTTCATGCCAACAGGGTCTGTCTGCCACCTTCACAAGGGACTATCACTACCTGGTATTTGGCGCTCCTGGAGCATACAACTGGAAAGGTAGGTGGAGAGTGAGAGTGTGAGTGTGTATGCCTGAAATCAAACACTTGTCATTTATCTGAAAGGATCAGATTGGTGTCAATAATACGGGAACTCCTACCAGAGGGGTAGATGTACCAGGTTGCATTTATTTTTTTTATTTTTTTATTTAACCTTTATTTAACCAGGTAAGCCAGTTGAGAACAAGTTCTCATTTACAACTGCCACCTGGCCAAGATAAAGCAAAGCAGTGCGATTAAAAAACAACAACAACACAGAGTTACATATGGAATAAACAAAAACGTACAGTCAATAACACAATAGAAAATAGAAAATCTATATACAGTGTGTGCAAATGTAGTAAGTTATGGAGGTAAGGCAATAAATAGGCCATAGTGCAAAATAATTACAATTTAGTATTAACACTGGAGTGATAGATGTGCAAAAGATGATGTGCAAATTGAGATACTGGGGTGCAAATGAGCAAAATAAATAACAATGTAAATAACAATATGGGTATGAGGTAGTTGGGTGGGCTAATTACAGATGGGCTGTGTACAGGGACAGTGATCGGTAAGCTGCTCTAACAACTGATGCTTAAAGTTAATGAGGGAGATAAGTGTCTCCAGCTTCAGAGATTTTTGTAGTTCATACACCCATCTCATCCTTTCAGGTCTGGCTCAGGGGTTAAATGGCAGGGTTAGGGGTCAGGGTAAGGTTAGGGGATAAGGTCAGGGTTAGGCCAAGGTCAGCGTTAGGTAGATTAGATTAGCATAGTCTACATGGCCCCTTCCTCTCTCATCAGCTGATGCTCAAATCTATGAACCACTGTGACCTCTAGTGGTAGCAAAACCACAATGATAAAATGTTTAAATTAGATTAGTGTCATGTCATCTTGTACATTACTTTTCCCCAAAAACAATCATCTCATGAGAATGTTTCATGTATTGTTTTTGTCATGTTTTTAAGTTACCGTTTTTCCATTCATTATTTGTGTTGAGATTTTTGTCCTCATCTTCTCATCTCCATTTTCCCCTTCTTCACTTCCTCACTCCCCATCCCTCATCCCTCCATTTTCCATTCCATCTCTCCAGGTGTGGTGAGAGTAGAGCAGAAGAACAGCACTCTGTTGGAGATGGGTTTCTATGACGACGGGCCCTATGAGGTGGGCGATGAGAACCGGTTAGACCCAGACCTGGTCCCTGTGCCCGCTAACAGTTACTTGGGTAGGTACATCTAAACTCTTTCATCCCTCATTCCTCTCTCTCGCCCTCCTCTATGTGTGTCCAGGTGTGCTCTTCATGACCACTGTGTCCAGCTCATGTGTTGAACAGTTTGTGTACAAGTCACTTCCTCCTCAGATTGCTATGGAGACCGATGTAACGGCCAACAGCTATTTAGGTTTAGGTTTGTAAGACTTCCTGCGTGATGACATCATGCTCTCCACAGCCAATCATATCACTCTGTGCACTAGTTATCATCATGCACAGTGAAACATTGTGCTCGTCATGAGGATCAGCCTGAGCTAGGTGTTATGTAGATGATCAGATCTATAAATCACCTCAACTTCCAACCAACTGGGCTTGAATAGATCCATATTATGGAGAGATCAGTGAATCTGTACAACACCTAGCTTTGGCCGAATGCAGCATATTGATGAGATCATTCATGGTTTGGGAATGTGTTGGTGTGATGCCAAGTCCAGGTGCTGTTTGTTAGTGTTTCTGTTTGATTTGGTACCTTCGTGTTGTGTCATGCATGGTCAGTAAAACATATATATATATATATATATTTTATTTATTTTTTTGTCTAGCTACATCCATAGTCAGTCAGTGTTCCATCTATATCTGTGCAGTGCATCAGACATTTAGTGAAGCACCAGCTCCTCACCTGAAGCATGTCGGTATTTATGTGGCCATAGAGTACATTGACTGATGGATTAATTCATTGATTGAATGATTAATTATGTTTCTCTCATCAGGCTTCTCTCTGGACTCGGGGAAGGCCATCACTAAGAAGGGTCAGCTGACCGTGGTTGCCGGGGCCCCGAGAGCCAATCACAGTGGGGCAGTGGTGTTGCTAAAGAAGGAGTCTGAGGCGTCCACCATGTTGTCACCAGAGTACATCCTGGAAGGGGAGGGGCTAGCCTCATCATTCGGCTACGACCTCGCTGTGGTGGATCTGACTGGAGACGGGTACGTCTCTCTTTTCTCTCATTTTTTCTCCCGATCATCAATGAGGCAAATCTATACACTGCATGACCACCTTTCCATCAAAGGCAGTTTCTTTCCACATGGGAGGATATCATTGTTTGAGCCTCTCTCTGTTTCTCAGTCATTTCTTGCTCCCTTTCTGTCTCCCTGGCTCTAGGTGGCAGGATATTGTGGTGGGAGCCCCTCAGTTTTTTGAGAAGGACGGGGAGGTGGGCGGGGCTATTTACGCCTACATTAACAAGGGTGGAGTCTGGAGTAAGGTCACGCCCACCAGGATAGATGGACCTCAGGACTCCATGTTTGGACTGGCTGTAGAAAACCTGGGAGATCTCAACCTGGATGGCTATCAGGGTAAGGGGCGTGTGTGTGTATGTATTCATATGTCTGTCTTTGCCTTTGTGTGTGTGTAGACAGTGTGTAATCCTGACTCTCTCTCTCTCTGTCAGACATTGCTGTGGGAGCACCCTATTATGATAATGGGGCAGGGAAAGTATACATCTACCACGGCTCAGCTCAGGGCATCAACATCAAACCTGCACAAGTGTTGTCAGGGGTGTCATCGCGGACAAAGTTGTTTGGTTATTCTCTAGCTGGTAACATGGACCTGGACAGGAACTCGTACCCAGACCTGGCTGTAGGATCTCTCTCCGACTCTGTGTTTGTCTACAGGTAACCATGGCAATTAGTAATCTATTAGTAATCTACCCCACAATGTTTTGTTTATACATTTATACATTGCATTTGTTAATACCTATTTTTTTGCCACTTTCTTGACCTTTAAACCTTTGACCCTATGATGTCACTCCAGGACTCGGCCAGTCATTAGCATCCAGAAGGTTGTCAAGACAACGCCAAAGGAGATCGATCTGACTAAGAAGAACTGTGGCAACAGCATCTGGTGAGTGTGCTGTTTAACTGCAGAATATGGAAATGTATCAACCATTTAAGCCATATTCATAAATACAAATGACTTGATGTGTTCCCAGCTTGGAGGTAGAGGCCTGTTTCTCCTACACAGCCAAACCTAAATCCTACAGCCCCAGACTGAGTAAGACAACACCTTCTGTGTTATGATTTGTCTCAATTTCTTCAATGGGCTTTTTATGCCTTAGATCAGTACGTAATAGTAACTGTCCCCCTCTTTGTCTACCTCTCTCTCTCTCTCTCTCTCTCTCTCGCTCTCTCTCTTTCTCTCTCCCCTCCACAGCGGTGGCCTACTCCTTTGAGGTGGAGGCGGAGCGTAGAAAGAAGGGTCTTCCTCCCAGAGTGATCTTTTCTACGCGTTCCAGCGACATCAACGACTACCAGTCCACCGGTGTTCTCACCCTCAGTGGACAGGGCAAGGAGGAGTGTATCACCGCCAAACTCACACTACAGGTACTAGATCACAACTCGCATATAGTGACACTGCTAACAGTAAGAAAGAGGAATGGGAAGCAAGAGGGAAAGAAAAATATAGATATTTCAAGACAGTCTTTCACCAACATTGCAGGTGAAATATGGACAAGAATCAGTCTCCTCTATCCTTTGCCAGTGATACATAAGTCAGTAACATGTATCTCTTATCTGTACTCTGTGTGTCTGTCTCCTACAGGAGAACATTAAGGACAAGCTCAGGGGAATCCCCATCGAGGTTACCGTGGAGATACAGAACTCCAAAAGGAAAAGAAGAGCGCTCCCGGAGCTCGCGCCCATCCTCGACTCCAATGACCCTATCACGGCCCGCGCTGAGGTAACCAATAACAACCGTAACACAGTCTCCTATTGGCCAGCTTTGGGTCACGTATGTGACGGAGATTTACAACTGTGGCCTGCGCTAAGCCTGTTCCCTCTGATCTAGGATGAGTTTGTCTGGTCAGCATGTTGTTCCCTGTGTGCGTAGGTGAGTTTCCTGAAGGAGGGCTGTGGCAGTGATAATGTGTGTCAGAGTAACCTACAGCTCCAGCATCGCTTCTGCTACAGAGAACCCAACAAGGACGTCTTCCATCCACTACCTATGTGAGTAGAACACCTAAACCTGTGTCACCTAACCAACACCTGGGTGAATTTAATCAATGCTGACATAATCTGCTGGTGTCCTTGAAGGGAGAATGGGGTGCCAGTAGTCTCCCTTAGCGACCAGAAGGATATCGCCCTGGAGATCACAGTGACCAATCAGAATGGAGATGATGCTCATGAGGCGGCATTGGTTGCCTCCTTCCCCCCCTCTCTCTCCTACTCTGCCTCCCGCTCTGCACCCAACGCAGTAAGTTACACCTCTCCCCTTCTATTACTCTCTCTCTCACGCTATCTTTCCTTCCCCTCTTCCATTTTTCAGACTGGTACTGAGTTGTGATTGGCTGTTGTTGATTACAGGACAAGCAGGTGATCTGTGTGGCCAATAAAAATGGCTCTCAGGCAGACTGTGAGCTGGGGAACCCCTTCAAGCGAGGCGCAGAGGTGAGAGACACCAAGGCTGATCACGATCACTAGCTAAATAATGTGTGTGTGTGCGCGTGTGTGTATGCTAACATATCTCTCTGTGTGTTTAGGCGATGTTCTACATCATCCTGAGCACAGCAGGCATCTCTCTGAACACCACAGAGCTGGAGATAGACTTGAAGCTGGAGACGTGAGTATACACTCCCACCTCCCTCTAGGATGAGATACTGAACAGCTACGTTTGACCAACAGTGCTGATTTGACCTCTGACCTTTCAGGACGAGTGACCAGCAAAACGTGGACAGAGTCAAGGCCAAGGCCAAAGTGGTGATCGAGCTGCTGCTGTCCCTCACAGGGTAAAACAATATTATTTGCCAGCTGCTTAATGTGATTTAATGTGCTTTTACACGTGAGAACCAAATGTGTTGTCACACCTCCCAGCATCGGAGCATCAGCATGACAATGTTTGTGTTTGTGCTCACACTGTGTTTCTTGTTTCCCCAGAGTGGCCAAGCCCTCCCAGGTCTACTTTACTGGAGAGGTAAAAGGTGAGAGCGCCATGAAGTCAGAAGGAGACATCGGCAGCCCCATCGAGTTCGAGTTCAGGGTAAGCCTTTTTATTTGGTTAGTTTCAGGAATAACGACATCATTATCATACAGGCACGTTCATATCAAACAGGTGCATTTGTATTTCACTATAAACTGAACTCACCTGTCCTTTGACTGCCTTTTGATTGACAGGTGATCAACCTGGGGAAGCCCCTGAAGACATATGGCAGCGCCGCCCTGATCATCAATTGGCCAAAGGAGACGGTGGAGGGCAAGTGGATCCTGTACCTCATGAAGATCGACTCCAGAGGTCTGGAACAGATCACCTGCTCCCCTGAGAGAGAGATCAACCCACTCACTGTCAAAGAGGTTAGGAAACACTGCAGCGGTCAAACTCCAAACTCCTTGGACATTTGTGGTCCCGAGGCAAACAAACTAACAGTCCCAATACAGTTACCTCTGTTGTAAGGTGCTCGAAAGGTTCTTACCAAGGGAATGTTTGTTCCAAATTACCTTCTGTTACACTCTGTTTAGGAGCCGAGCAGCACCAGGAGAAGACGAGCCATAGTGGAGACAGACAAACCTAAGGAGGGAACCATCGCACTACTGACTGACAAGAGGAAATACACTACTCTGGTAACACAACCTTCTCTCCCAGTTTATCAATGTTTAAATCTTGTGTTATTAGTCGTATACGAGCTATACTGTAACATGGTGTGTGTGTTACAGTCGTGTGAGGACGGGGCAAAGTGTGTGGAGATTCGCTGCTCCCTTCAGGGCCTGGACAGTAATGCAGTCATCCTGCTCAGATCTCGACTCTGGAACAGCACATTCCTGGAGGTAAGACACACACCTCCCTCTGATATTTGACTGCACCTCAATGTCCTGTCCACTCTCACCTCACTATGTGTTTCACAACAGGAGCACTCCAAACTGAACTATCTGGACGTGATAGTGAAAGCCTCTCTCAGAGTGGACGGCACTGCTAAAAACATGGTCCTTAAGAACGCAGAGACACAGGTACTTGATCAGTTTCACATTTCAAACACAAACAAATGTCACTTTCTTTGACTTTCTATTGATGTTGTCTTTCTCAGGTGAGAGTGACGGTGTTCCCAGAGCATCGTGTGGCTCAGTACGGAGGACTCCCATGGTGGATCATCTTGGTAGCCATCTTGTTAGGGCTGCTGCTGCTCGGCCTGCTGGTCTTCCTGCTGTGGAAGGTAAGACTAGAAGAGAACAGATAAATGTACACAGTGTCACTGTTTACAGTATATACAGTATGAATACACACACGTGCACTTGTACACACACACACACACACACACACACACACACACACACTAATGCAATTGCTTCTCTTTAGTGTGGTTTCTTCGGGAAAAAGAAAGACAATGCGCCATCCTCTGACAAAGAGAGACTGACGTCTTCTGACGCGTAAAGAGAGAGAGACGCTGTCTCTGGGGTAAACACATCTATACCCACCTATACATGCCTGGGGGCACAGAGGATGGATGGGCACAGTGGCACAGCAGCAGACTAACTCTCGCTGAAGGGGGAAATGCTTTCGCTAATGAACAAGCAGTAAAGGGGCTCAGAGCTACGAAATCAAATGCAATGCTATGATGATGGAATGGATGGAATGAAATGTTAAGAGCTCAGCTGACAGGTTGCTGTAGAAAGCACTTCAAGGTTCTGCTTGGAAATGTCCATCTTTCTAACTGTTATGGACGGTTTACATGCATGGCCATGTGGGATGAATGCTTACTTTGGTTGAAAATCATTATGCCAAGTTTATGAACTGTTCTCCTATCGCTCCAAAGACCTTCTGGGTTAGATCCTTGTGGTCTTCATCTCTCTCTGTCTCTGGTTTCTGCTTCCGTGGTTGCCATTGGAACTTCAAGCACTTCCTCTCTGAAGGTTCTTAAATGGTTTTCTTTCAGCCTGGTTTATAGGGGCGTTGCTACATTACAGCTTTCTGCATGTAGGACCACCGATGGCTCTATATCGCCTCCTACTGTTCAAGAGCCTCACTCACATCTCTGCCCTTAAAGGGATAGTTCACCCCAAAATCAAACATTGTTAGACTTTTCATAGTTTGATGTGAGGGTGAACTATTCCTTTTATGTTGTTGAGAGGTTAAAAAATGATGGTTACTGATTTCTATGTGCTGTTTTTTTCCAACAGTGTGGGTTTTTCAAACGCTCAAAGTACGACGACAGCGTTCCCAGTTATAATGCAGTGCGGATTAAAAAGGAGGAGAAAGACCAACTGGAAAGCCTGGAAAAGAAAGCCTGGATAACGAGCTGGAATGAGAACGAGAGTTACTCTTAACAATGGCGGAATGCTGGAGCTCCCATTCCCACAGACATTCATCTGACTATTCCAAGGCCTCACTCCAGTGTGGACATAAAAAAAGGATTGTAGAACAGCTTTATTTGTGTACTTTAAGGACAGATGGCGATCCTACAATAGCAGGTTAGATAAGGTAAAATAACACTTCATCAAATTGTCCCTTTTTGGGGATCAATTAAGTATTATCTTGTCTGATTTTATCTTGATAGTGACATCCATGTTGATCACTGGACAGAGAGAAGATTTTTGTGTGTTCTTGCACATTTTGGGTCAAGAATCCCAGTTGTCACTCTTTCAAAGCTCTGGACATTGTTTTGTAAATGTACACTTATGGGACAGGCTGGAGTGTTTTATAAATTTTGTATATTTTGAAGAATTGTGTATTTATTATATGAGGAGAATGTTAACTACAAAGTACTCCACTGGCCAAATACTTTTTCACAATGAGTGTTTTTCAAGAAATGGAAGGATGGATGCCTCAAATCACACTGACAAATCTCAAACCATTTGGGTATAAGGACAGTTATACACATTTCACGTTTAACTGGGGTCATTTTTCATCAAGTTATAGCAGCAGCTAATCAACAGCTTTCCTATCCCATCTTTCTATATTATTTTCATGTCATCTACATATCCATGTACTAACTTTACCATCCATCACCACTCAGAGAGAATGTTGTGAACTTATATAAGTATTCGATTGTTGAGATGGACCAGTGAAGCAGAGAGAGTGGAGAAACTACATATTGTGGTTCTTCTAACCAGTCACATTAAATCAGTGATCATTTCAAGGAAGTGAAGAATTATGCATTTTGTAAGTATTTAAGCAGGGCCCATTCAATGCTAAATGTGGAGGATTGGTCCAGTGACAGCTGTTGACATTAATGTAAAGTAACGTGTGAAAAAATGGCTATGATTTCCTAAATAAAAGTTTTTACAAAGTCACATCCATCGCTTTTCATTTTCATGCACTTTGTTACTTTTATTACACCATGGAAATGAAATTTAACCTAAATGTTAAAATGCAGTCTTTACAGTCAGAAGTTAAGTCGATAAGTTTTGAAACATTATTTATTAATGCATGTAAAACATTCACAGCTTAAAAGACAATCTAGTGCTTAATGCCATCAACTGTACAACATGCATATAGAAACGTCTGTACATAGCAACAAACACTTAAAAAATAAATAAAAACTATATTTCACCAGCCGCGGTGAAGACTTACAGTAAGACATTTCTTTGCTGATAGAGAGACTATAATAGAGACTATAGCTGCTTGTCTAAAGACTGGAATGCATGAGATGAGCCTAATAGTAGTAGGACTTATCAGATAAAACATTTCTGGGTTTAGGGGTCAGAGATCAGTGTGCAGACTTCAGCAGAGTGACTCTGTTCTGACCTTTTTACCACTACATCTGGCCTCTTTTCCCTCCACCATCTTCTTCCCCTTTCCTTCACTCTCATTGCTCCTCTTCTCCCTTTCCTTCCCCTTCCTTCTGCTTTCTATCTCCATCTTCCTCTTCTCACTTTCCTTTTCCTCTCTCTCCATTCCCTTCGCCCTCTCCTCTCTCTCCAGAGTCTTCCTCATCTCCTTCAGCCTTCTCTTCAGAGCAGCACGGTCACTATGACTACACACCCCCAGAGCCTAGAGAGAAAGAGGGGAAGAGAAAGAAGGGGAGGGAGACTTTCATTTATGTGACACATATGGGCTGATCCATAAGGAATTAACTCATTCATCGAAGGGATGCGTCACAATACTCTTCACTAGCCCCCTTTCCTAGCTGGTCACTGATTAGGGAAACCCATTCAGTCCTTTCAATTATCAGAACACTGAGGACAGAAGGTGAGGAGAGGATGATGTCTAACAGTATTAAGACATTGCCCTTGACTCCCTGTAGAACAAACCTACTTTGAGTTTGTTGTTGTCCAGATTGAGGAGTTGCAGCCCATCCACACCATTGGCCGTGAACTCGGCTGCGTATTGGTCCATGCTAATGCCAATCAACCACAGACAGACCTGCTGATTGGTCCATTGGTCCAGGGGTTGGCTTTGCCATTGATTATTGTTACCAACTAGGACAGAGTCATCTTCCAGAGTCTACAGAGAGGGACAGACAGACGGACAGATCGACACAAACCCAAAACATTAAAAAATTAAAAACAAACTAACACCTTAATATTCCATCACATTCTGGGTCATTCAGGGGAAAGTAAACCACAATCCAGCCATATGAGCAGAGGAGAAAACAATCAGGGAATGGTAGAAAACTAGAACAGAAATCAGGTCAGAGAGAGAAGGGTGATAAGACAGAGAGAAGGGGAGAGAGGAAGGAGTGAGAAATAGAGGGAGACCATGTGAGAGATTGAGAGAGACTCACCTCTGAGGAGGAGAAGGTGAGAGTTTGAGAACGCCCAGAGAGAGACATATCTGATAGCATCCCTGACAGGAGAGCAGAGCTGGTACTGCCTGCATCTGCTACACTCAGTCTCTAGAATGAGCAAAGACATTTGTGACTCACACAAACACTGTGAAGAGCACGCTTGCACACACACACACACACACACACACACACAAACAACCGCACAGTCAAGAGTGAGTACAGTATAAAATGAAAGGCCCCAGGTGAAATAAGCATGCAAAATCATAAGCCACTCAATTATTGAGCTAAACAAGTGCTTTGGAGCAAAAATGAAATTTGAAGTCCAGGGTAGTCTGAGATGAAAGGCCAGGTGTGTGTGTGCGCTTGCGCGCCTCCCCTCTCACCTGGCAGTCTCTACTGCCTCCGGTGGTCATGTAGGGTAGACTGCTGCTGGAGACCGACCTAAGCTTCTCTCTCTCCTTCTTCATTCTCTCCCGTCCTCGCTCCCCAAACCAGGAGAAGGGCAGGCAGGAGGGCATGGAGGTGACAGAGCCTGAGGGAGACACGCCACTGCTGGAGTCATCTACCAGGTCACCACACGAACCCCTGGGGACAGAGAAAGACAACACAACAGTCAAACAGAGGGACGGCAGAAACACTGTGAAAGAAGAAATGTAATGTGTGTGTAAATAGAAATGGCTGTACATGGTGTGTGTATAGTATTGACTGGACCCGTTTTCTCTGCTAGTTCCGTAGTGTGTCTACTATGTTTTACCTGTGTTCCAGGGACCTTCTCTTGTTCTTCTCCTTCTCACTCTTCCTCCCTCTGCTCAGAGACTTGCGGAGGCTGCTAGAGGGCAGAAGAACAGGGAGGTTAGAGGACTATCAGAGGGCAAGGTGGAGCTTTTACCACATTGCCTATACATACACTACATGGCCAAAAGTATGTGGACACCTGCTCGTCGAACATCTCCTTCCAAAATCATGGGCATTAATTTGGAGTTGGTCCCCGCTTTGCTGCTATAACAGCCTCCACTCTTCTGGGAAGGCTTTCCACTAGATGTTGGAACATTGCTGCGGGGACTTGCTTCCATTCAGCCACAAGAGCATTAGTGAGGTTGTGCACTGATGTTGGGCGATTAGGCTTGCAGTCGGTGTTCGATGGGATTGAGGTCAGGGCTCTGTGCAGGCCAGTCAAGTTGTTCCACACCGATCTCGACAAACCATTTCTGAGTGGACATCTCTTTGTGCAAGGGGGCATTGTCATGCTGAAACAGGAAAGGACCTTCCCCAAACTGTTGCCACAAAGTTGGAAGCACAGAATCATCTAGAATGTCATTGTATGCTGTAGCATTAAGATTTCCCTTCACTGGAACTAAGGGGCCTAGCCTGAACCATGTAAAACAACCCCAGGCCATTATTCCTCCTCCACCAAACTTTACAGTTGGCACTATGCATTGGGGCAGGTAGCTTGGCATTGCGTGTGCGGCTGCTTGGCCATGGAAACCCATTTCATGAAGCTCCCGACAAACAGTTATTGTGCTGACATTGCTTCCAGAGGCAGTTTGGAACTCGGTAGTGAGTGTTGCAACGCGCTTCAGCACTCACCGGTCCCGTTCTGTGACCTTGTGTGGCCTACCACTTCGCGGCTGAGCCGTTGTTGCTCCTAGATGTTTCCACTTCACAATAACAGCACTTACAGTTGACTGGGGCAGCTCTAGCAGGGCAGAAATTTGACAAACTGACTTGTTGGAAAGGTGGCATTCTATGACGGTGCCACGTTGAAAGTCACTGAGCTCTTCAGTATCGGTCCATTCTACTGCCAATGTTTGTCTATGGAGATTGCATGGCTGTGTGCTCGATTTTATACACCTGTCAGCAACAGGGGTGGCTGAAATAGCCAAATCCACTAATTTGAAGCGGTGTGCACATACTTTTGAATGTATAGTGCATCTTATCTGCTCAGAAGTGCCTAGGGGAAAGGGGTTAGGGGTTGAGATTGGGCTTGCTGTACATTATGACTACAAGAGGATCTGGTGAGCAACCTACCTGAAGTCAGGGAATCTTCTCTTTGATTTGTGTGTGGTAGAAGAGTTGTCCTCTTTAGAAGGAGACTGGCCTGGCTGGGGGGTGAGGAGAGAGGAGGGAGGATGGGACTGGGGGGTGAGGGCAGACAGAGAGGAGGTGCTGGAGTGGACACGGTCACCTCCTGCTGAGACAGAACGTCCCGCCTCTCGGGGTGTGCACGCAGTCAGCGATTGTCTCTTCTCGTCACAGGCCTGAGTCTGGTCTTCCTCACCCTACAGGGAGTGATAGAACATTCAGTGTGTGTCAATGGAATGTGTGTGCGTGCGTGTGTATGTCTAACCTGTCTCCTGAAGGACTCTCTGAGTTTGTCTCGTGAGGGAGGGTGTCTCTTGGCTTTCTGGGCGAGCTGTGCTCTGGCCCTGTGAGCACTGGTATCCAACCGACCCGTCTCAGGCACCACAATGCTCCAGTCTGCACCTGAAACAAACACACAGTCTGAGAGGCTCAATACACAAAGATACACACATGCTCGCACACACACAGACACATGCTACCTGAGGGGCAGTGTCTTACTTGAGGTAAATGAGGTGTCCAGTGATTGGTTGTCGATCTCAGGGACCGCCTCCCCTCGCTCCAGGTGACCTATCTGAACAGAGGAAAAAACACTTGGCTCACTCAGGTAGTAGCACTACAGTACAGTTTACGTCGTCTCCTCCAGTCCCACCTGTCTCTGTAGTCTATCCACGGTATCTCTGTGTCTCCTCTCGGTCTCCTCCATCTCTCTCTGCAGCTCCTCCTCTCTCCTCTCACTCTCCTTCTCTCTGCACAGGGACAGAGGGACCATCAGACACAGAGATAAATAGACTTTCTAAACAGGCAGTGAATATTCCTAATTGGCCTACAGGGGCATTTTCACTGTTGACTACATTACCCAGAGCTCACCTGTGTTGGAATTCCCTCAGCAGTCTCTTGGCCTTGCTGTATTTGACCTCTAGGCTGTCGAATTGGCTCTGAGTGTCAGCCAATCGCTGGTTCACAATCCTGCACAGAGCCTGGGCCTCCTGCCAGTACCTAGAAGAACAATCACATTCTTCATCATCACCATCATGTTCATCACCACCATTGGCATAATTTTCCATCACCATCATACTAAATTAGTGACTGGTAGATCAGTGTAATTGATGATTACTTCTCTAGTTTGTCAGCCTTCTCCTCTCCATCCTGGACACTCCGCTCCAGCTCATCCTGACGACTCTCCCACGAGGCCCACTGCTCCTCACAAACCCTCAGCTGGAGGACAGACAGGTGGGTAACCAGTTCCCTAGCCCCATACCATGAGCCCCTTCATCTAGCCCTCAGCCCTCATCCCTCGACAGTAGACACCCCCTTAGACACATCCTCTACCCACTCTACTAAGCACCCAGAAAACAAATCCACTTCAGCCATGTTCCAATACCGTGAAGATCCAGCCTTCCTTTTTCCTAAATAATCACTCATCTAACACAATTGTATAGGTAAAAGTATGGGCCTAGATTAGATAGCTTTAATCAATGCTGTCATGTCAGATCAGTGATAACACAGGGAAGACGGACAAGAAGAAATTGTATATTTTCAAGGTTATTGGAACATGGCATCTGTACTAATCATTCAGACTGTAGACAGGGACGTCTCATAGAGAGCTAAATTAGTCTGTTCTGAGAGGGAGGAAGAGTGTGTGTGTGCGCGAGTGTGTTAGCATGCGTTTTGACAGTCTCGTCAGTGTGACCTACCTTCTCCCGGGCTAGGCAGAGTTGGTCTGATCTGGTCCTGAGCTTTAACTGGAGCTGAGGCGAGACCAGAACACACTTGAAAACACTTCATACAAAACAAAGTCAATACACTTATTAACACTAACACCTATCTGATCCCATCAGATCTCCAGACACTAGCAGCTGTTTTGGGACCAGGAACATAATGCCTTCTGAGGGGTAAAAAAGTTAGTCTTCACCAGAGCGCACGCACACACACACAATACCAGACTTCAACACATCTGACTGACTCACCTGTTGGTATTTAAAGCAGAGCTGGGCTGAGTCCAGGCTGGTTATGTCTTCCTCTTCATCCTCCTCCTCCTCTGTAAGGAGAAGATCTTCCTCTCTCTCATCCACTGTGCTCAGCCCCAGAGCACCACCACCATCATCACCTCCATTTAGCAACTGAGATACATAAACACCCACACGCAGGTACAACCAATTAGGAATGATTCTGTACAGTGCCTTCAGAAAGTATTCACACACCTTTACTTTTCCCACATTTTCTTGTGTTACAGCCTGATTTTTTAAATGGATTAAATTGAGATTTTGTGTCACTGGCCTACACAAAATACCCCATAATGTCAAAGTGGAATTATGTTTCTAATTTGTAAAATATAATTGCAAATGAAACTCTGAAATGTTGTAAGTCAATAAGTATTCAACCCCTTTCTTATGGCAAGCCTAAATAAATTCAGGAGTTCAGGAGAGCTTAACAAGTTACATAATATTTGCATGGACTCACTCGGTGTGCAATAATAGTGTTTAACATAATTTTCTAATGACTACCTCATCTCTGCACCCCACACATACAATTATCTGTAAGGTCCCTCAGTCGAGCAGTGAATTTCAAACACTAAGTCCAGTGATGTTTTCCAATGCCTTGCAAAGAAGGGCACCTATTGGTAGATGGATAAAAAAAAACAGCAGACAATTAATATCCTTTGAGCATGGTGAAGCTTTTAATTACACTTTGGCTGGTGTATCAATACACCCAGTCACTACAAAGATACAGGCGTCCTTCCTAACTCAGTTGCCGGAGAGGAAGGAAAACTCTCAGGGATTTCACCATGAGGCCAACAGTGACTTTAAAACAGTTACAGAGTTTAATGGCTGTGATAGGAGAAAACTGGATGGATCACCAGCATTGTAATTACTCAAAAATACTAAGCTAAATGACAGAGTGAAAAGAAGGAAGCCTGTACGGAAAAAAAATTATTCCAAAACATGCATCCTGTTTGAAATAAGGCACTAAAGAAAAACTGCAGAAACTATGGGAAAGAAGTTAACTATGTCCTGAATACAAAGCGTTTTTGTTTGAGGCAAATCCAACATCACTGATTACCACTTCATATTTCCAAGCACGGTGGTGCCTGCATCATGTATGCTCGTCATCGGAAAGGACTAGTGAGTTTTGTTGGATAAAAATAAACAGAATAGAGCCAAGGACAGGCAAAATCATAAAAAGAAAACCGGTTTCAGTCTGCTTTCCAACAGACACTGGGAGACAAATACACCTTTCAGCAGGACAATAACCTAAAAGACAAGGCCAAATATACACTGGAGCTGCTTACCAATGTCCCTGAGTGACCTAGTTTGACTTAAATTGTCTGTCTAGCAAAATGGCTGAACATTTCTGTCTAGCAACGATCAACAACCAACTTGACAGAGCTTTAATAATTTTCTTAAAGAATAATGTGCAAATATTGTACAATCCAGGTGTGCAAAGCTCTTAGAGACTTACCCAGAAAGATTCACAGCTGCAATTACTGCCAAAGTCTAACATGTATCGATTTTGGGGGTTGGATACTTTTCTAATCAAGATATACACTACATGACTATAAGTATGTGGACACCTGATCGTCGAACGTCTCCATATTAATCATGGGCATTAATATGAAGTTGGTCCCCCCTTTGCTGCTATAACAGCCTCCACTCTTCTGGGAAGGCTTTCTACTAGATGTTGGAACATTGCTACGGGGACTTGCTTCCATTCAGCCACAAGAGCATTAGTGAGGTCGGGCACTGATGTTGGGCGATTAGGCCTGGCTCAATGGGGTTGAGCTCAGGCCTCTGTGCAGGCCAGTCAAGTTCTTCCACACCGATCGACAAACCATTTCTGTATGGACCTCACTGTGCATGGGGGCATTGTCATGCTGAAACAGGAAAAGGCCTTCCCCAAACTGTTACCACAAAGTTGGAAGCACAGAATTGTCTAGAATGTCATTGTATGCTGTAGCGTTAAGAACCATGAAATTTGACAGACTGACTTGTTGGAAAGGTGGCATCCTATGATGGTGTCATGTTGAAAGTCACTGAGCTGTTCAGTAAGGCCATTCTACTGCCAATGTTTGTCTATGGAGATTGCATGGCTGTGTGCTCGATTTTATACACCTGTCAGCAACGGGTGTGGCTGAAATACAGTGAGGGAAAAAAGTATTTGATCCCCTGCTGATTTTGTACATTTGCCCACTGACAAAGACATGATCAGTCTATAATTTTTATGGTAGGTTTATTTGAACAGTGAGAGACAGAATAACAACAAAAAAATCCAGAAAAACGCATATAAAAAATGTTATAAATTGATTTGCATTTTAATGAGGGAAATAAGTATTTGACCCCTCTGCAAAACATGATTTAGTACTTGGTGGCAAAACCCTTGTTGGCAATCACAGAGGTCAGACATTTCTTGTAGTTGGCCACAATGTTTGCACACATCTCAGGAGGGATTTTGTTCCACTCCTCTTTGCAGATCTTCTCCAAGTCACTAAGGTTTCGAGGCTGACGTTTGGCAACTCGAACCTTCAGCTCCCTCCACAGATTTTCTATGTGATTAAGGTCTGGAGACTGGCTAGGCCACTCCAGGACCTTAATGTGCTTCTTCTTGAGCCACTCCTTTGTTGCCTTGGCCGTGTGTTTTGGGTCATTGTCATGCTGGAATACCCATCCACGACCCATTTTCAATGCCCTGGCTGAGGGAAGGAGGTTCTCACCCAAGATTTAACAGTACATGGCCCCGTCCATCGTCCCTTTGATGCGGTGAAGTTGTCCTGTCCCCTTAACAGATAAACACCCCCAAAGCATAATGTTTCCACCTCCATGTTTGACGGTGGGGATGGTGTTCTTGGGGTCATAGGCAGCATTCCTCCTCCTCCAAACACGGCGAGTTGAGTTGATGCCAAAGAGCTCAATTTTGGTCTCATCTGACCACAACACCTCTGAATCATTCAGATGTTCATTGGCAAACTTCAGTCGGCCCTGTATATGTGCTTTCTTGAGCAGGGGGACCTTGTGGGCGCTGCAGGATTTCAGTCCTTCACGGCATAGTGTGTTACCAATTGTTGTCTTGGTGACTATGGTCCCAGCTGCCTTGAGATCATTAACAAGATCCTCCCGTGTAGTTCTGGGCTGATTCCTCACCGTTCTCATGATCATTGCAACTCCACGAGGGGAGATCTTGCATGGAGCCCCAGGCCGAGGGAGATTGACAGGTCTTTTGTGTTTCTTCCATTTGCGAATAATCGCACCAACTGTTGTCACCTTCTCACCAAGCTGCTTGGCGATGGTCTTGTAGCCCATTCCAGCCTTGTGTAGGTCTACAATCTTGTCCCTGACATCCTTGGAGAGCTCTTTGGTCTTAGCCATGGTGGAGAGTTTGGAATCTCATTGATTAATTGCTTCTGTGGACAGGCGTCTTTTATACAGGTAACAAGCTGAGATTAGGAGCACTCCCTTTAAGAGTGTGCTCCTAATCTCAGCTCGTTACCTGTATAAAAGACACCTGGGAGCCAGAAATCTTTCTGAATGAGAGGGGGTCAAATACTTATTTCCCTCATTAAAATGCAAATCAATTTATAAATTTTTTTGACATGCGTTTTTCTGGATTTTTTGTTGTTATTCTGTCTCTCACTGTTAAAATAAACCTACCATTAAAATTATAGACTGATCATATCTTTGTCAGTGGGCAAACGTACAAAATCAACAGGGGATCAAATACTTTTTTCCCTCACTGTAGCTCCACTCATTTGAAGGGGTGTCCACATACTTTTGTATATATCGTTTATTAGAATTTCTTCCACTTTGACAGAGTATTTTGTGTAGATCACTGACAAAAAATGACAAAATACATTTTAATCCCACTTTAACAACAAAATGTGGAAAAAGTCAAGGGGTGTGAATACTTTCTGAAGGCACTGTATACACAGTCACACACACCTACCTCCACTGTAGGTGGTCTCTTGTCCTGCTCCAGACTCTGAGTGATCAGACGAGCCACCTCACTCTCCTCCCCCTGCTTCTCCCGGCCTATCAAAAACCTGCAGTGAGAGACAATGACAAATCAGGAGCCTGTGTTAAGTGGTACAACCAATCGGCTTAGGTTCTGTGTATGTGTGTGTGTGTGTGCGTGTGTGTGTGTGTGTATACTTGACAGTGCCAATGGTGTTCTTCAGCACAGTGGCAGCAAACAGCTGTGTGACTCCGACCAGACTGACCCCATCCACCTCCACTATCTGGTCATTCACCTGGATACTGACACACACACACAGAGATACACAGATCTAGGATCAGCTTACAGTATTACACTCACATCCTACCATTAGAAAGGAAGGCATCATTGCCCTTAGATCAGATTCTCACCGTCCGTCCTGTTGTGTAGCTCCGTTCTCTGTGATGGTCTTAACGAAGATGCCCAGCTTCTCCAGACCCTGGTCAGCCCCTACCCCCATCCCTATTATACTGATACCCAGACCCTCGTCTCCTACAGACAGACAGAGAAAGGGGGAGTTGGACAAAGAGTAGGTGTAAAAACAGAAGGAGAGAGAGAGAGATGGGCTGATGAAGGGCGTGAGAGAGAAGTAAAAGAGATAAGGAGAGAGGAATATAAAGGAATGGAAGAGGTAAAGGATAGAGGGAGAGCGATAGCAGAGAGGGACCAACCTTTCTCTATCTGGACAGGGAGGAGGTCCATCTTGTCCACTCTCTTCTCCATTTCATATTCAGCAGAGGCAGACACGGGGTCAACATCATCATTATGCCTGTCATAGTCCGCATTAGAGTAGGTAAGGAACACCTGAGAGAGAGTACATACACCATTATCATCACATCTTTCATTGTCAAGTTTAGTGTATGTATGCCAGTCTTTGGTTTTCTTGGTCCCCCAGATTGTCTCCCCTCTCTCTGCCAGCTGGACTTGATACCACACCATACTGTTTATGTTGTCAGATGCTCCAATATGACTGGGGTGTTAGATGGAAACACAAGCTGTAGCAGACGCTTAGTCTTAACACATACAGCTTAACACACACAATGCTGAGTCATTGCAAATCCATGTACTGCAGTTCAATCTCAGAGGCAAGGAACGTCTTAGACAAAATGGTCCTCGAACAGTTTTGGGACTTCATTTGCCGGTAATTAAATCCTAAATACACACTGACCTGGTGAAATGTGTGCCAACAGTGCCATACTCAGCAAAGCTCTCAGAAGACATGGCAGCCACACATGGGCTGAGATGTCTGGGAGATTTTAGATCCTGACTGGAATCCCTCACACTGAAAAGACTAATGTGGAGTCACATACAGTAGGGTAGATGAATGTTCTATACTGTATTCTAGTCATGGCTCATCCTATACAACTACCTTTTCTATTCATATACTGTCCATACACAGCATTATATATACAGTGCATTCGGAAAATATTCAGACCCCGTGACTTTTTCCACTTTGTTACGTTAAAGCCTTATTTTAAAATTAATAAAATTGGTTTTTTCCCCCTCCTCAATCTACCCCCCAAAAATATCGGAATTGTCCGTAGAGCGCCGAGACAGGATTGTGTCGAGGCACAGATCTGGGGAAGGGTACCAAAACATTTCTGCAGCATTGGAGGTCCCCAAGAACATAGTGGCCTCCATCATTCTTAAATGGAAGAAGTTTGGAACCACCAAGACTCTTCCTAGATCTGGCCACCCGGCCAAACTGAGCAATCGGGGGAAAAGGGCCTTGGTCAGGGAGGTGACCAAGAACCCGATGGTCACTCTGACAGAGCTCCAGAGTTCCTCTGTGGAGATGGAATAATCTTCAAGAAGGACAGCCATCTCTGCAGCACTGCACCAATCAGGCCTTATTGGTAGAGTAGCCAGACGGAAGCCACTCCTCAATAAAAGGCACTTAAAGACTCTCAGACCATGAGAAACAAGATTATCTGGTTTGATGAAACCAATATTTAACTCTTTGGCCAGAATGCCAAGCGTCACGTCTGGAGGAAACCTGGCACCATCCCTACGGTGAAGCATGGTGGTGGCAGCATCATGCTGTGGGAATGTTTTTCAGCAGCAGGGACTGGGAGACTAGTCAGGATCGAGGGAGAGATGAACGGAGCAAAGCACAGAGGGATCCTTGATGAAAACCTGCTCCAGAGCGCTCAGGACATTTACATTTATTTTACATTTTTAGTCATTTAGCAGACGCTCTTATCCAGAGCGACTTACAGTTAGTGAATACATATTATTATTATTAATTTTTTTTTTTATACTGGCCCCCTGTGGGAATCAAACCCACAACCCTGGCGTTGCAAACGCCATGCTCTATCAACTGAGCTACATCCCTGCCGGCCATTCCCTCCCCTACCCTGGACGACGCTGGGCCAATTGTGCGCCGCCCCATGGGTCTCCCGGTCGCGGCCGGCTGCGACAGAGCCTGGATTCGAACCAGGATCTCTAGTGACACAGCTAGCACTCTGCGATGCAGTGCCTTAGACCACTGCGCCACTCAGGAGCCCCCAGACTGGGGCGAAGGTTCACCTTCCAACAGGACAAAGACCCTAAACACACAGCCAAGACAATGCAGGAGTGACTTCGGGACAAGTCTCTGAATGTCCTTGAGTGGCCCAGCCAGAGCCCGGACTTGAAATAGCTGTTCAGCGACGCTCCCCATCCAAACTGACAGAGCTTGAGAGGATCTGCAGAGAAGAATGGGAGAAACTCCCCAAATACAGGTGTTTCAAGCTTGTAGCGTCATACCCAAAAAGACTCAAGGCTGTAGTTTCTGCCAAAGGTGCTTCAACAAAGTACTGAGTAAAGGGTCTGAATACTTATGTACATATAAATTCGTTTTATTTTATTTTATAAATTAGCAAAAAAATCTAAAAACCAGTTTTTACTTTGTCATTATGGGGTATTGTGTGTAGAATGGTGAGGATTTTTATTAATTTAATCCATTTTAGAATACGGCTGTAACGTAACAAAATGTGGAAAAAGTTAAGGTGTCTGAATACCTTCCGAATGCACTGTATGTATATATATCTCAGTGGAGGCTGGTGGGAGGAGCTATAGGAGGACGGGCCCATTGTAATTGCTAGAATGGAATTAATGGAACGGAGTCAAACGTGGTTTCTATATGTTTGATACAATTCCATTTATTCCATTTCAGCCATTACAATGAGCACTTCCTCCTATAGCTCCTCCCACCAGCCGTCAATGATTGATAGATAGATAGATATACTGAACAAAAATATAACCCTAACATGTAAAGTGTTGGTCCCATGTTTCATGAGCTGAAATAAAATCATCCCAGAAATGTTCCACACACAAAAAGCTTGTTTCTCTCAAATTCTGTGCACAAATTTGTTTACTTCCCTGTTAGTGAGCATGTCTCCTTTGACAAAATAATCCATCCCCCTGACAGGTGTGGCATATCAAGAAGCTGATTAAACAGCATGATCATTACACAGATGCACCTTGTGCTGGGGACAATAAAAGGCCACTCTAAAATGTGCAGTTTTGTCACACAACACAATGCCAATTGGCATGCTGACCGCAGGAATGTCCACCAGAGCTGTTGAATGTTCCTTACTCTACCATAAGCCGCCTCCAACGTCGTTTTAGAAAATTTTACAGTACATCCAACTGGTCTCACAACCGCAGACGACCAGTAACCACGCCAGCCCAGGACCTCCACATCCAGCTTCTTCACCTGCGGGATCGTCTGAGACCAGCCACCCGGACAGCTGATGAAACTGAGGAGTATTTCTGTCTGTAATAAAGCCCTTTTGTGGGGGAAAAACAAATTCTGATTTGCTGGGCCTGGCTACCATGTGGCTGCGCCCCTTCCTAGTCATGTGAAATCCATAGATTAGGGCCTAATGAATGTATTTCAATTGGTTGATTTCCTTTTATGAACTGTAACTCAGTAAAATCGTTGAAATTGTTGCGTTTATATTTTTGTTCAGTGTGTGTGTGCGTATATATAGCTCTGGAAAAATATTAAGAGACCACTGCAAATGTTTCTTAAATCAGCATCTCTACATGTATGACAGCCATTCCATTCCAGTGTCTGTTGAATTCCAACACAGGCACACCTGCTCAGCTGGTAGAGCATGGCGCTTGTAAAGCCAAGGTAGTGGGTTCGATCCCCGGGACCACCCATACACAAAAATGTATGCACGCATGACTGTAAGTCGCTTTGTGTAAAAGTGTCTGCTAAATGGCATCATTCTACTGAATTAGGTACTGATTAGGTGATTTTTTTTGATCACATGAACCAAATCTTATTTAACGAGGAAAAGTATAAAAACCACTGCTGTGGTCATCACTATCCTCTTGCAATAGGACCAGCTGGATGGCAAAAACAGTGCTAATAGTACCTCAAAAGTAATATTAATAAAAAAATAACTATTGACCATGCCAAAAGAGTTGAAAAGGAAAGTTGAGTGAGGAAAAGAAGGGTTCAATTCTGGCTTTACTGGCAGAGGGATACAGTGAGCGTCAGGTTGCTTCCATCCTTAAAATAAGAACAAGGTCAAGCAGCAGACATTGGGGACAACAAAGCTACAGACCGGCAGAGGGCGAAAACGACTCTCTACTGACCGGGATGACCGCCAACTCATTCGAATGTCACTCAACAACCGTAGGATGACATCAAGTGACCTACAAAAAGAATGGCAAACGGCAGCTGGGGTGAAGTGCACGGCGAGGACGGTTCGAAACAGGCTCCTAGGGGCAGGGCTGAAGTGGTGCAAAGCTAGAAAAAAGCCCTTCATCAATGAGAAGCAAAGAAGAGCCAGGCTGAGGTTTGCAAAAGACCATAAGGATTGAACCGTAGAGGACTGGAGTAAGGCCATCTTCTCTGATGAGTCCAATTTTCAGCTTTGCCCAACACCTGGTCGTCTAATGGTTAGATGGAGACCTGGAGAGGCCTACAAGCCAGAGTGTCTCGCACCCACTGTGAAATTTGGTGGAGGATCAGTGATGATCTAGGGGTGCTTCAGCAAGGCTGGAATCGGGCAGATTTGTCTTTGTGAAGGATGCATGAATCAAGCCACGTACAAGGTTCTCCTGGAAGAAAACTTGCTTCCTTTTGCTCTGACATTGTTCCCCAACTCTGAGGATAGTTTTTTCCAGCAAGACAATGCGCCATGCCACACAGCCAGGTCAATCAAGGTGTGGATGGAGGACCACCAGATCAAGACCCTGTCATGGCCAGCCCAATCTCCAGACCTGAACCCCATTGAAAACTTCTGGAATGTGATCAAGAGGAAGATGGATGGTCACAAGCCATCAAACAAAGCCGAGCTGCTTGAATTTTTGCGCCAGGAGTGGCATAAAGTCACCCAACATCAATGTGAAAGACGCATGAAAGCTGTGATTCAAAATCAGGGTTATTCCACCAAATATTGATTTCTAAACTCTTCCTAAGTTAAAACATTACTATTGTGTTGTTCAAAAATTAACATGAACTTATTTTCTTTGCGTTATTCGAGGTCTGACAACACTGCATCTTTTTTGTTATTTTGACCAGTTGTCATTTTCTGCAAATAAATGCTCTAAATGACAATATTTTTATTTGGAATTTGGGAGAAATGTTGTCAGTAGATTATAGAATAAAACAAAAATGTTATTTTTACACAAACACATACCTATAAATAGTAAAACCAGAGAAACTGATAATTTTGCAGTGGTCTCTTAATTTTTTCCGCAGCTGTATATACACACATACACACACACACATTACCAGTCAACATGTTTGGACACACCTACTCATTCAAGGGTTTTTCTTTATTTTTACTATTTTTTACATTGTAGAATAATAGTGAAGACATCAAAACGATTAAATAACACATATGGAATCATGTAGTAACTAAAAACGTGTTAAACAAATCAAAAGATTCTTCAAATAGCCACCGTTTGCCTTGATGACAGCTTTGCACACTCTTGGCATTCTCTCAACCAGCTTCATGAGGTACTCACCTGAAATGCATTTCAATTAACAGGTGTGCCTTCTTAAAAGTTAATTTGTGGAATTTCTTTCCTTCTTAATGCGTTTGAGCCAATCAGTTGTGTTGTGACAAGGTAGGGGGTGGTATACAGAAGATAGCCCTATTTGGTAAAAGACCAAGTCCATATTATGGCAAGAACAACTCAAATAAGCAAAGAGAGACGACAGTCCATCATTACTTTAAGACATGAAGGTCAGTCAATACAGAACATTTCAAGAACTTTGAACGTTTCTTCAAGTGCTATGAGCTATGATGAAACTGGCTCTCATGAGGACCGCCACATGAATGGAAGACCCAGAGTTACCTCTGCTGCAGAGGATAAGTTCATTAGAGTTACCAGCCTCAGAAATTGCAGCCCAAATAAATGCTTCACAGAGTTCAAGTAAAAGACACATCTCAACATCAACTGTTCAGAGGGGACTGTGTGAATCAGGCCTTCATGGTCGAATTGCTGCAAAGAAACCACTACTAAAGGACACCAACAAGAAGAGGAGACCTGCTTGGGCCAAGAAACATCAGCAATGGACATTAGACTGATGGAAATTTGTCCTTTGGTCTGGAGTCCAAATTGGAGGTTTTTGGTTCAAACTGCCGTGTTTTTGTGAGACGCGGTGTGGGTGAACGGATGAACTCTGCATGTGTAGTTTCCACCGTAAAGCATGGAGGAGGAGGTGTTATGGACTGGGGGTGCTTTGCTGGTGACACTGTCTGTGATTTATTTAGAATTCAAGGCACACTTAACCAGCATGGCTACCACCGCATTCTGCAGCAATACACCATCCAATCTGGTTTGGGCTTAGTGGGACTATCATTTGTTTTTCAACAGGACAATGACCCAACACACCTCCAGGCTGTGTAAGGGCTATTTGACCAAGATGGAGAGTGATGGAATGCTGCATCAGATGACCTGGCCTCCACAATCCCCGACCTCAACCCAATTGAGATGGTTTGGGATGAGTCGGACGGCAGAGTGAAGGAAAAGCAGCCAACAAGTGCTCAGCATATGTGGGAACTTCTTCAAGACGGTTGGAAAAGCATTCCAGCTGAAGCTGGTTGAGAGAATGCCAAGAGTGTGCAAAGCTGTCATCAAGGCAAAGGGTGGCTATTTGAAGAATCTCAAATATAAAATATGTTTTGATTTGTTTAACACTTTTTTAGTTACTACATGATTCCATATGTGTTATTTCATAGATTTGATGTCTTCACTATTATTCTACAATGTAAAGAATTGTACAAATAAAGAAAAACCCTTGAATTAGTAGGTATGTCCAAACTTTTGAATGGTACTGCATGTGTATATATGTATACAGTTGAAGTCAGAAGTTTACATACACTTAGGTTGGAGTCATTAAAACTTGTTTTTCAACCACTCCACACATTTCTTGTTAACAAACTATAGTTTTGGCAAGTCGGTTAGGACATCTACTTTGTGCATGACAAGTATCTATATCCACAGTAAAACGAATCCTATATCGACATAACCTGAAAGGCCGCTCAGGAAGGAAGAAGCCACTGCTCCAAAACCGCCATAAAAAAGCCAGACTATGGTTTGCAACTGCACATTGGGACAAAGATCTTACTTTTTGGAGAAATGTCCTCTGGTCTGATGAAACAAAAATAGAACTGTTTGCCCATAATGACCATCGTTATGATGGAAAAAGGGGGGCACTTGCAAGCCGAAGAACACCATCCCAACCGTGAAGCACAGGGGTGGCAGCATCATGCTGTGGGGGTGCTTTGCTGCAGGAGGGACTAGTGCACTTCACAAAATAGATGGCATCATGAGGAAGGAAAATTATGTGGATATATTGAAGCAACATCTCAAGACATCAGTCAGGAAGTTAAAGCTTGGTCGCAAATGGGTCTTCCAAATGGACAATGACCCCAAGCATACTTCCAAAGTTGGCTTAAGGACAACAAAGTCAAGGTATTGGAGTGGCCATCACAAAGCCCTGACCTCAATCCTATAGAAAATGTGTGGGCAGAACTGAAAAGGCGTGTGCAAGCAAGGAGGCCTACAAACGTGAATCAGTTACACCAGCTCTGTCAGGAGGAATGGGCCAAAATTCACCCAACTTATTGTGGGAAGCTTGTGGAAGGCTACCCGAAACGTTTGACCCAAGTTAAACAATTTAAAGGCAATGCTACCAAATACTAATTGAGTGTATGTAAACTTCTGACCCACTGGGAATGTGATGAAAGAAATAAAAACTTTAATAAATCTCTACTATTATTCTGACATTTCACATTCTTAAAATAAAGTGGTGATCCTAACTTACCTAAGACAGGGAATTTTTACTAGGATTAAATGTCAGGAATTGTGAAAAACTGAGTTTAAATGTATTTGGCTGAGGTGTAACTTACGACATCAACTGTAAATACCGGACACTGACATTGCTCGTTCTGTTATTTCTTAATTTCTTTCTTTTTGGATTATGTGCGTATTGTTTTGTATTGCTAGGTATTATTACTAGGTATTATTACTGCACTGTTGGAGCTAGAAACACAAGCATTTCGCTGCACCTGATAACATCTGCAAATCTGTGTACACGACCAATAAACTTTGACTTGTTCTTACACCTCAGCTGTTCTGAACTGAATACCTGACAGAGCATGAGATCTTGCCTGTCTCCTCTTAACCTGATGGGATATAAATGTGTCTGTAGGGTTCAAATGACTCTCCATCTATTCATAAACCCTTCACTCTTCAGCTATTCTATCCATGCTTTTCATTTTACCACAACTAAGGGATTGGGCCATACTTACTCTCTGAATCAAAATCTGGCACCCCTTTATCAAACCCAATGGGGTGAGTGTTTTTGTGTTGTTTTTCTAACAATGCAATTGGGGGGGGGGGGGGGGGGGGGGGGTTTACCTTGATTGGTGCTGTAGAGAATTTGACCTTCCTTGTCTTAGCAAAATCCTCATCATCCTCATGAGGAAGACCGGGAATCTCCTCATATTCAGCAGAGAGCTGCTCCTCTGGATCCGGAGTTGGACATCTTTCTGAGTCCTCTCTAGGACACAACCAATCGCCATGACGACACTCCGAGTCCCGTTCCCTGTCTTCCGCGAAGGCCTCGTTCTCAATCCCAAGGATGATGGCAGATCCATTCTTCTCCTCTCCTCTCTCGGGGCACTCTCTCTCTTCTCTCTCTTTGTCCTCATCCTTCACGTCCACTCTCCATCTGCACTTCCTCTCTTCTTCCTCTCTCTCTTCCTCCTTCACCCTATCCTCTCTTGGCTCCAATCCGGCCTTCTCGTTCCCGTCCTCCTCTCTCTCCTCTTCTTCTTTGCTCTTATTGCACATGCTTCCTCTATCCTCAACTTTCTCCTGCTCTCCTGCCTCATCTCTTTCTTCCGTCCCTACCTTCTCGTTCTCCATCTTACTCTCTCCTGTCGTCCCTTCTTCTCTATACTGTCTGCTTTCTCCCTCCATTTGCCCCTCCCTCCATTCTATCTCCTGCTGGAACATGTCTCTCCCTGATTCCTTCTCTCTCACCGCAGAACTGTCAGGGAATCCCTCCACACACTCTCTTAACGAGGGTTCTACCATTCTGTGTTCTACTGGAGGTTCAACTGTTCTCTGTTCCACCATTTTAGTTTGCGCTGTAGGTTCAACCATTCTCTGTTCTAACATTCTAGGTTCCACTCTGGATTCTTCAAACACATCATCCACCAGGTTATTCTCATTGCTCTCCTCCCTCTTGCTTTCCTCCTCTTCCTTCATGGTCTCCTCTTCCTTCTTTATGGTGTCCTCATCCTCCTCTGCCTCGTTCCCTTCGCTCTCAGACGACTCGTTCTTCACCTCCACTAGCTCTGCCCTCACAGTCCTAGCCCTTGACCTCTCGGTGGGGGTCAAAGGGTCACCAGGGGTCATGTAAAGGTCATTAGGATCATTCCCCTCAGACAAACTTCTGTTGTCAGCATTAGGACTACTAGGGCCATAGAAGTCAGACTGGTCAGAACAGGGGGAGACTGGGGTGAGAGGACTAGGGGAGTCATAAGAAGGGGATGGAGGCTGAGAGTGGGGAGAGCTGGGTGCTGGGCTAGGTGGGTTGAATACATGGGAGCACACAGAGTCCTCACACACACTCCCATCTAACACACTTCCATCACACACACTCCTGCTGTCTGAGGGGTCAGCCGTAGGACTTGGGCCATCAGGGGAAAAAGTCTCACTGGAGTGACCATTAACAGGGTGAAGGGGTGCAGACAAGCTGGTGTCCAGTGATAAAGTGTGTGTGTGGAGTTCTATGTTTGGTAGAGAAATGTGTGTGTGTATGTTGATGGGTTTTCTGTCCTCCCTCTCTTTCCTCCTCTCCCCCTCTCCTTCGCTTTCTGACGTGGATGTCAGTTCCTCTCTCCCCATGCCCCCTTCTTCCCCCCTCCCATCCACAGACCCCCTGCTATCTCTGCCAGGGCTGACCTTTAAACTTTGACCCCCGCTGACCGTCTCAAACAGCTTCCGGGTCACAGAGAACTTTTGAGCTAGAGCCGCTCTGTCTATCTCTGCTATCTCCTCTGCCTTGGACGGTTTATCTAGCATAGATGATTCTACGCTGGACATGCTGGCCACACTGCTCCGGACAGAGCTGTAGCTGAGAGCGCATTTGGGTAGGGTCTGAGACAAGGGGTGGAGGAGGTGCTGTTGGCTGTCCATCTGGAGGAAGATGTTGTCTCTGATCTTGGTCCCTCTAGGACTGAGGGTCCTACCCCTGGAACACTCACCAGGGCCACTGGCACTGCTGGTCCTGGTGTGAGGGACCGCCATGGGGCCTGGTGAAGGGATAGAGAGGCTCAGCGAAGTAGGTCTAGGCTTGGTCGCGGTGTCCAAGGAGTATTTGATGGTGTGGAAGTCAGACTTGTAGGCGTTCCTGTGGGGGGAGGCGCTACGGCCTTTATTGTTCGTCCGCATCATCTGGGGCTGGAGTCTGGTGGAGAGGTATGGAGTTCAATGAAGGATGTCAAGTTTGCATGTCTCCCTTATTAGACAGGGTTAGAAGGTACCTCTCTGTTTCCAAACCAGTTAAGCTTTAGGACTCTGTCCACCGTCTACAGAAAAAACACACTAGGAGAGAGACATAGGTCAGTTAACAGCAGAGGAAATTACAGTCATGGAATGGCAGTGGTGCTTTTGACTTAAGAAAAATGCAGAAGAAAAATCTGTATTTCATATCAAATTATCATTTAATGTTTGTTTTTCATAGCCTACTTCCAACTAGGCCTACCTACTAATAATAATGTTCACCAGACACTTCTGCCCCTGCGCAATTAGCCTGGGGATGAGGTTAACTACCTACTAACAATCATGATAAAACATGTAAAACATAGCAAAAAAACGACATTTAGCCTACAGTAGGCTACTGTTTGTTAACTCCAATCTTATATCCGAAAATAATATAGTCCTATTGGTTCTTACCTGTTTGCAAAGCTGAAATACAACTACAACGCATTCGAAAGCAGGTACATTTGATTATCGCTATTGAATTTTAACAGCATTTATATTCACCAGTATTGTCCCTGCGTCCACGCCTTTACAAACGCTGATTGAATTGTCCTCGGTTCATTGTAGAAATGCCAAACTTCGCAACTCCCCACACCTTGCGCAGACAACGCGCGCTCCGTTCACTTACCACTTGGTGCGCCACCAGAGACCATCAAAGTGAAAGTGCGCGTGCACGAAAGACTGCTCTCATATCATATTCAGGTTGCTAGATTTTTCTGCCTCTCCAGTCCTGTCTCCATCCTATAGAAATGTCTTTGAGAAGGATTTTGCATGGCATAAACCTGTGCTCTCAGTGTGCTAACAGAGGACAGATGGCAGCTCATGTCACTAAATACTGAAAGTGGATTATCTCACTGTAATCCTGTGTAAACTACCTCAGTGTGAACACTTACAATCATAGCCTGAGAGAGAGAGAGGGTGGATGATGATAATGAATGTAACCCCCTCTATTTAGCACACTAGGGAGATAGTCTCTTGGGAGTAATGATAGGCCTAATAATGATATTATTATGCTAATAATGAACCATAACACCCCAAATGAGGAGCCCTTCTGATGGCTGGTAGGATACCACAGTGGCCTGTTTATGGTATTCAGTCTAACCAAGCATTAAATCAAATCAAACTTTATTTGTCACATGCGCTGAATACAACAGGTGTAGACCTTACCGTGAAATGCTTACCTACAAGCCCTTAACCAACAATGCAGTTCAAGAAAGAGTTAAGAAAAGATTTACCAAATAAACTAAAGTAAAAAATAATACAAAGTAACACAACAAAATAACAATAACGAGGCTATATACAGGGGGTACCGGTACCGAGTCAATGTGCGGGGGTACAGGTTAGTCGAGGTAATTTGTACATGTAGGTAGGGGTAAAGTGACTATACGTAGATAATAGACAGTTGGTAGCAGCAGTGTAAAAACAAATGGAGGGGAGGGGGCACCAGCATGCCTCACTGGTGCTGTCTGTCCTGTTTGGTTGGTTGATACCCACACAGAGTAACTGGCTGTCCAGACTCTTAGCCGTATTGTTAGCGACAGCGGTGACTTAAGAGGATATCAACTGAACAATGCTATATGCAATGTTCTGGTCCCACTAATTAGACAAAGACAGGCACCCAGGCCGACTGCTTAGCTGCTGAGCACATGGAGAATTCAAGTGGAAATAGCTATTAGCCTATCAATCAAACTATTAGTCAATCAATAAATTAATTACTGTCAGCCTACATATTAGTTCCCTAAGTGTTATTAATTTCCACGTTGAAAAGTGCTGTACAGTAAAGTATATTCACCATTCACAAAAGGAGGTTAAAGTGGAGCAGCTTACCTGTAGCCAGCCAGCCCTGCCTCTCCTCCTGGCAGGCAGAGAAGAGTAGAACCGAGCAGGGCAGACTGGGCTATAGAGTATTGGGGCTATGGTGAGTTCTGACCTGGATATGTACCATTCTCCCAGGTGGCACTGGGACCTAGATTATATAAATATCACCCAATCATACAACTACTGTACAGCGGGAGAGAGAGAGGGGGAGAGAGGCAGAGAGGGATAATGGGGGGAGAAGGATAGAGGGAGAGGAGTGAGACTGACTTTGCTGATAAATTCTTTGAGAAAAATGTACTTACTACAACTGTGATATGTGGTTGTCTCACCTAGCTATTTTAAGATTCATGTAAGTCACTCTGGATAAGAAAGTCTGCTAAATGACTAAGATGTAAAACATGTAAATGTAAGGAGTGAGAGAGAGGGAGGTGGGGGGAGAGGAGTGAGAGAGAGGGAGGTGGGGGAGAGACTAAGGATGAGAAAGAAAAGAGACAGAAAGACTAAAAACGAGAGTTAGAGGAGCATTGTTCTCCACAATCCCATTCAGACTGCCATTGAGAGAAATAGGATGAGAAGATACAGTAAAAGGAAGAAGGTTCGTGTTGGTTCATGACCTCCTGCAAATCTGCCCTCAGTTTGTTTCCTTCTGCCCTGTTTCCAGGCCAACTTTGATCTCAGACAAACCAGGAGAGGAAGCCAACAACAATAACAGCAGTGTGTGTGTGTGTGTGTGTGTGTGTGTCAGATGTGGGGCTGAGTTTTGGCAGCCAATTGTGAACCAGATGGAGATCTATAGATGGCCCTATTGAGAGTTTATCACATCCACCAGGGGATCACACAGTTGACATGATTTAATCAGCAGAACATTAAAAAACACTTTATTATGGCTTCTTATGGCAAACACACAATCACTTATAATCTCTGGGGTCTATGGATGTAGCTCAGTTGGTAGAGCATGGCGTTTGCAATGCCAGGGTTGTGGGTTCGATGAAAAATAAAATAAAAAGTATGAATGCACTCACTAACTGTAAGTCGCTCTGGATAAGAGCGTCTGCTAAAATGACTAAAATGTAAAATGTATGGGTCTGAGACAAGTACAGCAACACTGCCATCTACTGTTCAGAAGTGCCTACTGTTGGTCAGATGCAGTGCACCTGCTCTACACTTAGAAAAAAGGGTTCCAAAAGGGTTCTTCAGCTGTCCCCATGGGAGAACCCTTTGAATAACCCATTTGGGTTCCATATAGAACCCTCTGTGGAAAGGGTTATGAATGGAACCCAAAAGGGTTCTACCTGGCTGGAACCCGAAAGGGTTCTTCAAAGGGCTCTCCCATAGGGACATCTGAAAACCACTTTTAGGTTCTAGATAGAATTGTATTTTCTAAGAGTGTAGGCACTCCTAGATCTGAAATGATTAGATAACTGAAGGTGTAAAAAAAAGGCTAAAATTCCACCCAGCCTATCAGAAGGCAAGTTGAAGTAATTTAACATATTGCTTAAATATCTAGTAGTGTCTATTGGGTAGGGGTTGGGATACAAAATTCCTCTCTCTCTCATCTAGTCTGTCTTTCACACACACACACATGCACATGTGACATATGCATACACACAGTCCCCCTCTGTGCCATGCTAATGTCCTGCAGCGTTGGCTTCCTGTGATGTTGAAGAGGACACATTCATTACACTGTATTAAACCTCTTCTTCAGACAGCTGGCACTCTAACCACACACACACACACACACACAAACACTTCTTCCTCAACAGGTACCCTACAGGGATTCTAATAGCTCTCACTGGTATGGGAATCCCAGCTAACATAGTCTGTTCATGTGTGTGTTTCCCCCCCATCCCTGCACACAGCAGCACTTCCCTTGCCGCCCTCCTGTCTTTATCTTTCATCAGTGGACATCAACAACCCCTCTCTCTCTGTTTCCCCTCCCTCTCTCCCTCCCTGAGACGACACTGCAGGCCAGTGGAGAGCTCTCCCTCCCTCTCTCCCTCCCTGAGACCGCACTGCAGGCCAGTGGAGAGCTCTCCCTCCCTCTCTCCCTCCCTGAGACCGCACTGCAGGCCAGTGGAGAGCTCTCCCTCCCTCTCTGAGACCGCACTGCAGGCCAGTGGAGAGCTCTCCCTCCCTCTCTCCCTCCCTGAGACCGCACTGCAGGCCAGTGGAGAGCTCTCCCTCCCTCTCTCCCTCCCTGAGACCGCACTGCAGGCCAGTGGAGAGCTCTCCCTCCCTCTCTGAGACCGCACTGCAGGCCAGTGGAGAGCTCTCCCTCCCTCTCTCCCTCCCTGAGACCGCACTGCAGGCCAGTGGAGAGCTCTCCCTCCCTCTCTCCCTCCCTGAGACCGCACTGCAGGCCAGTGGAGAGCTCTCCCTCCCTCTCTTTCTCCTTTTATCCCTCTTCCCACCCTTTTCTCTCCATCTCCATTACCACCCCGTCTCTCGCTCTCTCGCTGTCGCTCTTTCTCTCTGTCAAGCTCTCTCTCTTTTTTGTTCCGTTACAATGAAGTGAAATTTGTGCCTGAAATGATGTAACTATTGGACCAATAAAGGTATTTTCAAAATAAAAAAAATCTCTCTCTCTCCACGTGCAGAAGAAAAATCTTTTAGCGCTCGCTGTAGCTCAAACACTTCCTGTTTCCTCCCTCCTGCTGTCGTGGCACTGGTCGTCGTGGTGACAGGCTATCATCGTGTTGACAGCCTATCACAGCCGTATCTCTCCCGTTCCACCGAACTCTGAGAAGCTTGACACAAAATGGAATCACATTTATTTGTTGATTTGGTTCCCCATAAGCTTTTGCAGAAGCAGCAGCTATTCTTCCTGGGGTCCACAAAAAACATGACAAGTAACAAAACACTGATACACTGATATACAAGGACAGTCCCACAAATGTTAAATACAATGATAACAAACAATACAACAAATATACAAACAATACAACAACAAAATAATGTGTGTGTTAGAGTGTGTCTGTGTGTGTTCGTGTAGAATTAGATTTTAATTTATATTCATTCTATTTCTACGGCTCTGTGTTCCATTCATTATTTCTCAAAATTCTTTATTTAATAGTGTTCTGTGTGCAATATCTTGAAAATTATACTGTTCATAAAAACATATTGTCTGTTCCACTTCACATGCCATTCTATCTGCTGATGATGCAGTTGAGTGATTGATTCTTGACCACTGGGGAGGTCCTAATGATCTGATGGTTGATTGATTTTTCTTTCTACTCCTCCTCTCTTCCTGTTCTTTCCTCAGTTCTGGTCTGAAAGGCCAGAATAAGTGAAGACAACATCCAGTCATTATGCCTATCATACACACTTGCAGGGAGAGGTTTGGTTAAGGACCTGCATTCTAAACAAATCTCTTTCACATTTCAGAAAAAATATTCTCTAAACCTTTTTTTATTATCAACTCTAATGTATTTTATTATTACAGCCAATTACTCAGCAAATCACTTTCACTCTTCTGTTTGTAATGCTGACTGGGGTAAGGTTAGCCCATTCACTAACTACCTTTAGCCTCTATTTATGAAGGTATCTTCTGGCCGGGGGAGTTTTGTTAAGAACCCCGACGCTCGTTCTTAACGTTAACACGCATCACTTGCAGTACGGTTTTGGAAACCTAAGGAACGTATATTTCAAATCAGCGAGAAATAATTTTCAAAAAACAAAATGTTACTACTATATAGATAGTACACAAGATACTACAGTACTACAAGATACACTATATGGTTAATGTTCCCCCACGGCCATATCTTCATGTTACAGCACTTGTTTTATGGAAGACAGACAGAAGCGACCACCTGTGATAATTAGCTATCTAGCATGCTCAAACACCTGTGATAATTAGCTATCTAGCATGCTCAAACACCTGTGATAATTAGCTATCTAGCATGCTCAAACACCTGTGATAATTAGCTATCTAGCATGCTCAAACACCTGTGTTTACGAGTAACTGGGGAAGAAGTGTAGTTCGTCGGCTGGAGGCACACAGCCGTACGGATCTGTGCAAACCCGCTACAGTAAGTGTATCTTTTTTATTTGAAATATTATTTCTCGCTGATATGAAAGATAAGTTCCATATGTTTTGAAAACCGTATCACAAGTGATGATTATTGATATTTCTAAACGTTAAAACAGAGTTTCGGGGTTGGAGATCACATGGTCCCACCGGAAAGCATTGCTTATAGCTGAGAACCCTTGGGATAGGGTAGAGTGCCTTGGGTTCTTGAGAGCAAGGGTAGGGTACACTCTTAGAAAAAAGGGTTCATTTGGGTTCTACATAGAACCTTTTGGTTATTTGGTCAAAAAGTAAAAACCTTTTCCAGAAAATGTTTCAATCCTCTATAATTCAAAAAACAACTGCCATGTTTATCAAGCATGACGATGACTCAAAAGTTGTAAATACCAATAAGCACACAATTTGAATCCATAATCATATGACAAACTATAAGCTAGATAGATAACGTTGTTTTCGAGTTTGAACATTATAGGCTACCGTTTTATTTGTTAGCTAGCGAGGAAAAAGCCACCTATAATTTGCCACTTTACAAGCTAGGTAACTCACCTTACAAATAAACTTTAATTTTAATTATTGAATATGCCAAATAGAGCTACAGACCCAGCCTGACATTCACAATTAGCTCATTGTATCTTTTATTTCAGTGTGGAGTCAGAGGCAGAGGATCCCTCTTTCGGCTACTGCTGATCACAACAGTGGTTCTCAACTGGATTTGCCTCGGGACCCAAATTGAACCAGGTTGTCTCAGTAGGCCTATGCATATCATTTTTGTCTTCATTCTTGCAGATATAAGATTGACTCATGTTTTGGCTCCTATTTTTCTCTTCCCAGGAACCAGCCAGGCATTACCCATACTATAGCAGTAGGCCAGCTGTTCCATGAAGAAGGTATAAACCCTCTGAAGGTTGGTACCAAGATTGATGTGGGCCATCATTCAAATAAAGAGCCTCTCTGACCAACAGTAAAAAAAAATATGTTTGCAATACTGTACCTAAACTGCTTGGGTTTGAGTTTGCATGACTGTAAGGACAATAAAATCTAAAAACTATGCTGGTATTCATTTGTGCATTATTTGATTGTATTATATTATCTTCTTAGCTAGTACTATTACTATTGTATTAGTAGTAGGCTAGCCTAACCATAATTCATAAATATATGGAACAAATTTGGTTCAGTAGACCTAAAGAAGAACCCTTTAGGGTTGGTTCAGTGAAGAAGAATCATTAGGGTTCTGGTCAAAGAACCCAACATAAGGGTTCTATATAGAACATTTAGGGCTGCCATATAGAAAGTAAGCCATAGAACCCTTTTTGGTTCTATTTGCAACCTTAAAGGGTCATGTTGTCAAACCTCTATCTCGGATAGGAAGGGCAGTGCGCGAGCGCGAGCTCAGTTTATTAACGACCACGCTGAAGCCGCCCTCCTGTAGCATCTCCCGGTTTCTCAATCACACACACCGGTTCTCGGGAAAGATGGTCGCGGTGGAAACATCCCCCAACTCGGCTGAATGGGTCAGCTGTCTGGATAAAAGGTGCGTAGAAAACATTCTAGCCTCTTGGTCATGGCATCATCTCAACGGCTGAAAAAAACGAATTCGGGTTCGATTAATTCATCAGCTTCAACGTGACAAATCGTAATCGGCAATCTCTGCGTGGGTGAGTGAGAGAGAGAGAACCGCTTTGTTATTGTGTATCAGACGTCATTGACATTTTTTCATCATTTCGGTCGCGGTAAAAAGCGAAGCCCATTTCTAGGCTACTATTCATTGTGGATTTAACGTTACCCTTCTGTGTGTTTGTCCTTTTTGCTAGTCGTCGACAAAGGCGTAGTAGTCTTCTGGTTCACTGATTTATCCTCCTCACACAGCAGCATTGTCACATTTTATTGTCACCGCTGCCTAAGCGCATAACCCAGGTTATGTATTAGATTTAGACAACTTTACTGTCGCATGTGCAGATTGTATTAGCATACAAATAATAGTGTATAGGCTTGGTTTATTTCGGACATGAAGCAAGCTCGCGCCATTCCAGTCTCCTCATTGCAGGGTCATTTGTCAACCAGCTGCTTATGTGGACTGTCTACTGCTGGCCATTCAACACACACGCCACAGGAGGTTGGTGGCACCTTAATTGGGGAGGACGGGCTCATAGTAATGACTGGAATGGTAATCAAACTCATTAAACACACTAACCTTCCATGGAGTTGCATTATTTTCCAGAGAATGCATAGAACCCCTAGTTGGTTACCCCTTTTATACCATGGCTATAATTTAACACATTTACCGCTAGAAATGTGTTCAACATCCACTGCGGTAACTAGCAATTTTACTACACTGAACAAAAATAAACGCAACATGTAAACTGTTGGTCCCATGTCTCATGAGCTGAAATAAAATATCCTAGAAATGTTCCATTTGCACAAAAAGCTTATTTCTCTCAAATTTTGTGCACAAATTTGTTTACATCCCTGTTAGTGACCATTTCTCTTTTGCCAAGATAATTCATCCACCTGACAGGTGTGGCATATCCAGAATCTGATTAAACAGCATGATCATTACACATGTATACCTTGTGCAGTTTTGTCACACAACACAATGCCACAGATGTCTCAAGTTTTGAGGGAGCGTGCAATCGGCATGCTGACTGCAGGAATGTCCACCAGAGCTGTTACCAGAGAATTGAATGTTCATTTCTCTACCATAAGTCACATCCAATGTCGTTTTAGAGAATTTGGCAGTATGTCCAACCGGCCTCACAACCGCAGACCACGTGTAACCACGCCAGCCCAGGATGTCCACATCCGGCTTCTTCACCTGCGGGATTGTCTGAGACTAGCCACTCAGACAGCTGATGAAACTGTGGGTTTTAACAACTGAAGAATTTCTGCGCAAATGGTCAGAAACCGTCTCAGGGAAGCTCATCTGTTTGCTCGTTGTCCTCATCAGGTTCTTGACCTGACTGCAGTTCAGCGTCGTAACCGACTTCAGTGGGAAAATGCTCACCTTCGATGGCCACTGGAATGCTGGAGAAGTGTGCTTTTCACAGATAAATCCCGATTTTTAACTGTACCGGGCAGATTGCAGACAGTGTTTATGGCGTCCTGTGGGCGAGTGGTTTGCTGATGTCAATGTTGTGAACAGAGTGCCCCATGGTGGCGGTAGGGTTATGGTATGGACAGGCATAAGCTACGGACAACAAACACAATTGCGTTTTATTGATGGCAATTTGAATGCGTATAGATACCATGATGAGATCCTGAGGCCCATTGTCGTGCCATTCATCCGCCGCCATCACCTTATGTTTCAGCAGGATAATGTACGGCCCCATGTCGCAAGGATCTGTACACAATTGCTGGAAGCTGAAAATGTCCCAGTTCTTCTGGCATGCTGAAACATGAGGTGATGACGGCGGATGAATGTCACCCATTGAGCATGTTTGGGATGCTCTGGATCGACGTGTACGACAGCGTGTTCCAGTTCCCGCTAATATCCAGCAACTTTGCACAGCCATTTGAAGAGGAGTGGGACAACATTCCACAGGCCACAATCAACAGCCTGATTAACTCTATGCGAAGGAGACGTCTCGCGCTGCATGAGACAAATGGTAGTCATACCAGATACTGACTGGGTTTCTGATCCACGCCCCTACCTTTTTTTTATATGAACTGTAACTCAGTTAAATCTTTGAAATTGTTGCATGCTGCATTTTATAGCTATAGTGGTTGTCTTGGTAACCAAACATACTTGCTAGTTTAGCTAACCAAACTATCAGTCCTAGCTTGTTATTATGAAAATTGAATTCAACAATGCCAATAATGTTTTCAATTCGACTTCTGCTTTCAAAAGCAGCTCAAACATAGAACATGTAAGAATTAACTCTAGCCATTGAATTCTACCGTGGAAATACAGTGCCTTCGGAAAGTTCAGACCCCTTGACTTTTTCCACATTTTGTTAGGTTACAGCCTTGTTCTAAAATTGATTGAATTGTTTTTCCCCTCATCAATCTACACACAATACCCCATAATGACAAAGCAAAAACTTTGTTTTTTTCTTGAGATTTTTGCTAATTTATTAAAAATAAAAAAACGAAATATCACATTTACTTAAGTATTCAGACCCTATACTCAGTACTTTGTTGAAGCACCATTGGCAGCAATTACAGCCTTGAGTCTTCTTGGCTATGAAGCTACAAGCTTGGCACACCTGTATTTGAGGAGTTTCTCCCATTCTTCTCTGCAGATCCTCTCAAGCTCTCTCAGGTCGGATGGGGAGCGTCGCTGCACAGCTATTTTCAGGTCTCTCCAGAGATGTTTGATCGGGTTCAAGTCCGGGCTCTGGCTGGGCCACTCAAGGACATTCAGAGACTTGTCCCGAAGCCACTCCTGCGTTGTCTTGGCTGTGTGCTTGGGCTCATTGTCCTGTTGGAAGGTGAACCTTCGCCCCAGTCTGAGGTCCTGAGCGCTCTGGAGCAGGTTTTCATCAAGGATCTCTCTGTACTTTGCTCCGTTCATTTTTCTGACTAGTCTCCCAGTCCCTGCCGCTGAAAAACATCCCCACAGCATGATGCTGCCACCACCATGCTTCACCGTAGGGATGGTACCAGGTTTCCTCCAGATGTGACACTTGGCATTCAGGCCAAAGAGTTAAATATTGGTTTCATCAGACCAGAGAATCTTGTTTCTCATGGTCTGAGAGTCTTTAGCTGCCTTTTGGCAAACTCCAAGTGGGCTGTCGTGTGCCTTTTACTGAGGAGTGGCTTCCGTCTGGCCACTCTACCATAAAGGCCTGATTGGTGGAGTGCTGCAGAGATGGTTGTCCTTCTAGAAGGTTCTCCCATCTCCACAGAGGAACTCTAGAGCTCTGTAAGAGTGACCATCGGGTTCTTGGTCACCTCCCTGACCAAGGCCCTTCTCCCCCGATTGCTCAGTTTGGCCGGGCGGCCAGCTCTAGGAAGAGTCTTGGTGTTTCCAAACTTCTTCCATTTATGAATGATGGAGGTCAGTGTTCTTGGGGACCTTCAATGCCGCATAAATTGTTGGTGCTCTTCCCCACATCTGTGCCTCGACACAATCCTGTCTCTGAGCTCTACGGACAATTATTTTGACCTTATGGCTTGGTTTTTGCTCTGACATGCACTGTCAACTGTGGGACCTTTATATAGACAGGTGTGTGCCTATTAAAATCATGTCCAATCAATTTAATTTACCACAGGTGGACTCCAATCAAGTTGTAGGAACATCTGAAGGATGATCAATGGAAACAGGATGCACCTGAGATCAATTTCGAGTCTCATAGCAAAGGGTCTGAATACTTATGTAAATAAGGTATTTCTGTTTTTTTACCTGTTTTTGCTTTGTCATTATGGGTTATTGTGAGTAGATTGCTGAGGAAATGTTTTTATTTAATGCATTTTAGAATAAGGCTGTAACGTAACAATGTGGAAAAAGTCAAGGGGTCTGAATACTTTCCGAAGGCACTGTATACCATGCATTATAGGGAAATAATGCACGCTCTAGAATGCCCTTCAAGCCAATCAGAAATTAGTATTCAACAATTCCATGGTATAAAATAGTATTCATAGGTTGCACCTCCGTAACTCGTTCGCGTGATGCCATTGTTATGAACGCTCTCAAGCCGCTCTCTATCGGCGGTGCCATAGTGGTGCCCTAAAGTGGTGATAAGCCCAGTCATTCTGGACGCAGGCGAACTGCTGTTTACTCTAAATTAAACTATAATGCCTAGAAATACAATGACTTTTCTAAAGTAGTCAAATATTTAGTAGAAAACAACTTCGCCGGCATTAAAATGTCATCAAATTTACTTTAGACAGATGGCAATGTTATTAGTTAGCAAAGTTGGTCAAAAAATAGCTAGCAATGCTAATGTTAGCTAGCTAAAATCCGGTGGCCTCCCCTCAATCTTAGCTAGCTAGCTAATGTTATACTGCATCTAAAGTCAATCTGGTGACATCAAAATTATGACAAAAGGAAGAGCGTCTGCTAAATGATGTAAATGTTTTCTTACTTATTATTTGCCTCCTTTTGAATGTCATTGTATTTCCAATCCACTGCAATGCACTTTTGATGAAATCTTTATCAGCGCTCATTGCCGATGCATTGAGTAGGATGCTCAGTCGGGCATCAGTCCAAAACGAACCTTCAAAACAATATTGTGACGAAACACGCAACCCATGAATAGGTTATAGTCAGAGCCATAGAATTATGAATTAGAATACTATAATGGACATGAACCTTCTTATGACGGTATAAAAGGTTACCCATTTTGGTAAAGGAGTTGGTAAGCCAGTGGTCAGCCAGTGCTGTGATAAGATATTGTGTAAAATAATTAATTAGAAAATGATCTGCACAATATGTTTGTTAGCTAGCTAGCCAGTTAATGTGGAATGATTCCATACATTTAAAAAAAATGAACTGCCAATATGCCAACATCCCTGCAAACAATGCAGTCAATCCACAGCCATACGCTAACCATTCTGGCACTTTGAGGGTATATAATAGGATCTCTGGTCAGAGTATGGAATACTGTATTATCCATTAGGAAAGCTGGGGAGTGTTTTGATGTTCTAAATTCCATCAGTATGGATGGAGGATAAAAGAAAGAACCCATTAGATCAAGGCTGTACTGTGCGCACACACATTCCATTCCTATATCTATCCTCATTATAATGATACTTCCACAGGTAACCATGGGCAACTTGAGCTCATTGCTCATTGCTCTCTTTCTCTCTCTTTCTTTCTCGCTTTCTCTCTCCCTTTTCTTCTGTGTGATGCAGTTAGAAAAAATATAAATGTTTCTAATGGGCATCATTAGCGCCATCCTAAGTATAAAGTGGCATCCTTTCCTTGGAATGCTTACAGGGGGTTTGGTTTCATCTGTCCAGTTACTTTAGATCAGTCTAGATGAAGGAAAGGAAGCCATGTTAGAATGTTGAGATGCAGCCCATCTGCATCGCTCCTGGTGGTGGAGATAAGGTTACAGTGGACATGATGGACACATGCACGCGCACACAATGTTCAAATCAATAAACCCAGGCAGCAATGCTAAATCGGCTGTCTGTTACTGACAGGTACCTTAAGTGTATGTGTGTTAGTGATGCGCGGGTCAGCTGTTTGTTCACCCACACCTGCCCGCAGTTGCTAATAACCCATCCGCAACTTCCCGACTATATCTGTCGCATTTGTATAGCGCCTCACAATCATCATTATCACACATACAGTGGGGAAAAAAAGTATTTAGTCAGCCACCAATTGTGCAAGTTCTCCCACTTAAAAAGATGAGAGAGGCCTGTAATTTTCATCATAGGTACACGTCAACTATGACAGACAAAATGAGAATCTTTTTTCCAGAAGATCACATTGTAGGATTTTTTTGAATTTATTTGCAAATTATGGTGGAAAATAAGTATTTGGTCAATAACAAAAGTTTCTCAATACTTTGTTATATACCCTTTGTTGGCAATGACACAGGTCAAACGTTTTCTGTAAGTCTTCACAAGGTTTTCACACACTGTTGCTGGTATTTTGGCCCATTCCTCCATGCAGATCTCCTCTAGAGCAGTGATGTTTTGGGGCTGTCGCTGGGCAACACGGACTTTCAACTCCCTCCAAAGATTTTCTATGGGGTTGAGACTGGAGACTGGCTAGGCCACTCCAGGACCTTGAAATGCTTCTTACGAAGCCACTCCTTCGTTGCCCGGGCGGTGTGTTTGGGATCATTGTCATGCTGAAAGACCCAGCCACGTTTCATCTTCAATGCCCTTGCTGATGGAAGGAGGTTTTCACTCAAAATCTCACGATACATGGCCCCATTCATTCTTTCCTTTACACGGATCAGTCGTCCTGGTCCCTTTGCAGAAAAACAGCCCCAAAGCATGATGTTTCCACCCCCATGCTTCACAGTAGGTATGGTGTTCTTTGGATGCAACTCAGCATTCTTTGTCCTCCAAACACGACGAGTTGAGTTTTTACCAAAAAGTTCTATTTTGGTTTCATCTGACCATATGACATTCTCCCAATCCTCTTCTGGATCATCCAAATGCACTCTAGCAAACTTCAGACGGGCCTGGACATTTACTGGCTTAAGCAGGGGGACATGTCTGGCACTGCAGGATTTGAGTCCCTGGCGGCGTAGTGTGTTACTGATGGTAGGCTTTGTTACATTGGTCCCAGCTCTCTGCAGGTCATTCACTAGGTCCCCCTGTGTGGTTCTGGGATTTTTGCTCACCGTTCTTGTGATCATTTTGACCCCACGGGGTGAGATCTTGCGTGGAGCCCCAGATCGAGGGAGATTATCAGTGGTCTTGTATGTCTTCCATTTCCTAATAATTGCTCCCACAGTTGATTTCTTCAAACCAAGCTGCTTAGCTATTGCAGATTCAGTCTTCCCAGCCTGGTGCAGGTCTACAATTTTGTTTCTGGTGTCCTTTGACAGCTCTTTGGTCTTGGCCATAGTGGAGTTTGGAGTGTGACTGTTTGAGGTTGTGGACAGGTGTCTTTTATACTGATAACAAGTTCAAACAGGTGCCATTAATACAGGTAACGAGTGGAGCACAGAGGAGCCTCTTAAAGAAAAAGTTACAGGTCTGTGAGAGCCAGAACGCTTGCTTGTTTGTAGGTGACCAAATACTTATTTTCCACCATAATTTGCAAATAAATTCATAAAAAATCCTACAATGTGATTTTCTGGATTATTTTTTCTCAATTTGTCTGTCATAGTTGACGTGTACCTATGATGAAAATTACAGGCCTCTCTCATCTTTTTAAGTGGGAGAACTTGCACAATTGGTGGCTGACTAAATACTTTTTTCCCCCACTGTAACATAGCTGGCACTGCTATTAGCCTATCCTCTTTTACCACTTCACCAAATCTCTCCATAACATTACTTTTCTGGCCCTCCCTTCACTTTATTTTCAACTCTCCATTTTGCAGCTTTTCTCTTATTGAATTAAAACCCTCTATATTCTAAGCTCAGACTAAGGTATATGGAATTGTTTTATGAAGGTCATACCAAGGATCATGAAATAAAACATATGGAATCATGTAGTAACCAAAAAAGTGTTAAACAAATCAAAATACACTGCTCAAAAAAATTAAGGGAACACTTAAACAACACATCCTAGATCTGAATGAATGAAATAATCTTATTAAATACTTTTTTCTTTACATGGTTGAATGTGCTGACAACAAAATCACACAAAAATGATCAATGGAAATCAAATGTATCAACCCATGGCGGTCTGGATTTGGAGACACAGTCAAAATTAAAGTGGAAAACCACACTACAGGCTGATCCAACTTTGATGTAATGTCCTTAAAACAAGTCAAAATGAGGCTCAGTAGTTTGTGTGGCCTCCACGTGCCTGTATGACCTCCCTACAACGCCTGGGCATGCTCCTGATGAGGTGGCGGATGGTCTCCTGAGGGATCTCCTCCCAGACCTGGACTAAAGCATCCGCCAACTCCTGGACAGTCTGTGGTGCAACGTGGCGTTGGTGGATGGAGCGAGACATGATGTCCCAGATGTGCTCAATTGGATTCAGGTCTGGGGAACGGGCGGGCCAGTCCATAGCATCAATGCCTTCCTCTTGCAGGAACTGCTGACACACTCCAGCCACATGAGGTCTAGCATTGTCTTGCATTAGGAGGAACCCAGGGCCAACCGCACCAGCATATGGTCTCACAAGGGGTCTGAGGATCTCATCTCGATACCTAATGGCAGTCAGGCTACCTCTGGCGAGCACATGGAGGGCTGTGCGGCCCCCCAAAGAAATGCCACTCCACACCATGACTGACCCACCGCCAAACCGGTCATGCTGGAGGATGTTGCAGGAAGCAGAACGTTCTCCACGGCGTCTCCAGACTCTGTCACGTCTGTCACGTGCTCAGTGTGAACCTGCTTTCATCTGTGAAGAGCACAGGGCACCAGTGGCGAATTTGCCAATCTTGGTGTTCTCTGGCAAATGCCAAACGTCCTGCATGGTGTTGGGCTGTAAGCACAACCCCCACCTGTGGACGTCGGGCCCTCATACCACCCTCATGGAGTCTGTTTCTGACCGTTTGAGCAGACACATGCACATTTGTGGCCTGCTGGAGGTCATTTTGCAGAGCTCTGGCAGTGCTCCTCCTGCTCCTCCTTGCACAAAGGCGGAGGTAGCGGTCCTGCTGCTGGGTTGTTGTCCTCCTACGGCCTCCACGTCTCCTGATGTACTGGCCTGTCTCCTGGTAGCGCCTCCATGCTCTGGACACTACGCTGACAGACACAGCAAACCTTCTTGCCACAGCTCGCATTGATGTGCCATCCTTGATGAGCTGTACTACCTGAGCCACTTGTGTGGGTTGTAGACCCACTTATGTGGTCCTCTGTAGCTCAATTGGTAGAGCATGGCGCTTGTAACGCCAGGGTAGTGGGTTCGATCCCCGGGACCACCCATACGTAAAAATGTATGCACACATGACTGTAAGTCGCTTTGGATAAAAGCGTCTGCTAAATGGCATATTATTATATTATAGACTCCGTCTCATGCTACCACTAGAGTGAAAGCACCGCCAGCATTCAAAAGTGTCCAAAACATCAGCCAGGAAGCATAGGAACTGAGAAGTGGTCTGTGGTCACCACCTGCAGAACCACTCCTTTATTGGGGGTGTCTTGCTAATTGCCTATAATTTCCACCTGTTGTCTATTCCATTTGCACAACAGCATGTGACATTTATTGTCAATCAGTGTTGCTTCCTAAGTGGACAGTTTGATTTCACAGAAGTGTGATTGAGTTGGAGTTACATTGTGTTGTTTAAGTGTTCCCTTTATTTTTTTGAGCAGTGTATATTTTATATTTGAGATTCTTCAAATAGCCACCCTTTGCCTTGATGACAGCTTTGCACACTCTTGGCATTCTCTCAACCAGCTTCATGAGGTAGTCACCTGGAATGCATTTCAATTAACAGGTGTGCCTTCTTAAAAGTTAATTTGTGGAATTTCTTTCCTTCTTTGAGGAATCAGTTGTGTTGTGACAAGGTAGGGGGGTATACAGAAGATAGCCCTATTTGATAAAAGACCAAGTCCATATTATGGAAAAAACAGCTCAAATAAGCAAAGAGAAACGACAGTCCATCATTACGTTAAGACATGAAGGTCAGTCAATACGGAACATTTCAAGAACTTTGAAAGTTTCTTCAAGTGCAGTCGCAAAAACCATCAAGCGCTATGATGAAACTGGCTCTCATGAGGACCGCCACAGGAATGGAAGACCCAGAGTTACCTCTGCTGCAGAGGATAAGTTCATTAGAGTTACCAGCCTCAGAAATTGCAGCCCAAATAAATGCTTCACAGAATTCAAGTCGCAGACACATCTCAACATCAACTGTTCAGAGGGGACTGTGTGAATTTTATAAAATGTATTTTACCTTTATTTAACTAGGCAAGTCAGTTAAGAACAAATTCTTATTTATAATGACGGCCTACACCGGCCAAACCCGGACAACGCTGGGTCAATTGTGCACAACGCTGGGACGGCTGTGATACAGCCTGGAATCGAACCAGGGGGTCTGTAGTGACGCCTCAAGCACTGAGATGCAGTGCCTTAGACCACTGCGCCACTCGGGAGCCTTCATGAATCAGGCCTTCATGGTCGAATTGCTGCAAAGAAACCAATACTAAAGGACACCAATAAGAAGATGAGACCAGCTTGGGCTAAGAAACACGAGCAATGGACATTAGACCGGTGGAAATGTTGTCCTTTGTTCTGGAGTCCAAATTGGAGATTTTTGGTTCCAACCGCCTTGTCTTTGTGAGACGTGGTGTGGGTGAACGGATGATCTCTGCATGTGTAGTTCCCACCATAAAAGCATGGAGGAGGTGGTGTGGGGGTGCTTTGCTGGTGACACTGTGATTTATTTAGAATTCAAGGCACACTTAACCAGCATTCTGCAGCGATACACCATCCCATCTGGTTTGGGTTTAGTCCCACTATAATTTGTTTTTCAACATGTCAATGACCCAACACACCTCCAGGCTGTGTAAGGGCTATTTTACCAAGAAGGAGAGTGATGGAGTGCTGCATCAGATGACCTGGCCTCCACAATCCCCTGAACTCAACCCAATTGAGATGGTTTGGGATGAGTCTGACCGCAGAGTGACGGAAAAGCAGCCAACAAGTGCTCAGCATATGTGGGAACTCCCTCAAGACTGTTGGAAAATCATTCCAGGTGAAGCTGGTTGAGCGAAGGCAAAGGGTGGCTATTTGAAGAATCTCAAATTATATTTGGATTTGTTTAACACTTTTTAGTTACTACATGATTCCATATGTATTATTTCATAGTTTTGATGTCTTCACTATTATTCTACAATGTAGAAAATAGTAAAAATAAAGAAAAACCCTTGAATGAGTAAGTGTGTCCAAACTTTTGACTGGTACTGTATACTTCCGTTAATTAGTTTCAACTGGTACCAGGGGACCTTCAGACTAGTCTTGCGAGGCATGTGGGCGTCCTAGAGCAAAACGTGTTCGTTAGAGTCTCACCTTTCCACAGAGGGGTCATATTCGTGTGTAGCCCAAATTGTTCAGACGCTACAGACAGAAGTTGGCAGATCGGCTGTACTGACTCTAGACGAGTCCCAAGATGCTTGTGGGGGTCGTAGAGCAAAACGGAGAACACCTTCGTGTTATTGAGAGTCTCATCTTCCCACAGAGCGGTCAATTTGTAGGCCAAACTATTCGGACGCTAGAGACGATTTTGTGAGAAGTCCGATTTTTGGGATGTCCCATGGTCTGACATAACACTACTCTAGCTCTGTCACCTTTCACCGCAGATGCAGGAGTGCGACATCGGCGGATGCGGTGGATTGAGACGCCTGCAAATAAATATCTCTAGTTTAAACAGACTGATTTTTCTGGGGATTGTTTTTACCATACCAATTAGATTTCACGAGTACAGTTAGGCCCTAAGGCTTACACACTAATGCCAGATAGCCTCAATGCAGCCTATATGTATAAATTGCACAATAATTATACAGTTTATGATTTTTAAGGCATTGTTTTCACTTTATTCATCCCGCCCGCCACCCACCTGCCCTTCATCCACAGAATATTTCATGACCCTAAACCCACCCGCCCTTCAGATATAACTGTGGAGACTGAGGGCGATGCGGTTATGCGTCAACCCACGCATCACTAATGTGTGTGTCTCTGTGTGGATGATAATAAGTGTAGGCTTTTACATGATTTCTGATTTGACTTCAGTTATTAACAGGCTGTAAATTACACTTTTATTAGATTAGAACTGATCTGTAATACAGAAGGTGACAGTGCTTGACAGAAACACAACACAAATGGAGGTGAAAACATGACATTTATCTCAGAATAAAAAAAGGGGAAATCTGTGATTGCTTCATCCATTTTTGGACTTTTAAATTAATGATATACTGTATACCGATTGATTCTTGAAGGATGTAACTTATAAATGCCTCATGAACTTAGTTCAACTGTCATACACCATCAGAACCCAAAATATTAGCTTATTTTACTACATTGTTCTATAGCCTCAAAACATGGTTAAAACTATAATTTTGATATCATGCATGGTCAGTCCTTGTATCCATAGCTCTATCTATGAATTTGAGAGTGGTTACGTTTATCCAGCCCCATCCCTCAGCTGTTTACCGAAACAGTGGCGTGGAGGCCATTTTATTGTTTGAACTGCAGATTTCTTCTTATGTGCAGCTCCTGCTCGTAAAAAAAAAAAACGGCACTAGCTGCATTTGGTTAAAATTATAAAAATAGAAAATTATTAGTGTGGAAAGCTACAGTATATATTTTGATACGGTAATGAACAGGGGCATTGTGGAACACTTTGGTGCTGTAGTATACAGTAAGAGAAGCTTCTAGAGCTCTCTGGTCTCTTCTCCTGTCCTGTCCCATCTCATCTGTACCACTGCAGGAATAGGTCAGCCATCTCTCACTGTGGCTCAGCTCTAGTCAGGTGTGTGTGTGTGTGTGTGTGTGTGTGTGTGTGTGTGTGTGTGTGTGTGTTGTAATGGTTTAGCTGTAATATGAGGTGAAAAACTGAGATCGCTGTTGACGTAGAGGCAGAGAAATAAGAGAAAGGAAGAGATGAGTGGTTAACAGGAGAATTCATCATTTACTTACAGGTGGAAGGTAGCGTGAGCTGCTCTCAGACCACATCATCTTTGGAGAGAAACACATTCTACTGGACATGTTGTATGATGCTGGAGAGGTACAAGAAAGAGAGGAGGAAAGAGAGATTGTAGAAGACATTTGGCCAGATGGGAGGTGATCTCAGTCTGTCACCTGTATTATCTTTGTCATCTAGACATCTGGGTCAATGCTGAGGAACATCAAAGGTTGGGTTGCTCTTGTATGATGCTCTAACAGTTCCACCTGTCTAACAGATTAACCCTAAAGTGGCAAAGAGATATGGAATGATGAGGGTGGAGGGGAGAAAAGGGAGGAGGAGTCAGAGTGGACAAGAGAGAAGCTCTGAGGAGTCAGAGAAAGCGAGAGAGATTTACAACCTCAGGGCTGTAGCCCTCAGAATGTGTCTTCAGCCAGGTCTTGTCCCGCTAGCAGACAAATGTTATTGCACAGAGAAGGTCTGAGAAAAAAGGAGAATGATGAATGGAGCAGGCATTTAACCCGTGATACAAGTCCGTATTCGACGTTCATCCATGTCTGAGGACGTCGGGAGATGACGTGGAAACCGGCCATTAGGGGCAACAGTGAGCGCTGTTGCTTCAAGTAGTTTTCGGTAAACATCTGCCTCTGGTTCCACCAAAGGTTGCATGTTTGAATCCAGCGATAATTGTTTTAGATATTTTTGTTTTAAGCCTATCCCAAACCTTAACCCTTACCTTAACCATTCGGAGTTAATGGCTAAACTTAATGGCTAAAGGTGGATGGAAAGAAAATAAGGTAGATTAGAGACAAAGAAATAAGACAAGGGCTAGGAGAGAGGAAATGAAGGGAAGAGATAGAAAGCCTGTGGTATTTGTATGAGCAGGTCTACAGTGAGGGGAAAAAGTATTTGATCCCCTGCTGATTTTGTACGTTTGCCCACTGACAAAGAAATGATCAGTCTATAATTTTAATGGTAGGTTTATTTGAACAGTGAGAGACAGAATAACAGCAAAATCCAGAAAAACGCATGTCAAAAATGTTATAAATTGATTTGCTTTTTATTGAGGGAAATAAATATTTGACCCCTCTGCAAAACATGACTTAGTACTTGGTGGCAAAACCCTTGTTGGCAATCAGAGGTCAGACGTTTCTTGTAGTTGGCCACCAGGTTTGCACACATCTCAGGAGGGATTTTGTCCCACTCCTCTTTGCAGATCTTCTCCAAGTCATTAAGGTTTCAAGGCTGACATTTGGCAACTCGAACCTTCAGCTCCCTCCACAGATTTTTTATGGGATTAAGATCTGGAGACTGGCTAGGCCACTCCAGGACCTTAATGTGCTTCTTCTTGAGCCACTCCTTTGTTGCCTTGGCCATGTGTTTTGGGTCATTGTCATGCTGGAATACCCATCCACGACCCATTTTCAATGCCCTGGCTGAGGGAAGGAGGTTCTCACCCAAGATTTGACGGTCCATCGTCCCTTTGATGCGGTGAAGTTGTCCTGTCCCCTTAGCAGAAAAACACCCCCAATGCATAATGTTTCCACCTCCATGTTTGACGGTGGGGATGGTGTTCATGGGGTCATAGGCAGCATTCCTCCTCCTCCTAACACGGCGAGTTGAGTTGATGCCAAAGAGCTCCATTTTGATATCATCTGACCACAACACTTTCACCCAGTTCTCCTCTGAATCATTCAGATGTTCATTGGCAAACTTCAGACGGGCATGTATATGTGCTTTCTTGAGCAAGGGGACCTTGCGGGCGCTGCAGGATTTCAGTCCTTCACGGCGTAGTGTGTTACCAATTGTTTTCTTGGTGACTATGGTCCCAGCTGCCTTGAGATCATTGACAAGATCCTCCTGTGTAGTTCTGGGCTGATTCCTCACCGTTCTCATGATCATTGCAACTCCACGAGGTGAGATCTTGCATGGAGCCCCAGGCCGAGGGAGATTGACAGGTCTTTTGTGTTTCTTCCATTTGCGAATAATCGCACCAACTGTTGTCACCTTCTCGCCAAGCTGCTTGGCGATGGTCTTGTAGCCCATTCCAGCCTTGTGTAGGTCTACATTCTTGACCCTGACATCCTTGGAGAGCTCTTTGGTCTTGGCCATGGTGGAGAGTTTGGAATCTGATTGATTACTTCTGTGGACAGGTGTCTTTTTATACAGGTAACAAGCTGAGATTAGGAGCACTCCCTTTAAGAGTGTGCTCCTAATCTCATCTCGTTAGTTGTATAAAATACACCTGGAAGCCAGAAATCTTTCTGATTGAGAGGGGGTCAAATACTTATTTCCCTCATTTAAAATGCAAATAAATTTATTACATGCGTTTTTCTGGATTTTTTTGTTGTTATTCTGTCTCTCACTGTTCAAATAAACCTACCATAAAAATTATACACTGATCATTTCTTTGTCAGTGGGCAAATGTACAAAATCAGCAGGGGATCAAATACTTTTTCCCCTCGAGGGAGAGGGGGAGAATCAAAGACCTGTGTGTTTTAAGTGTCTCAGAAAAATGGCCTCTTACATCCACACTCTGCAAGAGGTCCCAAGCTCAAAACGCCTACAGCTATTCACTATCACAGAGAACAGAACAGCAGAGAAACACAGAACAAAGCACACACTAACATCCCCATGGGCTCCCCATGGGCGGCAGATAGCTTAGTGGTTAAGAGCGTTGTACCAGTAACCGAAAGGTCGCTGGTTCTAATCCCCTAGCCGACTAGGTGAAAAATCTGTCGATGTGCCCTTGAGCAAGGCACTTAACCCTAATTGCTCCTGTAAGTCGCTCTGGATAAGAGCGTCTGCTAAATGACCTATCTATTTATTTATTTATTTATTTTATTTATTTTATTTATATCCCCCATCTCTCTCTGTAGGCCTGCGGAGCGTTCAGGAGAGGATGTAGATATTATTCTGACCAGACTAAAAGGGGTTAAAGCCTTCCAGAGGTTCCACCCCTCTCTGCTGCTGCAGATCTGCTCCTGTGCCTTCTACGAATACCTGGAGAAAGGCATCACCTGTAAGTATACGCACACACACTTGCACATCGGTACACACTCACTCAGTGGAATGAACCCCTGGATAAAGGCCTCTCCAATACCTCATTGGCTTTCAGCTTTACTATGACTTGTCACTTCACTGTTGACTGTTTCTGAATGCTCTATAAGCTGTTATGTTATGCTGTTATGCTCTGTGTAGTGTTCCGCCAGGGCGACATAGGGACCAGCTGGTATGCTGTTCTGTCTGGCTCTCTGGACGTCAAGGTGTCAGAAACAGCCAACCACCAGGTAAATCAGGTCTGCTTTATACATTTGACTACAGCTCTATTCGGGGTTCCTCCTCTCTCGAAAGTTATGTTCTCTAGGGTTCTGTGCTGTTCTTCTTGTGTTACTACTTGTGTAGTCCCATTACAGCCTTGATGAATGTTTGGAGTGCATTACCTACAATACTCCATGTTAAAATATGCACGCTAGGCTAGCAGCTAGCACGCTCCAGTGTTAGCTCGGAGCAAAGCTGCTGCCTCTCAAACGCTCCTCTGAGGATTGAGCTAGTTACTGTGTGGAGGGTTCAGAAGTGCTTTAGCAAGACAGAAAGACAAAATAGATCGAGCATACAGGATTGGTTGTTAGAATTTGAGATGTAACAAAAGATCCAGTTAAAAATCCCTGTACCCGTTTGTCATGCTCATGTCTCTGGGCTTAGCCTGGCCTAGTTCTGATGGCCATTTCTGAAATGTCATTTGGGACAGTAGGATGACGTTAGGTCCCCTCTATCATATTAGACATGAGGAAGAGCGTGTGTGCTGGAAAGTGAGTTTGTGCATGTGAGTGTCCACTCTCTCACAGAGAGACCATGTTCATATTATCCGCTGTATGTGGGTCACTATCTGGCCATGCTAGAAAGGATAGAAGAACAGCACGTTATACAGTGGGGAGAACAAGTATTTGATACACTGCTGATTTTGCAGGTTGTTCTTCTTACAAAGCATGTAGAGGTCTGTAATTTTTATCATAGGTACACTTCAACTGTGAGAGATGGAATCTAAAACAAAAATCCAGAAAATCACATTGTATTATTTTTAAGTAATTCATTTGCATTTTATTGCATGACATAAGTATTTGATCACCTACCAACCAGTAAGAATTCCGCTCTCACAGACCTGTCAGTTTTTCTTTAAGAAGCCCTCCTGTTCTCCACTCATTACCTGTATTAACTGCACCTGTTTGAACTCGTTACCTGTATAAAAGACACCTGTCCACACACTCAATCGAACAGACCCCAACCTCTCCACAATGCCCAAGACCAGAGAGCTGTGTAAGGACATCAGGGATACAATTGTAGACCTGCACAAGGCTAGGATGGGCTACAGGACAATAGGCAAGCAGCTTGGTGAGAAGGCAACAACTGTTGGCGCAATTATTAGAAAATGGAAGAAGTTCAAAATGATGGTCAATCACCCTCGGTCTGGGGCTCCATGCAAGATCTCACCTCGTGGGCCATCAATGATCATGAGGAAGGTGAGGGATCAGCCCAGAACTACACGGCAGGACCTGGTCAATGACCTGAAGAGAGCTGGGACCACAGTCTCAAAGAAAACCATTAGTAACATACTACGCCGTCATGGATTAAAATCCTGCAGGGCACGCAAGGTCCCCCTGCTCAAGCCAGCGCATGTCCAGGCCCGTCTTAAGTTTGCCAATGACCATCTGGATGATCCAGAGGAGGAATGGGAGAAGGTCATGTGGTCTGATGAGACAAAAATATAGTTTTTTGGTCTAAACTCCACTCGCCGTGTTTGGAGGAAGAAGAAGGATGAGTACAACCCCAAGAACACCATCCCAACCGTGAAGCATGGAGGTGGAAACATCATTCTTTGGGGATGCTTTTCTGCAAAGGGGACAGGATGACTGCACCGTATTGAGGGGAGGATGGATGGGGCCATGTATCGCGAGATCTTGGCCAACAACCTCCTTCCCTCAGTAAGAGCATTGAAGATGGGTCGTGGCTGGGTCTTCCAGCATGACAACGACCTGAAACACACAGCCAGGGCAACTAAGGAGTGGCTCCGTAAGAAGCATCTCAAGGTCCTGGAGTGGCCTAGCCAGTGTCCAGACCTGAACCCAATAGAAAATCTTTGGAGGGAGCTGAAAGTCTGTATTGCCCAGCGACAGCCCCGAAACCTGAAGGATCTGGAGAAGGTCTGTATGGAGGAGTGGGCCAAAATCCCTGCTGCAGTGTGTGCAAACCTGGTCAAGACCTACAGGAAACGTATGATCTCTGTAATTGCAAACAAAGGTTTCTGTACCAAATATTAAGTTCTGCTTTTCTGATGTATCAAATACTTATGTCATGCAATAAAATGCAAATTAATTACTTAAAAATCATACAATGTGATCTTCTGGATTGTTGTTTTAGATTCTGTCTCTCACAGTTAAAGTGTACCTATGATAAAAATTACAGACCTCTACATGCTTTGTATGTAGGAAAACCTGCAAAATCGGCAATGTATCAAATACTTGTTCTCCCCACTGTATGTGACCATGATAGACAGGAATCTAGAATAGCACGTTCTAACCACGAGTATGACTTGAACTACTAGCCTTAACAATGACCCTTAGGCTGCATTTATAACATTGTAACATTGAACCTTAGGCTGCGTTTACACAGGCAGCCCAATTCTGATATTGGTATTTTGACCAATAATTTGCATGTGTAAACACAGTCTTAGATAGATAGTGGGTCTGGATTGAACAAGCTTCTGTCTCTGTGTAAGGCTGCGTTTACACAGTTCTGATCTTTTGCCCAATTATTGGCAAAAGATCTGATCTGATTGGTCAAAAGACCAATTAGTGGCAAAAATATCAATTGGGCTGCCTGTGTAAATGCAGTCAAACTATCCTCAGTGCTGATGTACTGTATGTGGTGGTTGTTCTTGCTCTAGAAATTAATTGCCCTTTTGTGGACAAAGATGTATTGAATGTAACTGAATCAAATTGAATCAAATAAGATAAAATTGCGTGTGTTCTGCCTGTGTGTCTAGGATGCTGTCAGTATCTGCACGCTGGGAATCGGGACGGCGTTTGGAGAGTCGATTCTGGATAATACTCCTCGCCACGCCACCATCGTCAGCAGAGAGACCAGCGAATTGCTCCGCATCGAACAGAGAGAGTTCAAGAGTCTATGGGAGGTGAGAGAGAGGAAGAGAGAGAGACACAATTACAATTCTGAAGTGGTTCTCGCTCTGGCCACGAGGGCTGTCCACTGTCAACACCAGGCCTCCACTACAGTCCACTGTTTGTGTGACCTTGTGGAACCTGCTGTCCTTTTCACTGCCTGGGAGCATTGGGATGATGCATGCTACAACTGAACCAATCATCGTGTGTGTGAGTGTTTTGTCTAGCAGTTGAAAGAGGAGGAGTAGGATGTGGAGGAAGCGCTAGTGGGCTAAGTGTTTTTGTCTCTGTGCTAAGTGCACTCCTCCTCGCTGTCTTTCTTCAGCTCTCTCTCAGCGCTCTCTTCTCTGGTGTTTATTTTAGGAGTCTAGAGATAGAGCAGAGAGAGTGTCTGAGGTTGTAGCTCTTACAGTGGACATAAGAACCTCAATGTTCTGATCTTATGTCAAATGTGTGTGTGCGTATGCATGTGTGTTTCACACAGGAAGAGATTAGGATTCATACAGTGTGGGATATTAGCCTTGGTGCCAGTCTCTTACTGCTGCCATTGTCTTGAAGTAGCATATCACGCTGGTTAAAGGAGAGGAAACCACAAAGTGTCTGAAAGCCAGATCTGTCATAACACCTCCCCAGGGCCAGGTCACTCTGACTGAGAGTCACAACATTTGACAGGTGATACAATAGTGTTACTACAGGGGCCCATGGACATGGCTGGACAGGGCTATCACTTTTAACAGACATACTATTCATCTCAACCCCACACAGTCACCCCAAAGTGTGTCAACTTCTGTCTTGTGAAATAAGAGAAGGAGGCAGAGGAAGGGTTAGCCTTTCACTTTATGATCAATTTAAGAATTATTTGATATATATGTTACAGTACTTTTACAGTGTGCTATTTACCTGGTAGCATGTTTCTTATAATTTACACACTAGAACGATAATGGTGCCGGAGGCAAGCAACACTGAAGCATGCATGAGAGCACCAGCTGTTCTTTACGACTGTGTGATCAGGCTCTCCGTAGCCGATGTGAGCAAGACCTTTAAACAGGTCAACATTCACAAGGCCGGAGGGGCCAGACGGATTACCAGGACTGTACTCAGAGCATGCGCGGACCAACTGGCAAGTGTCTTCACTGACATTTTCAACCTCTCCCTAACAGAGTGTGTAATACCTACATGTTTCAAACAGACCACCATAGTCCCTGTGCCCAAGAAAGCAAAGGTAACCTGCCTAAAAGACTACCGCACCGTAGCACTCACGTCGTTAGCCATGAAGTGCTTTGAAAGGCTGGTCATGGCTCACATCAATACCATCATCCCGGAAAACTAGACCCACTCCAATTCACATACAGTGGGGAGAACAAGTATTTGATACACTGCCGATTTTGCAGGTTTTCCTACTTACAAAGCATGTAGAGGTCTGTAATTATTATCATAGGTACACTTCAACTGTGAGAGACGGAATCTAAAACAAAAATCCAGAAAATCACATTGTAAGTAATTAATTTGCATTTTATTGCATGACATAAGTATTTGATACATCAGAAAAGCAGAACTTAATATTTGGTACAGAAACCTTTGTTTGCAATTACAGAGATCATTCGTTTCCTGTAGGTCTTGACCAGGTTTGCACACACTGCAGCAGGGATTTTGGCCCACTCCTCCATACAGACCTTCTCCAGATCCTTCAGGTTTCGGGGCTGTCGCTGGGCAATACGGACTTTCAGCTCCCTCCAAAGATTTTCTATTGGGTTCAGGTCTGGACACTGGCTAGGCCACTCCAGGACCTTGAGATGCTTCTTACGGAGCCACTCCTTAGTTGCCCTGGCTGTGTGTTTCGGGTCGTTGTCATGCTGGAAGACCCAGCTACGACCCATCTTCAATGCTCTTACTGAGGGAAGGAGGTTGTTGGCCAAGATCTCGCGATACATGGCCCCATCCATCCTCCCCTCAATACGGTGCAGTCGTCCTGTCCCCTTTGCAGAAAAGCATCCCCAAAGAATGATGTTTCCACCTCCATGCTTCACAGTTGGGATGGTGTTCTTGGGGTTGTACTCATCCTTCTTCTTCCTCCAAACACGGCGAGTGGAGTTTAGACCAAAAAGCTCTATTTTTGTCTCATCAGAACACATGACCTTCTCCCATTCCTCCTCTGGATCATCCAGATGGTCATTGGCAAACTTCAGACGGGCCTGGACATGCGCTGGCTTGAGCAGGGGGACCTTGTGTGCGCTGCAGGATTTTAATCCATGACGGCGTAGTGTGTTACTAATGGTTTTCTTTGAGACTGTGGTCCCAGCTCTCTTCAGGTCATTGACCAGGTCCTGCCGTGTAGTTTTGGGCTGATCCCTCACATTCCTCATGATCATTGATGCCCCACGAGGTGAGATCTTGCATGGAGCCCCAGACCGAGGGTGATTGACCGTCATCTTGAACTTCTTCCATTTTCAAATAATTGCGCCAACAGTTGTTGCCTTCTCACCAAGCTGCTTGCCTATTGTCCTGTAGCCCATCCCAGCCTTGTGCAGGTCTACAATTTTATCCCTGATGTCCTTACACAGCTCTCTGGTCTTGGCCATTGTGGAGAGGTTGGAATCTGTTTGACTGAGTGTGTGGACAGGTGTCTTTTATACAGGTAACGACTTCAAACAGGTGCAGTTAATACAGGTAATGAGTGGAGAACAGGAGGGCTTCTTAAAGAAAAACTAACAGGTCTGTGAGAGCCGGAATTCTTACTGGTTGGTAGGTGATCAAATACTTATGTCATGCAATAAAATGCAAATTAATTACTTAAAAATCATACGATGTGATTTTCTGGATTTTTGTTTTAGATTCCGTCTCTCACAGTTGAAGTGTACCTATGATAAAAATTACAGACCTCTACATGCTTTGTAAGTAGGAAAACCTGCAAAATTGGCAGTGTATCAAATACTTGTTCTCCCCACTGTACAGCCCCAACAGATCCATAGATGATGCAATCTCAATCGCACTCCACACTGCCCTTTTCCACCTGGACAAAAGGAACACCTATGTGAGAATGCTGTTCATTGACTACAGTTCAGCGTTCAACACCATAGTGCCCACAAAGCTCATCACTAAGCTAAGGACCCTGGGACTAAACACCTCCCTCTGCAACTGGATCCTGGACTTCCTGATGGGCCGCTGCCAGGTCGTAAGGGTAGTCAACAACACATCTGCCACGCTGATCCTCAACACAGGGGCCCCTCAGGGGTGCATGTTTAGTCCCCTCCTGTACTCCCTGTTCACCCATGACTGCGTGGCCAAGCACAACTCCAACACCTTCATTAAGTTTGCTCTCGACACAACTATGGTAGGCCTGATCACCGACAACGATGAGACAGCCTATAGGGAGGAGGTCAGAGACCTGGCAGTGTGGTGCCAGGACAACAACCTCTCCCTCAATATGAGCAAAACAAAGGAGCTGATCGTGGACTAAAGGAAAAGGAGGGCCGAACACGCCCCCATTCACATCGACGGGGCTGTAGTGGAGCGGGTCGAGAGTTTCAAGTTCCTTGGTGTGCACATCACCTACAAACTATCATAGTCCAAACACTCCAAGACCGTCGTGAAGAGGGTACGACAAAGCCTTTTCCCCTCAGAAGACTGAAAAGATTTGGCATTGGTCCCCAGATCCTCAATGTTTTACAGCTGCACCATCGAGAGCATCCTAACCGGATGCATTACTGCCTGGTATGGCAACTGCTTGGCATCCGACCATAAGTTGCTACAGAGGGTAGTGCATACAGCCCAGTACATCACTGGGGCCAAGCTTCCTGCCATCCAGGACCTATATACTAGGCGGTGTCAGAGGAAGGCCCAAAAAATGGTCAAAGACTCCAGTCACCCAAGTCATAGCCTATTCTCTCTGCTACCGCACAGCAAGCGGTACCGGAGCGCCAAGTCTAGGTCCAAAAGGCTCCTTAACAGCTTCTACCCCCAAGCCATAAGACTGCTGAACAATTAATCAAATGGCCACCCAGACTATTTTCATTGACCCCCCCTTTGTTTTTACACTGCTGCTACTCGATGTTTATTATCTTTGCATAGTCACAAATTACCTCGACTAACCTGTACCACACACATTGACTCGGTACCGGTACCCCCTGTATATAGCCTCGTTAATATTATTTTATTGTGTTGCTTTTTCTTTTCTTTTCTTTTTTTACTTTAGTTTATTTAGTAAATATTTTCTTAACTCCATTTTCTAAAAACGGCATTGTTGGTTAAGGGCTTGTAAGTCAGCATTTCACGGTATTCGGCACGTGACAAATAACATTTTATTTGAATGGTCCTTGCATAATACTTACATAATAGTAACATTTTGGTTTCTTTGGGATTCTCTGAAACAAATGCTGTCTATCGTCCTTCTGTCTCTCTCACATACTCTCCCCCTTTCCGTCTCTCGCTGAAAAGCTGTGATTGTCATGGCAACCGCTTGGCTTGTTTAGAGAGAGACGCTAAGAACTGGAGTGCTGTTTCAAAGAGGTGTGTGTGTGTGTGAGAGAGGGGGGAGACATCTGGGGTAGTACTGAGGATGCTGGATTCCTGGTTGTGTGGTATGGATTACAGGAGCAGAGGGCACCTCTTAGGGGATCTTCACAGCCTTACAACGTAGAGAAGACCCTGGGTGAGTTTAGTCAAGTGTGTGTGTGTACTCATTCATGAATTGATAGAAAATACAAACACCCGGTAAACTCTGTTATGATTTCGGTGCGGATGTGATATCAGCTGATTGTTGGTTGTGTCTGTGTGTCAGCAGGTTCCTGAATGTTAAAGGGCCTCTCTTCCTGTGTGTGTGTTTTGGCAAACTCCTGAAGGCATGGGCTTCCCTGGTAATGACTAAAGAGCACACAGACGTTAGAGTTCAGCATTACATAATATTGGAGAACTCCATTTGTAAGTTCATCCATGTGTGTGTTGAGCATTCAGGCAGGGTTAAGGAAATCAAGCAATCTGCAATATTTGTCTTGAAATATGGATATGAACACAAGAGTGAGTGGTGCAATTATAGGGTTGTTACGGTGAACGTTTTACCTCCACACCGGCAGTCACGAGTCATGACCGCAGTCTCCCGAGTGGCGCAGTGGTCTAAGGCACTGCATCGCAGTGCTAGCTGTGCCACTAGAGATCCTGGTTCGAATCCAGGCTCTGTCGTAGCCGGCCGTGACCGGGAGACCCATGGGGCAGCGCACAATTGGCCCAGCGTCGTCCAGGGTAGGGGAGGGAATGGCCGGCAGGGATGTTGGTAGAGCATGGTGTTTGCAACGCCAGGGTTGTGGGTTCGATTCCCGCGGGGGGCCAGTATGAAAAATAAATACAAATATGTATGTACTCACTAACTGTAAGTCGCTCTGGATAAGAGCGTCTGCTAAATGACTAAAATGTAAATGTAAAATGATTCCCACGGGGGGCCAGTATGTATAACTGTAAGTCGCTCTGGATAAGAGCGTCTGCTAAATGACTAAAAATGTAAAATGTAAATTCCACATGACCGTTGAGTCACAGTAATTAGGCTTCTCCAAAACTGTGCTCTGATGCTGCTGATGGTCATTAGTAGCCAACCAAACTTGCTAACGGCCAATCAGTCGCTAATGGCTTGGTACCCAGCGCTCTATTGTCCCTCTAATCACACTGACATCAATGCAAATGTGTTCTAAAATCAAATCGAACACTTCATGAGAGCCCTGGCATTCAGAGTTTGAGCTGAATAGGATATAGAATCACCTGTTGCACAGCGAGAGCCAGCTCCTCATAGCTGGTTGATGCATGGAATTAAATGTGTCCCTATAAGCCTATGCAATTGTGTGAGAAAACAATGTTTTGATGGCCTCAAGGCTATTAAAAAGAGGCGGATCCCATCAGCTTTCTATAGGCTAGGCATACTGTATTTATTTCTCAACTTTCCTAATATTAAGCACATTGCTTCGCTTTACAACTGGAGTAGCCTACCTGGCTGGCATGAAAAGGAACCGTGGGTGACGTATTTTTAATGGCCCATTCTAAATCAAAACAAATTTCACACATATTATTTAGTATATGTATAGACAAGATTAAATTGATAATAATAATATTATCACTTGTGAATTATGCCCGACGTGTGCAGTCTAAGGCAAGAAACAGCACATGCATTTTTTGCGACTTTTTCGAATCATAGTCACATGCATCAGTTAGCCTTGCCCATAGGCCTATATGTTTTGATAAGATTTCTATGACAGCTGATGTGGCCAAATGACTCCAAGTGTAGCCTATAGGCCTAGGACCCCTGGAACAGGGTTGGAGACCCCATAGCCTACAGAGCCTAGTGAAATGTGTTCTTATAAGCCCAGTCATTGCGCAATCGCGTGTGAAAAAGGTGCGTGCTTATAATGTTTAAGAGAAACATGAATGTGTTGAAAATCCCAAATTGTTTGCATAGTCAATTTACACACAGCTCTGACACACACACTTACCCCACCAGACATGCCACCAGGGTTATTTTCCCAGTCGCCAAATCCAGAACAAATTCAAGAAAGCATGCAGTATTATATAGAGCCATTATTGCATGGAACTCCGTTCCATCTCAAATTGCTCAAATAAACAGCCAACCTGGTTTAAAAAAACAGATAAAGCAACACCTCGCGGCACAACGCCTCTCCCCTATTTGACCTAGATAGTTTGTGTATGTATTGATATGTAGGCTACGTGTGCCTTTAAAAGAAATGTATGTAGTTCTGTCCTTGAGCTGTTCTTGTCTATTTATGTTCTGTATTATATCATGTTTCATGTTTTGTGTGGACCCCAGGAAGACTAGCTGCTGCTTTTGCAACAGCTAATTGGGATCCTAATAAAATATCAAAATACCCCTCCTGTACTTCCTGTTCACCCGTGACTGCGTGGCCACGCACATCTCCAACTCAATCGTCAAGTTTGCAGACCACACAACAGTGGTAGGCCTGATTACCAACAACGATGAGACAGCCTACAGGGAGAAGGTGAGGGCCCTGGCGGAGTGGTGCCAGGAAAATAACCTCAACATCAACAAAACGAAGGAGCTGATCGTGGACTTCAGGAGACAGCAGAGAGAGCACACCCCCATCCACATCGACGGGGTCGCAGTGGAGAAGGTGAAAAGCTTCAAGTTCTCGGCGTGCACATCACTGACACTCTGAAATGGTCCATCCACACAGACAGTGTGGTGAAGAAGGCGCAGCAGCGCATCTTCAAAACCAGGAGGCTGAACAAATTTGGCTTGGCCATAAAACCCTCATGAACTTCGACAGATGCACCATTGAGAGCATCCTGTTGGGCTGTGTCACCGCCTGGTATGGCAATTGCACCGCCCACTACCGCAGGGCTCTCCAGAGGGTGGTGAGGTCAGCCCAACGCATCACCGGGGGCACACTGCCTGCCCTCCAAGACATCTACAGCACCCGTTGTCACAGGAAGGCTAAGAAGATCATCAAGGACCTCAGCCACCCGAGCCATGGCATGTTCACCACACTACCATCTAAAAGGCGAAGACCGTACAGGTGCATCAATGCTGGGACCGAGAGACTAGAAAAACAGCTTCTATCTCCAGGCCATCAGACTGTTAAATAGTCACCACTAGCCGGCCTCCGCCCAGTACCCTGCCCTGAACTTAGTCACTGTTACTAGCTGGCTACCACCCGGCACTCTAACCTGCACCTTAGAGACTGTCGCCCTATGTACATAGTCATTGAACACCAGTCAATTTAATAATGTTTACATACTGTTTTACCCACTTCATATGTATATACTGTATTCTAGTCCAGGCTCATCCTATATAACTACTGCTGTACCCACCCTTTATATTAATATACTGTGTATAGACACAATGATATATATATATATATTACTGCTCAAAAAAATAAAGGGAACACTAAAATAACACATCCTAGATCTGAATGAATGAAATAATCTTATTAAATACTTTTTTCTTTACATAGTTGAATGTGCTGACAACAAAATCACACAAAAATTATCAATGGAAATCAAATTTATCAACCCATGGAGGTCTGGATTTGGAGTCACCCTCAAAACCACACTACAGGCTGATCCAACTTTGTAATGTCCTTAAAACAAGTCAAAATGAGGCTCAGTAGTGTGTGTGGCCTCCACGTGCCTGTATGACCTCCCTACAACGCCTGGGCATGCTCCTGATGAGGTGGCGGATGGTCTCCTGAGGGATCTCCTCCCAGACCTGGACTAAAGCATCCGCCAACTCCTGGACAGTCTGTGGTGCAACGTGGCGTTGGTGGATGGAGTGAGACATGATGTCCCAGATGTGCTCAATTGGATTCAGGTCTGGGGAACGGGCGGGCCAGTCCATAGCATCAATGCCTTCCTCTTGCAGGAACTGCTGACACACTCCAGCCACATGAGGTCTAGCATTGTCTTGCATTAGGAGGAACCCAGGGCCAACCGCACCAGGATATGGTCTCACAAGGGGTCTGAGGATCTCATCTCGGTACCTAATGGCAGTCAGGCTACCTCTGACGAGCACATGGAGGGCTGTGCGGCCCCCCAAAGAAATGCCACCCCACACCATGACTGACCCACCACCAAACCGGTCATGCTGGAGGATGTTGCAGGCAGCAGAACGTTCTCCACGGCGTCTCCAGACTCTGTCACGTCTGTCACATGTGCTCAGTGTGAACCTGCTTTCATCTGTGAAGAGCACAGGGCGCCAGTGGCGAATTTGCCAATCTTAGTGTTCTCTGGCAAATGCCAAACGTCCTGCACAGTGTTGGGCTGTAAGCACAACCCCCACCTGTGGACATCGGGCCCTCATACCACCCTCATGGAGTCTGTTTCTTACCGTTTGAGTAGACACATGCACATTTGTGGCCTGCTGGAGGTCATTTTGCAGGGCTCTGGCAGTGCTCCTCCTGCTCCTCCTTGCACAAAGGCGGAGGTAGCAGTCCTGCTGCTGGGTTTACATTTTATTTACATTTTTTGTCATTTAGCAGACGCTCTTATCCAGAGCGACTTACAGGAGCAATTAGGGTTAAGTGCCTTGCTCAAGGGCACATCGACAGATTTTTCACCTAGTCGGCTCTGGGATTAGAACCAGCGACCTTTCGGTTACTGGCACAACGCTCTTAACCACTAAGCTACCTGCCGCCCCGATCTTGCATGGAGCCCCAGACCGAGGGTGATTGACCGTCATCTTGAACTTCTTCCATTTTCTAATAATTGCGCCAACAGTTGTTGCCTTCTCACCAAGCTGCTTGCCTATTGTCCTGTAGCCCATCCCAGCCTTGTGCAGGTCTACAATTTTATCCCTGATGTCCTTACAAAGCTCTCGGGTCTTGGCCATTGTGGAGAGGTTGGAGTCTGTTTGATTGAATGTGTGGACAGGTGTCTTTTAAACAGGTAACGAGTTCACACAGGTGCAGTTAATATAGGTAATGAGTGGAGAACAGGAGGGCTTCTTAAAGAAAAACTAACAGGTCTGTGAGAGCCAGTATTCTTACTGGTTGGTAGGTGATCAAATACTTATGTCATGCAATAAAATGCAAATTAATTACTTAAAAATCATACAATGTGATTTTCTGGATTTTTGTTTTAGATTCCGTCTCTCACAGTTGAAGTGTACCTATGATAAAAATTACAGACCTCTACATGCTTTGTAAGTAGGAAAACCTGCAAAATCGGCAATGTATCAAATACTTGTTCTCCCCACTGTGTATGTAATAATAATAATAATAATAATATGCCATTTAGCAGACGCTTTTATCCAAAGCGACTTACAGTCATGCGTGCATACATTTTTTGTGTATGGGTGGTCCCGGGGATCGAACCCACTACCTTTGCGTTACAAGCGCCGTGCTCTACCAGCTGAGCTACAGAGGACCACATGTGTGTATGTGTGTATATATATATATATATATATATATATATATATATATATATATATCAAATCAAATCAAATCAAATTTTATTGGTCACATGCGCCGAATACAACAGGTGCAGACATTACAGTGAAATGCTTACTTACAGCCCTTAACCAACAGTGCATTTATTTTAAACAAAAAAAGTAAGAATAAAACAACAACAAAAAAAGTGTTGAGAAAAAAAGAGCAGAAGTAAAAATAAAGTGACAGTAGGGAGGCTATATATACAATAGAATAAAGTGACAGTAGGGAGGCTATATATACAGGGGGGGTACCGTTGCATAGTCAATGTGCGGGGGCACCGGCTAGTTGAGGTAGTTGAGGTAATATATATATATATATATATATATATATATATATATATATATATATATATATATATATATATATATATATATATATATATATATATATATACAGGACACACCTGCTCATTCAAGGGTTTTTCTTAATTTTTACTGTTTTCTAAATTGTAGAATAATAGTGAAGACATCAACTATGAAATAACACATGGAATCATGTAGTAACCAAAAAAGTGTTAAACAAATTAAAATATATTTTAGATTCTTCAAAGTAGCCACCCTTTGCCTTGATGACAGCTTTTCACACTCTTGGCATTCTCTCAACCAGCTTTATAAGGTAGTCACCTGGAATGCATTTCAATTAACAGGTGTACCTTGTTAAAAGTTATTTTGTGGAATTTCTTTACTTCTTAATGCGTTTGAGCCAATCAGTTGTGTTGTGACAAGGTAGGGGGGATATACAGAAGATAGCCCTATTTGGTAAAAGACCAAGTCCATATTATGGCAAGAACATCTCAAATAAGCAAAGAGAAATGACACTACATCATTACTTTAAGACATGAAAGCCAGTCAATCCAGAACATTTCAAGAACTTTGAACGTTTCTTCAAGTGCAGTCGCAAAAACCATCAAGCGCTATGATGAAACTGGCTCTCATGAGGACCACAACAGGAAAGGAAGACCCAGAGTTACCTCTGCTATAGAGGATAAGTTCATTAGAGTTAACTGCACCTCAGATTGCAGGCCAAATAAATGCTTCACAGAGTTCAAGTAACAGATACATCTCAACATCAACTGTTCAGAGGAGACTGCATGAATCAGGCATTCATGGTCGAATTGCTGCAAAGAAACCACTACTAAAGGACACCAATAAGAGGAAGACTTGCTTGGGCCAAGAAACACGAGAAATTGACATTAGACCGGTGGAAATCTGTCCTTTTGGTCTGGTGTCCAAATTGGAGATTTTTGGTTCCAACTGCCGTGTCTTTGTAAGACGCAGAGTAGGTGAATGGATGATCTCTGCATGTGTGGTTTCCACCGTGAAGCATGGATTAGGTGTGATGGTGTGGGGGTGCTTTGCTGGTGACACAGTCAATGATTTATTTAGAATTCAAGGCACACTTAACCAGCATGGCTACCACAGCATTGTGCAGCGATATGCCATCCCATCTGGTTTGCGCTTAGTGTTCAAAGCTGTCATCAAGGCAAAGGGTGGCTATTTGAAGAATCTCAAATATACAATATATTTCGATTTGAAAAGTAACACTTTTTGTGTTTGCTACATGATTCCATATTTTATCATGTTGATGTCTTATTCTACAATGTAGAAAATTGTAAAAATAAAGAAAAACCCTTGAATGAGTAGGTTTTCTAAAACTTTTGGCTGTGTGTGTGTGTGAGAGAGAGAGATATAATTTTGGTCTCTGATATTTCTTGATTTCTTTCTTAGAATTTTTGGGATTTGTGTGTGTATTTTCAGGTATTACTGCACTGTTGGAGCTAGAAACAGAAGCATTTTGCTGCACCTGCGAAGTCTGCAAAATATGTGTACGCGACCAAAACATTTGATTTGAGTTTTGACTGGCAACTATTTAAAAGAGGATCCCAGCTTTCTCGTGCTGCTTTATTTTTTGCTCAATTATTACAATTAAGCACATTAATCCGCTTTACAACCATTGTAGCCTACCTGGCATATTTAAAACGTAACTGCATGTACAGTACCTTCAGAAAGTATTCACACCTTTTGACTTTTTCCACATTTTGTTCTGTTACATCCTGAATTTAAAATGTATTACATTTAGATTGTTTTTGTCACTGGCCTACAAACAATACCCCATAATGTCAAAGTGGAATTATGTTTTTATAATTTTTTTACAAATGAAAAGCTGAAACGTCTTGAGTCAACTATTCAACCTCTTTGTTATGGCAAGCCTAAAATAAGTTCTGGAGTAAACATTTGCTTAACAAGTCACATAAGTTGCATGGACTACCTCATCTCATAGTCCCCTGTAGCTCAGTTGGTAGAGCATGGCGCTTGCAATGCCAGGGTTGTGGGTTAGTTTCCCACGGGGGGCCAGTATGAAAATGTATGCACTCACTAACTGTAAGTCGCTCTGGATAAGAGCGTCTGCTAAATGACTAAAATGTAAATGTAAATCTCTGTACCCCACACATTCTGTAAGGTCAGTCAGTCGAGCAGTGAATTTCAAACACAGATTCAACCACAAAGACCAGGGAGGTTTTCCAATGCCTCTCAAAGAATGGTACCTATTGGTAGATGGGTAAAAATATAAAAAGCAGACATTGAATATCCCTTTGAGCATGGTGAAGTTATTAATTACAATTTGGATGGTGTATCAATACACCCAGTCACTACAGAGATACAGGCATCCTTACTAACTGAGTTGCCGGAGAAGAAGGAATCCGCTCAGGGATTTCACCATGAGGCCAATGGTGACTAAAACAATTACAGAGTTTAATGGCTGTGATCGGAGATAACTGAGGATGGATCAACATTGTAGTTACTCCACAATACTAACCTAACTGACAGAGTGAAAAGAAGGAAGCCTGTACAGAAAAACAAATATTCCAAAAATATTCTTTATTTTTATCAAGAGCCTACGGCTGAAACTAGCCAGCTAACTAGCTACTTGCTATTAGCTACCGTTAGCGGTCTTCACCACTGTCTGTGGCCTGCACTACCTACCAGCCAGCTCTAGCCTGGACAATTATCGGCCAGTCTGCAGAGCGTGCTATCGACCCAGAGCATATCGGATTTTCTGCCGGAGTAACCGAATGGCTGTTGTTGGCTAATCACCACTTCCCGACATACCAGTTAGCCTTGAGCTAGCCTCGAGCCAGGCCCATCTCCCGGCTATCTACCTCTCTGTCAACCGGACGGGACCTCCTAGTGTCGACACGGAGCCCTGCCGATCCATCACGACTGGTCTGCCGACGTAATCGTCTGATGTGGTTTCAACAGGCTTCCCGTTGCGACGACCACGAAGATCCATCTGCTAGCCCCGGCCCGCTAGCACGCGCAATCAACTGCCGTGCCTCCTGCTCGCCTGTGTTTTAGCTGCCTACAATCTGCTCCCGGACTTACGTAGTGCTGTTCACTGGACCTTATGATCACTCAGCTACACAGCTAATGCCTGCTGGACTGTTCCTTTATGCGGTACCCCATCCTGTTTATCTGTTTAGCCTCAGCGCAAACTTCCGTCGCCATTACCAGTTGTTGTCTTAGCCCTCTCGAATAACACCTGTGATTGCGTTATGCCTCTCTCCCATGTCAATATGCCTAGCCTATTGCTGTTTGGGTTAGTTCTTATTATACAATTTCATCTGTAGAGCCCCAAGTTCAGCTCAGCCAGCCTCAGAGAGCTCCTTTGTCCCACCCCCCCATACACGCGGAGACCGGCTCAATCGGTACCTCCAGTGATGCTATCTCTTTCATAGTTACCCAATGCTTAGGTGTACCTCCACTGTACTCATATCCTTCCATATCCTCGTCTGTACATAATGCCCTGAATCTATTCTACAACGCCCGGAAATCTGCCCCTTTTATTCCCTGTACCCAACGCACTAGAAGACCAGTTCTTAAAATTCTATTCCTCCTCTGGTGATGTAGAGGTTAACCCAGGCCCTGTAGCCCCCAGCGCTATCATCTTGGGCTCCCGAGTGGCGCAGTGGTCTAAGGCACTGCATCTCAGTGCTTGAGGCGTCACTACAGACCCCCTGGTTCAATTCCAGGCTGTATCACAACCAGCCGTGATTGGGAGTCCCATAGGGCGGCGCACAATTGGCCCAGCGTCGTCCGGGTTTGGCCGGTGTAAGCCGTTTATTGTAAATAAGAATTTGTTCTTAACTGACTTGCCTAGTTAAATAAAGGTAAAATAAATAAATAAATAAATGTGTGACTTCTGTAACCGTAAAAGCCTTGGTTTCTTGCATGTTAACATCAGAAGCCTCCACCCCAAGTTTGAGTTATTCACTGCGTTAGCACACTCTGCCAACCCTGATGTTCTAGCAGTGTCTGAATCTTGGCTTAGGAAGGCCACCAAAAATTCAGAAATGTCCATCCCCAACTACAACATTTTCCGTCTAGATAGAACTGCCAAAGGGGGCGGAGTTGCAATCTACTGTAGAGCTCTATCGTACTATCCAGGTCTGTGCCCAAACAGTTTGAGCTTCTACTTCTAAAAATCCATCTATTAAGAAATAAGTCTCTCACTGTTGCCGCTTGCTACAGGCCCCCAGTTGTGCCCTGGACACCATATGCTAATTGCTTGCCCCCCATCTATCCTCAGAGTTCGTACTGCTTGGTGACCTAAACTGGGATATGCTTAACACCCCGGCCGTCCTACAATCTAAACTAGATGCCCTCAATCTCACACAAATTATCAAGGAACCTACCAGGTACAACCCTAAATCCGTAAACATGGGCACCCTCATAGATATCACCCTGAATAATTTACCCTCTAAATACACCTCCGCTGTCTTCAACCAGGATCTCAGCGATCACTGCCTCATTGCCTGCGTCAGTAATGGGTCCGCGGTCAAACGACCACCCCTCATCACTGTCAAACGCTCCCTGAAAACACTGGGTATCATGGATGGATATTGACCTCATTCCGTCAGTAGAGGATGCCTGGATGTTCTTCAAAAGTGCTTTCCTCTCCATCTTAAATAAGCATGCCCCATTCAAAACATTCAGAACTAAGAACAGATATAGCCCCTGGTTCACCCCAGACTTAACTGCCCTTGACCAGCACAAAAACATCCTGTGGCGTACTGCATTAGCATCAAACAGCCCCCGCGATATGCAACTTTTCAGGGAAGTCAGGAACCAATATACAGTGGGGAAAAAAAGTATTTAGTCAGCCACCAATTGTGCAAGTTCTCCCACTTAAAAAGATGAGAGAGGCCTGTAATTTTCATCATAGGTACACGTCAACTATGACAGACGAAATGAGAATTTTTTTTCCAGAAAATCACATTGTAGGATTTTTTATGAATTTATTTGCAAATTATGGTGGAAAATAAGTATTTGGTCAATAACAAAAGTTTCTCAAAACTTTGTTATATACCCTTTGTTGACAATGACACAGGTCAAACGTTTTCTGTAAGTCTTCACAAGGTTTTCACACACTGTTGCTGGTATTTTGGCCCATTCCTCCATGCAGATCTCCTCTAGAGCAGTGATGTTTTGGGGCTGTCGCTGGGCAACACAGACTTTCAACTCCCTCCAAAGATTTTCTATGGGGTTGAGATCTGGAGACTGGCTAGGCCACTCCAGGACCTTGAAATGCTTCTTACGAAGCCACTCCTTCGTTGCCCGGGCGTTGTGTTTGGGATCATTGTCATGCTGAAAGACCCAGCCACGTTTCATCTTCAATACCCTTGCTGATGGAAGGAGGTTTTCACTCAAAATCTCATGATACATGGCCCCATTCATTATTTCCTTTACACGGATCAGTCGTCCTGGTCCCTTTGCAGAAAAACAGCCCCAAAGCATGATGTTTCCATCCCCATGCTTCACAGTAGGTATGGTGTTCTTTGAATGCAACTCAACATTCTTTGTCCTCCAAACACGACGAGTTGAGTTTTTACCAAAAAGTTATATTTTGGTTTCATCTGACCATATGACATTCTCCCAATCCTCTTCTGGATCATCCAAATGCACTCTAGCAAACTTCAGACGGGCCTGGACATGTACTGGCTTAAGCAGGGGGACACGTCTTGCACTGCAGGATTTGAGTCCCTGGCGACGTAGTGTGTTACTGATGGTAGGCTTTGTTACTTTGGTCCCAGCTCTCTGCAGGTCATTCACTAGGTCCCCCCGTGTGGTTCTGGGATTTTTGCTCACCGTTCTTGTGATCATTTTGACCCCACGGGGTGAGATCTTGCGTGGAGCCCCAGATCGAGGGAGATTATCAGTGGTCTTGTATGTCTTCCATTTCCTAATAATTGCTCCCACAGTTGATTTCTTCAAACCAAGCTGCTTACCTATTGCAGATTCAGTCTTCCCAGCCTGGTGCAGGTCTACAATTTTGTTTCTGGTGTCCTTTGACAGCTCTTTGGTCTTGGCCATAGTGGAGTTTGGAGTGTGACTGTTTGAGGTTGTGGACAGGTGTTTTTTATACTGATAACAAGTTCAAACAGGTGCCATTAATACAGGTAACGAGTGGAGGACAGAGGAGCCTCTTAAAGAAGAAGTTACAGGTCTGTGAGAGCCAGAAATCTTGCTTGTTTGTAGGTGACCAAATACTTATTTTCCACCATAATTTGCAAATAAATTCATTAAAAATCCTACAATGTGATTTTCTGGATTTCTTTTCCTCAATTTGTCTGTCATAGTTGACGTGTACCTATGATGAAAATTACAGGCCTCTCTCATCTTTTTAAGTGGGACAACTTGCACAATTGGTGGCTGACTAAATACTTTTTTTCCCCACTGTACACAATCAGTTAGGAAAGCAAAGGCTAGCTTTTGCATCCTGTAGCACGAACTCCAAAAAGTTTTGGGACACTGTAAAGTCCCTGGAGAATAAGAGCACCTCCTCCCAGCTACCCACTGCACTGAGGCTAGGAAACACTGTCACCACCGATAAATCTACGATAATCGTGAATTTCAATAAGCATTTTGCTACGGCTGGCCATGCTTTACACCTGGCTACCCCTACCCCGGCCACCAGCTCTGCACCCTCCACTGCAACTTGCCCATGCCCCCCCTGCTTCTCCTTCACCCAAATTCAGATAGCTGATGTCCTGAAAGAGCTGCAAAATCTGGACCCCTACAAATCAGCTGGCTAGACAATCTGGACCCTTTCTTTCTAAAATTAGCCGCCGAAATTGTCGCAACCCCTATTACTAGCCTGTTCAACCTCTCTTTCGTATTGTCTGAGATCCCCAGAGATTGGAAAGCTGCCGCGGTCATCCCCCTCTTCAAAGGGGGTGACACTCTAGATCCAAACTGTTACAGACCTAAATCCATCCTGCCCTTCGAAAGTATTTGAAAGCCAAGTTAACAAACAGATCACCGACCATTTCGAATCCCACCGTACCTTCTCTGCTATGCAATCTGGTTTCCGAGCTGGTCATGGGTGCACCCCAGCCACGCTCAAGGTCCTAAACGATATAATAACCGCGATCGATAAAAGACAGTACTGTGCAGCCATCTTCATCGACCTGGCCAAGGCTTTTGACTCTGTCAATCACCGCATTCTTATTGACAGACTAAATAGCCTTGGTTTCTCAAATGACTGCCTCGCCTGGTTCACCAACTACTTCTCAGATAGAGTTCAATGTGTCAAATCGGAGGGCCTGTTGTCTGGACCTATGGCAGTCTCTATGGGGGTTCCACAGGGTTCAATTCTCGGGCCGACTCTATTCTCTGTGTATATCAATGATGTCGCTCTTGCTGCTGGTGACTCTCAGATCCACCTCTACGCAGATGACACCATTTTGTATACATCTGGCCCTTCATTGGACACTGTTAACAAACCTCCAAACGAGCTTCAATGTCATACAACACTCCTTCCGTGGCCTCCAACTGCTCTTAAACGCTAGTAAAACTAAATGCATGCTCTTCAATCGAACGATGCTTGCACCCGCCCGCTCGACTAGAATCACTACTCTCAGCGGGTCTGACTTAGAATATGTGGACAACTACAAATACCTAGGTGTCTGGTTAGACCGTAAACTCTCCTTCTAGACTCACATTAAGCATCTCCAATCCAAAGTTAAATCTAGAATAAGCTTTCTATTTCGCAAACAAAGCCTCCTTCACTCATGCTGCTAAACATGCCCTCATAAAACTGACTATCCTACCGGTCCTTGACTTCGGCGATGTCATTTACAAAATAGCTTCCAACACTCTACTCAGCAAATTGGATGTAGTCTATCACCGTGCCATCCGTTTTGTCACCAAAGCCCCATATACTACCCACCATTGTGACCTGTACGCTCTTGTTGGCTGGCCCTCACTACATATTCGTCGCCAAACCCACTGGCTCCAGGTTTTCTATAAATCACTTCTAGGCAAATCCCCGCCTTATCTTAGATCATTGGTCACCATAGCAACACCCACCCGTAGTATGCGTTCCAGCAGGTATATCTCACTGGTCATCCCCAAAGCCAACACCTCCTTTGGCTGCCATTCCTTCCAGTTCTCTGCTGCAAATGACTGAAACAAACTGCAAAAATCTCTGAAGCTGGAGACACTTCTCCCTCACTAACTTTAAGCATCATTTGTCAGAGCAGCTTACCGATCACTGCACCTTTACACAGCCCATCTGTAATTAGCCCACCCAACTACCTCATCCCCATATTATTTACATTGTTATTTATTTTGCTCATTTGCACCCCAGTATCTTATCTCCATAACTTACTACATTTGCACACACTGTATATAGATTTTCTATTGTGTTATTGACTGTACGTTTTTGTTTATTCCATATGTAACTCTGTGTTGTTGTTTTTACCGCACTGCTTTGCTTTTATCTTGGCCAGGTCGCAGTTGTAAATGAGAACTTGTTCTCAACTGGCTTACCTGGTTAAATAAAGGTTAAATAAAAAAATAATAAAATAATTCTGTTTGCAACAAGGCACTAAAGTAATACTGCAAAAAAAAAGTGGTACAGCAATTAACTTTTTGTCCTGAATACAAAGTGTTATGTTTGAGGCAAATCCAATACAACACATTACTGAGTACCACTCTCCATATTTTCAAGCATAGTAGTGGCTGCATCATGTTATGGGTATGCTTGCAATCGTTAAGGACTGATGAGTTGTTCAGGATAAAAAAGAAACTAAATGGAGCTGAGCACAGGCAATATCCTAAAGGAAAACCTGGTTGTCTCCTTTCCTCCAGACACTGGAAGATGAATTCACCTTTCAGGAAAAAGACAAACTAAAACAGAAGGCAAAATCTACACTGGAGTTGCTTACAAAGAAGACAGTGAATGTTCCTGAGTGGCTGAGTTACAGTTTTGACTTAAATCTACTTTTATCTATGGCAAGACCTGAAAATGGTTGTCTAGCAATGATCAACCAGCAATTTGACAGAGCTTGAAGAATTTTGAAAATAATAATGCGTAAATGTTGCACAATCCAGGTGTGGATAGCTCTTAGAGACTTACCCAGAAAGACTTGCAGGTGTAATCGCTGCTAAAGGTGCTTCTACACAGGGGTGTGAATACTTATGTAAATTAGATACTTCTGTATTTCTATTTTCAATACATCTGCAAAAATTTATAAAAACACGTTTTCACTTTGTCATTATGTGGTATTGTGTGTAGATGGGTGAGAAAATAAATGTAATCCATTTTGAATTCAGGATGTAACACAACAAAATGTGGAGTAAGTCAAGGGTATAATACTTTCTGAAGGCACTGTAACCTCCATTCGCTATTTGAGTGCAGTCTACGGATTACTTTTTTTTTCGTGGGCTATACTAAATAAAAAATAGTTGCCTATATGTAAAGACCAGATTAAATTGATAATAGTCTGATGGGTGAGAATATTATCAAATGCTTGTCAAATTGTGAACGAGAGACTGATGAAGTGTGTGCAGCCTGCGCAATAAACATAGCAGAGCACTTCCCTTTCATTAGACTTTTTTTCAAATCATCATTAGTCGCATCATGCATCCTTAGAATGTATTAGAAATCAAAACATATAACATAAGGTTTGTGTCACAACTAAAGTTGCAAAAATAACTCTAAATTAAGCATATAGGAGGACCCGTTTCAAATTATCACTTTGTTAACCGCTCAACACAGCATGTGCGTACTCCCTCAGAAATAGTTTGGGAAAAATGTATTTTCTATTTTATTCAGCTATGTTCAATTGTATTCTTCTTACTATAAAATAATATAAAATAATGCCACAGGCATTATAAGCAAATTAACTAGTGTAGCCCACAGCCATATGGCATAGCCAGATCAGGGCCTAACATAAGGACAACTCAGAATATGCTATGCTGTTCAATATTTTTCTTCATATCATAATGTTTGTTTCTTTAGACCTGCCTAAAATAAATCATGAATTTATTGTGATGTGTAGGATATACAGTGAGGGGAAAAAAGTATTTGATCCACTGCTGATTTTGTACGTTTGCCCACTGACAAAGAAATTATCAGTCTATAATTTTAATGGTAGGTTTATTTGAACAATGAGAGATAGAATAACAACAACAAATGCATGTCAAAAATGTTATAAATTTAATTAGCATTTTAATGAGGGAAATAAGTATTTGACCCCCTCTCAATCAGAAAGATTTCTGGCTCCCAGATGTCTTTTATACAGGTAACGAGCTGAGATTAGGAGCACACTCTTAAAGGGAGTGAAACACGGCGAGTTGAGTTGATGCCAAAGAGCTCAATTTTGGTCTCATCTGACCACAACACTTTCACCCAGTTCTCCTCTGAATCATTCAGATGTTCATTGGCAAACTTCAGACGGCCCTGTATATGTGCTTTCTTGAGCAGGGGGACCTTGCGGGCGCTGCAGGATTTCAGTCCTTCACGGCGTAGTGTGTTACCAATTATTTTCTTGGTGACTATGGTCCCAGCTGCCTTGAGATCATTGACAAGATCCTCCCGTGTAGTTCTGGGCTGATTTCTCACGATCATTGCAACTCCACGAGGTGAGATCTTGCATGGAGCCCCAGGCCGAGGGAGATTGACAGGTCTTTTGTGTTTCTTCCATTTGCGAATAATCGCACCAACTTTTGTCACCTTCTCACCAAGCTGCTTGGCGATGGTCTGGTAGCCCATTCCAGCCTTGTGTAGGTCTACAATCTTGTCCCTGACATCCTTGGAGAGCTTTTTGGTCTTGGCCATGGTGGAGAGTTTGGAATCTGATTGATTGATTGATTGATTGATTGCTTCTGTGGACAGGCGTCTTTTATACAGGTAACAAGCTGAGATTAGGAGCACTCCCTTTAAGAGTGTGCTCCTAATCTCAGCTTGTTACCTGTATAAAAGACACCTGGGAGCCAGAAATCTTTCTGATTGAGAGGGGGTCAAATACTTATTTCCCTCATTAAAATGCAAATCAATTTATAACATTTTTGACATGCGTTTTCTGGATGTTGTTATTCTGTCTCTCACTGTTCAAATAAACCTACCATTAAAATGATAGACTGATGATAATTTCTTTGTCAGTGGGCAAACGTACAAAATCAGCAGGGGATCAAATACTTTTTTCCCTCACTGTATGTTAATTGACGATGAAGTACCGTGAGACTTGCAGTTATTTGCATGACAATTACCGTCGGACAAAATGTCATGACGGCCACATCCCTAGGCGCTAACATACACTCTCTACACACTCCACTGCACTCTGTGTCCTTGCTGTACTCATTGACCCTGATTGAGAATACAGCCTCGTGTGTGTGCATGTTTGTTTGTTATGTAATGTGAGATGTTCCACATGTAAATGGTCCCTAGGTGACAAATGGCTTTGTTTTGAGGGAAGCTTGTAGGCTGTGTGTGTTGGCGGACGTGCGTGTGCATTTGTGCTCGCTTGTATGTGGGGAAGGGGGAGCTATTCAGGGTCATATAGGGATCTAATGACCAGAGTTTTTGGCATTTTATTTGGTTCCCCATTAGCTGTTGCAGAAGCAGTAGCTACTCTTCCTGGGGTCCACATAAAACATGACAAAATACAGAACACTAATAGACAAGAACAGCCACACATTTAAAATAAAAAAAATACAACGTGCGGTCCTGTACTGCATATACATACAACATATTCATATACAGCATATACATACACATTTGTTGTTGTGAGGTGATGAGTAAGGCACTAGAGCCCTGTTCAGACTAATGTTAATGGAGGGTCAGACAGATGAAGTGTGTGTGTGTGTTTATTGATTATGATGACCAATGCTGTGTGTGTTGTGTTGTAGAAGTACCGTCAGTGTATGGCTGGACTTCTGGCCCCTCCATATGGAGCCATGGAGAGTGGATCCAACAATGACCGTGAGTAACTACAATACCACTGACGGTATAATATTGAAATATAAAAATAGCATATTACACATATCACCATGGTCATAACTCTGTGTCTCCCTTCTCCCTCAGGGCTGGCAGACAAAGACAGTCTAGGTTCCGATACGCTCATCCTCATGAACAAGTCTCTCAACAAGGTAAGATGGCCCATTTCAATGTTATACAGTGAAGGTAATATCACTTATCGTGCTCAACTAACCCCAAACTACTGCCTTTTAAAATCTGTATACTGTGTAAGACTGTAAACTGTGGTGTGTGTGTTCTAAAAGGAAACTATTGATCGTTTTTTTTTTTTTTTTTTAAGGAGGGGGTGTTTGTGTATTCACACAAACAAACATGCAGGCACACACACCGCTACCTCTGTAGTTATGCTAATGAAAGGTAATTCATGTACACGGAACGAAAGGTACCATCTGCCCATTTATGATGCCCTCTTTTGTAGTGCTAAACTGGAGCAGAAGTAGCTATCTCTCTGTGTGTGTGTGGGTGTGATTTGTGTTTTTCTCCTCCTTTTTTCTCACCTTTCATTCATGGCTCTACTATCCCTGACAGCAGTTGTGGTTGCTATGGAAACTGGGAGTGTTACGATAGGTTGGGTGGTTGTGATTCACATCTTAGCGAGTGTATAGTAAATATGAGGGGGATGAGGGCTTATGTTGGCAGAGGCATGAAATGAAAGTCCCCTGGATTTCTCAGCTCATCGTTTTAAATTATTAAAACCTGGAGGCTGAGACTCTCACTATGATTGTTACTGTCTAGCTAGAGCTGACAGAAGTATGGTGTTCCTGTGTGATATCTCTAGGTTCCGTCAGAGAAGCTGCAGCGAGGGGGGAAGGTGATGCGGAACGCCATCCTCTCCAGAGCACCCCACATGATCAGAGACAGGAAGTACCACCTCAAGACATACAGGTGTGGGTGTACAGTACCAGTCAAAAGTTTGGACACACCTACTCATTCAAGGGTTTTTCTTAATTTTTACTATTTTCTACATTGTAGAATAATAGTGAAGACATCAAAACTATGAAATAACACATATGGAATCATGTAGTAACCAAAAAAGTGTTAAACAAATCAAAATATATTTTATATTTGAGATTCTTCAAATATCCACCCTTTGCCTTGATGACAGCTTTGCACACTCTTGGCATTCTCTCAACCAGCTTCACCTGGAATGCTTTTCCAACAGTCTTGAAGGAGTTCCCACATATGCTTAGCACTTGTTGGCTGCTTTTCCTTCACTCTGCCGTCCGACTCATCCCAAATAATCTCAATTGGGTTGAGGTCGGGGGAATGCGGAGGCCAGGTCATCTGATGCAGCACTCCATCACTCTCCTTCTTGGTCAAATAGCCCTTACACAGCTTGGAGGTGTGTTGGGTCATTGTCCTGTTGAAAAACAAATGATAGTCCCACTAAACCCAAACCAGATGGGATGACGTATCGCTGCAGAATGCTGTGGTAGCCATGCTGGTTAAGTGTGCCTTGAATTCTAAATAAATCACAGACAGTGTCACCAGCAAAGCACCCCCACACCTTAACACCTCCTCCTCCATGCTTTACAGTGGGAACTACACATGCGGAGATCATCAATTTACCCACACCACGTCTCACAAAGACACAGCGGTTGAAACCAAAAATGTCCTATGTGGATTCCAGACCAAAGGACACATTTCCACTGGTCTAATGTCCATTGCTCGTGTTTCTTGGCCCAAGCAGGTCTCTTCTTATTGGTGTCCTTTAGTAGTGGTTTCTTTGCAGCAATTCGACCATGAAGGCCTGATCCACACAGTCCCCTCTGAACAGTTGATGTTGAGATGTGTCTGTTACTTGAAGTCAGTGAAGCATTTATTTGGGCTGCAATTTCTGAGGCTGGTAACTCTAATGAACTTATCCTCTGCAGCAGAGGTAACTCTGGGTCTTCCATTCCTGTGGTGGTCCTCATTAGAGCCAGTTTCATCATAGCGCTTGATGGTTTTTGCGACTGCACTTGAAGGATCTTTCAAAGTTGTTGATGTTCTGTATTGACTGACCTTCATGTCTTAAAGTAATGATGGACTGTTGTTTCTCTTTGCTTATTTGAGCTATTCTTGCCATAATATGGACTTGGTCTTTTACCAAATAGGGCTATCTTCTGTATACCCCCCCTACCTTGTCACAACACAACTGATTGGCTCAAACGCATTAAGAAGGAAAGAAATTCCACAAATTATTTTTTAAGAATGCTCACCTGTTAATTGAAATGCATTCCAGGTGACTACCTCATGAAGCTGGTGGTTGAGAGAATGCCAAGAGTGTGCGAAGCTGTCATCAAGGCAAAGGGTGGATATTTGAAGAATTTTTTTGGTTACTACATGATTCCATATGTGTTACTTCGTCGTTTTGATGTCTTCACTATTATTTTACAATGTAAAAAATAGTTTTAAAAAATTAAGAAAACCCTTGAATGAGTAGGTGTGTCCAAACTTCTGATTGGTAGTGTACGTGTGCATGTGTTTCAATGACATACGGTAAGGTCGGTGGCTGGGTAAGCACTGTATATTATCAAAGATTTACTCACAAATAAACCTTGATGAAGCCCAAGTTCACCATACAACAGATATCTCCAACAACCAGAGTAACATAGATTATTAACCAAAATTGACAAAAAATTTCACCAAATGTAAATACCAATGTAACCAAGATACATTTACATTTTAGTCATTTAGCAGACGCTCTTATCCAGAGCGACTTACAGTTAGTGAGAGCATACATTATTAAATTTTTAATACTGGCCCCCCGTGGGAATCGAACCCACAACCCTGGCGTTGCAAATGCCATGCTCTACCAACTGAGCTACATCCCTGCCGGCCATTCCCTCCCCTACCCTGGGCCAATTGTGCGCCGCCCCATGGGTCTCCCGGTCGCGGCAGGCTACAACAGAGCCTGGATTCGAACCAGGTTCTCTAGTGGCACAGCGCCACTCGGGAGTAGACAAACGATAGCTCTGATGGTGGTATATTTCATATCATCCGACAAAATGCCACACTGCTCAACTCAGCTCAAGCCATAGATCGATGTAGTTTCCACAGTTACAACTGATAGCTGGCACTAAAAATGACTGATAAATGCAGTTCAAAACGTCAAAAAAGTGTCAAAACAATAAATCTCATGAAGTAGCCAAACCCTCAAATTGTAAAGGAAAATGCATTTAGGCCTACCTTTACTTTTAAATGAAGTCCATTCGTCTGGTGAAACGCTCGGTCACAGCGTTGTAGAAGTCACAGCAGAACCCCATGTCCATTACTTTACTTTATTCTGCATGTACACTGCAGGACAGCCACGCACGTAGAATTGTTGTAGTGTAGTTAGTCGCATCCATCTTGTAGATGCCAAGGCTCGGGCCTCTATTGAGTGGCGGGAGAAGCCCCATTCCCACTATGTCCACAAAGCAAAAGTAAATGTAGGGATGTCAAACGTTCAGCCCTTATGGACGCTCTAGTCTAGTGTGCCTGGTTAAATTGCGCTTATGAGCATTTCTTTACTCTCCATGGTTAAAGTAGGAAGAAATAGATGTAATTGTTGTAGAAGTGTGTGACTGTGCTACATTTACTATCATTATATATAAAAAATATTGAATTACTTCTAATTTTCCTATGGTGGACAGAACATGTTACTACAGTACAGAAACGTATTCACCACACAAGAATGACAGGAAATACACATCCTTTTTACCGCAGATTGGTGATGTTAATATTAAAGTTTATAGTCATTGCGATCTTACAAAATCGATTGCTTAAAACAGGTCAACATCTTTGGTTTAGTACAAGTGTTTTTGTCATAAGCGCCAGTCCGTAGTGGGACTTGGAACGTAGCTTTCATTTTCAGACCATTGTGGCTATGGTGTGCTCCTCCCATAAATGTCTCTAGCCTCACATGAATTCATGGATTTGAGGGTTAAGCTATCATTCAAATGAAAGCCAACCCCTGTCGCTATTTAGAAATCAATGTGAGGTGGTAATTCATTGAAATAATCCAGTCCAGAAAGTGTTGTTTCCTTTTCAGTATTGGCCATTTACCAAACTTATTTTATCACAGATACTGTGTAAATTGATAAATGGCGACACCACATACATTTAGTATACCCAAGTTTATTGAGTTTTTTCTGTTAGAAGAGCGCAAACGGTACATATTGCCACGGTTATTGTCCCAGTTCCATTGACATGGCTTTCGGACAAGATATCCCCCATGGCTATCCAACTCGATAGATTCTCCATTCACCGAGTGGACAGGACAGTGGAGTCATGGAAATTGAGAGGGGGAGGGGTTTGCCTCTTCATCAACAACAAATGGTGTCTGGCTCCGTTGTGAATGATAATAGAATCAGAGATAATGCTACAGGACAGCTTTGCTAGCGCTGATTGGAATATGTTCCGAGACTCTGCCGATAACATCGACGAGCTAACCACCTCCGTCACCGGCTTCATTAGGAAATGCATCGGCGACGTTCTCCCCACAGTGAAGGTTCGCTGCTTCCCCAATCAAAATTACTGGATTAACACTGAGGTTGGCTAAAGGACAGGGCTACCGTACTCAGGGCTATCGCAGACAACCCTGAGGCTACGGCTGAGGGCAGGAAGAAGTACAAGAAGTCCCACTATGACCTCCGCAGAGTCATCAAACGAGCAAAAGGAAAGAATCATATTACACAGGCATGTGGGAGGGGCTACAGTCCATTACGGATTACAAAGGAAAACCCAGCCAAGATCTGCCCAACGATCCCGCTCTACTAGACTAACTCAATGCATTTTATGCACGCTTCGACAATAACAACATTGTGCCGTGCGTGGGCCTCCACCAACCCAGAGGACTGGGTGATCTTCCTCTCTGAGGTCGACGTGAGTAAGCTCTTTTATCCGCTCAACACTCGCAAGGCCGCGGGGCCACGGTATTCCAGGGCGTGTTCTCAGAGCATGCGCATAATAGCTGGCAGGCGTATTCACTGTCCTTTTCAACCTCTCCTTGTCCCAGTCTTTAATCCCATATGTCTTAAACTGAGCACCATCATTCCTGTTCCTAAGAACTCTAAGGCTTCATCCCACAATGACTACCGCCCTCTAGCACTCACATCTGTAATCATGAAGTGCTTTGTATACCCAGACACCCTAGACCCACTCCAATTTGCATACCACCCCAACAGATCCATAGATGACGCAATCTCAATTGCACTCCACACTGCCCTCACCCACCCAGATAAGAGGAATACCTATGTGAGAGTGCTGTTCATTAAATGCAGCTCAATGTTCAACACCATTGTCCCCTCCAAGCTCGTCAGCAAGCGTAGGACACTGGGACTGAACAACTCCCTCTGCAACTGGATCCTATACTTCCTGTCGGGCCGACCCCATGTGGTGAGGGTAGGCAACATCACCTCTGCCACGTTGACCCTTGATTTGACTGGATAGTATATGACAATAGAGATTGCGTCATCTGTGGATCTGTTGGGGTGGTATACGAATTCGAGTGGGTCTGGGATGATGGTGTTGATGTAGGCCATGACCAGCCTTTCAAAGCATTTCATGGCTACAAATGTGAGTTCTATGGGACGATAGTAATTTAGAGAGGTGATCTTGGGCACCGGGACTATGGTGGTCTGCTTGAAACTTGTAGGTAGGTATTACACACCGGGTCAGGGAGAGGTTGAAATTGTCATTGAAGACACTTGCCAGCTGGTCAGCGCATGCTCGGAGTACGCATCCTGGTAATCCATCTGGCCCTGCGGCCTTGTGAATGTTAACCTGTTTATAGGTATTCCTCACATCGGCAACGGAGAGTGTGATCACACAGTCATCTGGAACAGCTGGTGCTCTCACGCATAGTTCAATGTGGCTTGGCCATTAAGCGAGCATAGAAGGCATTTAGCTAATCTGGTAGGCTTGCGTTACTGGGCAGCTCGCTGCTGGGTTTCCCTTTGTAATCCGTGATAGTTTGCAATCTTAGTCCTTTATTGTCGCTTTGCCTCTTCGATGGTTCGTCAGAGGGCGTAGCATGATTTCGGTCACTGTGGGGACGACGTCATCAAAGCACTTATTAATGAAGCCGGTGACTGAAATGGTAAACTCCTACATGCCATCGGATGAGTCCTTGACCATATTCCAGTTTGTGCTAGCGAATCAGTCCTGTAGCTTAGCATCCGCTTCATCGGACCACTCCCGTATTAAGCGCGTCACTGGTACTTCCTGTTTTGAGTTTTTGCTTGTAAGCAGGAATCCGGAGGATAGGGTTATGGTCAGATTTGCCAAATGGAGGGCGAGGGAGAGCTTTGGAGGCGTCTCAGTGTGTGGAGTAAAGGTGATCTAGAGTTTTTTCCCGCTGCTTGTTGCACAGGTGACATGCTTGTAGAAATTAGGTAAGTCGGATTTCAGTTTTCGTGCATTAAAATCACCGGCCATTAGGAGTGCCGTCTCTGGATGAGCATTTTCTTGTTTGCTTATGGCCATGGTGGTAAATACACAGCTACGACAAATATAGATGAAAACTATCTTGGTAAATAGTATGGTCTTCAGATTATCAAGAGGTAGTCTAACTCAGGCGAGCAGAACCTCGAGACTTCTTTAATATTAGAGATTGCGCACCAGCTGTTAATGAAGAGACACCCACCAGCCCCCTTACGCTTATCTGACACTGCCATTCTGTCCTGCCGATGCATAGAAAAACAAGCTAGTTGTATATTATCCATGTCCTTGTTCAGCCAAGTTTCCGAGAAACATAGGCTATCACAGTTCTTCAGGTCCTGTTGATAGGATAGTCTCGAACGGAGCTTATCCAGTTTGTTCTCCAGTGATTGTATATTCGCCAATAAAACAGAGGGTAGAGGCGGTTTACTTATTCGCCGCCGCAGTTTCATCACGGTGCCCGCACGTCGGCCTCTATATCGCCGTCTTTCTCTTCCGAGTGTCGAAGGATTAGGTCCTCGTCCGGGGTGAGCAGTATGTCTTGCGCCGACAACCTGTTGAAGTAGACATTTTCATTTAAATCAAGGTTAGTGATCGCTGTTCTGATGTCTTTTCGGTCATAGGAAACGATATCGCAAATATTATGTAGAAAAAAAGACACAAAATTGGTGATTGGTCAACTGTAGGGGTGGGAACTATGGATGGGATTTTTCAATTAAGTGTTTGTAAGTGCTAGCTGCTTGGCTGGCTAGCTAGACTAGCAGAATAGGCCTACTTACATTTACATTACATTTTTGTCCTTTAGCACCGCTCTTATCCAGAGCGACTTACAGTTAAGTGAGTGCATACATTTTCATACTGGCCCCCCGTGGGAATCGAACCCACAACCCTGGCGTTGCAAACGCCATGCTCTACCAACTGAGCTACATCCCTGCCGGCCATTCCCTCCCCTACCCTGGACGATGCTGGCTAATTGTGCGCCGCAGAGAAAGCCAGCAAGCCAACCAACTAAACTAAAGACCTGTAAAACGTTTTAATCATACAACATAAAAGCTTCCCATTGGCAAAACCAAAATCAAATTTTGGTAGCAAGGCCCAGCTAGCTAGCTAGCTATTGTTAGCATACAGGGAGTATGCGAGCACAGTCGTGTGCTCACGCCTTACCGAGTTCTGCTAGGAGCAAACAGGACCTAGTCTGCAGTCGCCCACCCACCGGCCTTGGCAAAAAGCGGATGTTTTTGGTTTTCAGGGATACAGTATTTTCAACCTAAAAAAAAAAGCCTGCTAAGTTAGGTTAGCAGTGGCCTTAAGCGCTTGTGCACATACATACAGTATGTATGCTTGTGTTACTTTATTGTCACGCTGTGTGTGTGTGTGTCTTGCAGGCAGTGTTGTGTAGGTACAGAGCTGGTAGACTGGCTGGTGCAGCAGAGTACCTGTGTACACACTCGCTCTCATGCTGTAGGGATGTGGCAGGCTCTGCTGGAGGAGGGAGTACTGAACCACGGTGAGACTAGAGTGCCCTCTGCTGGACACAACACTTTCAAAGGTCTTTAACCATTTCTTCACATATAGGGAGAATCTCAATTGCATTTCTTTGATTCCTCACATCCTCTCTTCTCGCCTCCTCCTCAATACCCAATGAATGAAAAGGTTAGTGTTTCCTCCCCTCTGACCTTTTCCAGCTTCCCCACTATGTTAGGTCAGTGATTTACTAACCGTGTGTGTGTGTGCCTCCCCAAGTGGACCAAGAGCTGGGTTTCCAGGACAAGTACCTGTTCTACCGTTTCTTTGACGATGAGGAGGAGGACACCCCGTTGCCTAGCGAGGAGGAGAAGAGAGAGAGTGAGGAAGAGCTTCCTGAGACCATCCTCTTCCTCGCCCAGATAGGACCTGACGCCCTGCTGCGCATGATCCTCCACAAACCGTCAGTAACAGACAGACAGACAAAACACTCAAACATGCGTTTGATCTAATGAATTGAATTTGAAATGTAATGTAAATCTCCTTTCTCTGTCTCTCTAGTCCTGGTCAGAGGACAGGTGATGATCTGGAGATCATCTATGATGAGCTGCTTCACATCAAGGCCTTATCCCACCTCTCCAACACTGTGAGTCTAGACTCTTTTCATTTCAGCAAAGCCATGTTGCTCTAATGAGCTAATAGTAGAAGTCCCAAATGCTAACATTAACTGTCCTGATCTCGTTTGCAGGTAAAGAGGGAGCTGGCTAGTGTTCTGATATTTGAGTCCCACGCCAAAGCAGGAACCGTGTGTAAGTCCTGCTCTCACGTCCGTACTGTGTGTGTGTGTTTTAGGGACACACTAAGTTGTCTCTTCTCCTTCCAGTGTTTAACCAGGGAGAGGAGGGCACATCCTGGTACATCATCCAGAAGGGCTCTGTCAATGTGGTCATCTACGGCAAGGTATGACTTCTGTCTGTGTGTGTGTGTGTGTGTGTGTGTTCATTTATTTTTGTCTATGGAAATATTTTCACATGACTTATGGGCCTACAAAAGATGACACAAAATAATGCAGCTACATACAGTATCAGTCAAATGTTTGGACACACCTACTCATTCCAGGGTTTTTCTTTATTTTTACTATTTTCTACATTGTAGAATAATAGTGAAGACATCAAAACTATGAAATAACACATATGGAATCATGTAGTAACCAAAAAAGTGTTAAACAAATCAAAATATATTTTATATTTGAGATTCTTCAAAGTAGCTACCCTTTGCCTTGATGACAGCTTTGCACACTCTTGGCATTCTCTCAACCAGCTTCATGAGGTAGTCACCTGGAATGCATTTCAATTAACAGGTGTGCATTCTTAAAAGTTAATTTGTGGAATTTCTTTCCTCCTTAATGTGTTTGAGCCAATCAGTTGTGTTGTGACAAGGTAGGGGTGGTATACAGAAGATAGCCCTATTTGGTAATGGACCAAGTCCATATTATGGCAAGAACACCTCAAATAAGCAAAGAGAAACGACAGTCCATCATTACTTTAAGACATGAAGGTCAGTCAATACGTAACATTTCAAGAACTTTGAAAGTTAGTTTCAAGTGCAGTCGCAAAAATCATCAAGCGCTATGATGAATCTGGCTCTCATGAGGACCGCCACAGGAATGGAAGACCCAAAGTTACCTCTGCTGCAGAGGATAAGTTCATTAGAGTTACCAGCCTCAGAAATTGCAGCCCAAATAAATGCTTCAAAGTGTTCAAGTCACAGACACATCTCAACACCGACTGTTCACACCGACTGTGTGAATCAGGCCTTCATGGTCGAATTGCTGCAAAGAAACCACTACTAAAGGACACCAATAAGAAGAGACCTGCTTGGGTCAAGAAACATGAGCAATGGACATTAGACCGGTGGAAATTTGTCCTTTGGTCTGGAGACCAAATTGAAGATTTTTGGTTCCAACCGCCGTGTCTTTGTGAAACGCGGTATAGGTGAATGGATGTCCGCATGTGTAGTTTCCACCGTAAAGCATGGAGGAGGAGGTGTTATGGTGTGGAGGTGCTTTGCTGGTGACACTGTCTGTGATTTATTTAGAATTCAAGGCACACTTAACCAGCATGGCTACCACAGCATTCTGCAGCGATACGCCATCCCATCTGGTTTGGGCTTAGTGGGACTATCATTTGTTTTTCAACAGGACAATGACCCAACACACCTCCATGCTGTGTAAGGGCTATTTGACCAAGAAGGAGAGTGATGGAGTGCTGCATCAGATGACCTGGCCTCCACAATCCCCCGACCTCAACCCAATTGAGATGGTTTGGGATGAGTCGGACGGCAGAGTGAAGGAAAAGCAGCCAACAAGTACTAAGCATATGTGGGAACTCCTTCAAGACTGTTGGGAAAGCATTCCAGGTGAAGCTGGTTGAGAGAATGCCAAGAGTGTGCAAAGCTGTCATCAAGGGGTGGCTATTTGAAGAATCTCAAATATAAAATGTATTTTGATTTGTTTAACACTTTTTAGGTTACTACATGATTCCATATGTGTTATTTCATAGTTTTGATGTCTTCACTATTATTCTACAATGTAGAAAATAGTAAAAATTAAGAAAAACCCTGGAATGAGTAGGTGTGTCCAAACTTTTGACTGGTACTGTACAACAGCTGGCTTGGATACCCCTGGGGGGACATGTGTCACAGTTTTGGAAACTCTGACTTGACTTTGCTCATCATAAGTCAGCACATTAAATGACTAGCTTAAGGGTCTCAGAATACACACACACACACACACACACACACACACACACACACACACACAGTTTGATTGGTCACAATGTTCATTAATGCGAGCACTCCTCTAGCTGTCTGAATCCTCTGTTTTTTAACCTTGTGCGTTTCTCATCAGGGTGTAGTGTGTACCCTGCACGAGGGAGATGACTTTGGGAAGCTGGCGTTGGTGACAGACTCAGCTCGAGCTGCCTCCATCGTACTCAGAGAAGACAACTGTCACTTCCTCCGAGTGGACAAGGAAGACTTCAACAGGATACTCAGGGTATAGTTTTATACTGTACCAAATATTATTTTTTATAACTAACCCAAGACAGACCACAGCCTGTCATTTCCAAAGGGAGCAAATTAATCATAGTGGGCAGAACAAGCAAGGAGGTGGGCAGAGCCAAGCACGAGCTAGCAAGGTCCTATTGGCAAGTTCTAGCATGTATTTGCATATTTCCGTTAGGGAACGCCTACTCTGAGGTGCACGTGTGCAATAACTAAATTTGCCCTTGCACTCCTTCTAAACGACTAAATTTTTTGAAACTTTGGCAAAGGGTGAAGTCTACAAAACTTTGTCCACTCTGTTAGTAGTTTTGGGAACATAAAACTGTATTGAGATCAAATGTTTCATTGATGAGAAGGTGCAGAATGTCGGCAAAAATCCATCTCGCTCCATCTTCTCCCACTACCGGCCACTGGGCTTCCTTTCATAACCATATTTGGTGGTGAGTGGAAATGCCAACCGGATGCTTCAGATTTATACATCCGGTGAAACATCTGTCTCATTGTTCTGTGACTGTACTGTCACAACACTGTGCAATACTGTACCATACTGTAATTTACTTTACTTTAGGATGTGGAGGCGAATACAGTGCGTCTGAAGGAGCATGAGCAGGCTGTGCTGGTCCTGGAGAAGAGTCCCAGAGCCTCTACTCTGGGAAACATCAAGTACACTGTGATGTCTGGAACCCCTGAGAAGATCCTAGACCACTTCCTGGAGACCATGAGGATGGACACACACCACTCTGACCCAGGTACACACACACCATGGCGCTTACACACACACACGACGGCACTTACACACACACACCTAGCTTACACACAGCCAGGTAGAGATACACTGTGAGTCCCTAGGGTTGAGGGCCTGGTACTGTATAGGACTGGATGATGGGTTGGTGGATATGAATGAATATCTGTTTTCTAATATTATTCTCTTTCTTCCTCTCTTTTCTCTTTCTGTCTTTTTCACCCCCTCCGCTCCTCTCAGATCCTGCGGTAGATGACTTTGTTCTCATGCACTGTGTCTTCATGCCTAACAGCCAGTTCTGCCAACTGCTCATGGCACAATATCCTTTTTCTCCTTCCAACTCTCTTCTCTTTTACTCCTTTCTTCTCTCTCCTCTTGTTTTCTCCCTCTCCTTCTTTCTTTCTCTCCCTCCAGTTTCTGTTCTTGACATATTCAGTATGTTACATATAGGTTACAGTTATGTTTTACACTGGGTATACAAAACATTAAGAACACCTGCTCTTTCCATGACCTAGACTGACCAGGGGAAAGCTATGATCCCTTATTGATGTCACCTGTTAAATCCACTTCAATCAGTGTAGGTGAAGGGGAGGAGACAGGTTAAAGAAGGACTTTTAAGCCTTGAGACAATTGCGACATGGATTGTGTATGTGTGCCATTCAGAGAGTGAATGGGCAAGACAGAAAATGTAAGTTCCTTTGAACGGAGTATGGTAGTAGGTACCAGGTGCACTGGTTTGTGTCAAGAACTGCAACGCTGCTGGGTTTTTCACGCTCAAGTTTCCCGTCTCTATCAAGAATGGTCCACCACCCTATGGATATCCAGCCAACTTGACACAACTGTGGCAAGCATTGGTGTCAACATGGCTAGCATCCCTGTGGAACGCTTTCGACACCTTGTAGAGTCCATGCCCCGATGAATTGAGGCTGTTCTGAGGGCAAAGGGAGGGGATGCAACTCAATATCAGGAAGGTGTTTCTAATGTTTGGTATATAGGATGAATCACAATAATTGTTTGCTAAAATAATAATATTTGAATAGATATATAGATATTTTTAATAGCTATATATATATTGAGGTGAGCGCATTGGAAATGCTTTTGGCGGTTGACCTGCTTCTGTTTTGTGGGTGGCACTGTGTGCTGTTTTCGAAGGATGGGTCCTGGCCTCTCGGGGGGCCTAGGGATCCGGGAGGACGGGGGTGGGATGCTGATCACTGGGATGACGGCCCAACTTGGGATGGGGAGGGGCTTTAGCGGGGGGAATAGTGGAGAACAATTGGAGGGTTACTTAGTAGCAATGCAAATATCATGGTACAGCTGTATGGACACTCAATTGGTAAATTTACAAACATATATTATGATAAATAGATTTGAAACTTGTATCTCATTATGGTAAGTGGTGAAATAAGTATAGCCAGTTATAATTGTAATGGCTTAGCAGATAATAACAAAATAACAATATTTACATGACTCAAAGAGAAGGAATATAATATCTATTGTTTACAGGAAACTCATTCAACAATTCTAGATGAAGTTGTGTGGAAAAAGGACTGGGGGGGGCGAAATATACTTCTCCCATGTGCAAAGAAACTCAAAAGGGGTGATGATATTAATTAACAGTAATTTCGATCCGAATGTGCAAATTGTCCAAACAGATCCGCAAGGTAGATTAAGGTAGATTTAAGGATTTTAAATATGTTATTGGACCATAAACATATATGGCTCATTAACCTTTACGGACCAAATAATTATGATCCACACTTCTTTGACAATATATATATAATAAATTATTAACCCTGCAAGCAATACAAGACTCTATTATTATGGTGGGAGATTATAATACTGTTTTAAATAGATCAATGGACCGTAAAGCGAATCACACTACAAACTATCATCCTCATGCTCTTAAGGAAATCATGAATGTCATGGATACATTAGAACTAGTAGATATATGGAGGCTTAAATATGCTGACCTAGTGAGATATACATGGCGGAAACTCAATCAAGCTAGTCGTCTTGACTTCTTTCTTATGTCATTCTCGTTGGCACCAAAAGTTTAAAAAGTGTTGATAGGGGACAGAATGTGGTTGGACCATCATATAATTGGCATATACATTACTCTTACTGAATTTCCACGTGGGCAAGGAGGATATTGGATGATAACTTGTTTTTAACTAGGACAGAGGAATTTATAACAGATTTTTTCCGACATAACATAGGTACAGCAAATCCCCTTATTGTATGGGACACTTTTAAATGTGCCTTTAGAGGCCATGCAATTCAGTACTCATCTCAAAAACAAAAGCAATTTAGGTCAAAAGAGTCCATACTAACAAAGGAAATAGAAGGTCTAACAGAACAGATAGATAGCAATAAAAACTGTAACATAGAGGATCAGAATAAATTAGAGGAAAAACAACAATAAATGGAGAAACTTATTAAAGAAAGATCAAGTGTAATATATTATCAAAATAAAGCAAACTGGATGGAATATGGGGAAAATGCACCAAATTCTTTTTTAATCTTAAACTTAGAAATGCTACCAAAAAGAATTTACTGAAACTGGTTACAAATGACGGAGTCACCCATGATTCACCAAATTATATTTTGAAGGAGGCGGCAAAGTACTTTAAGCATACAGTATGTTTTCATTTCAGTCGCCTCCATCTCCTCTAACTGAAGCTTTTTTTTCTATTGATAATGTAAAATTAACAGCCATACAGAAAGACTCATGTGAAGACTTTGAAAGTGTAGTTGTGTTATATCTTTAACCCTGTGTGTACCTACCATGCGGTGGCTCCCCCGGGTTCGGAGCAGGAGAGGTTGGAGTACGCTGCCACCTGTAAGAGAAGAGTCCTCAATCTGGCCCTGCGCTGGGCTGCAGTACACACACACCACCTACAGGAGGAGCCAGCAGCACTCACATTCCTGGAGGTGCACACACACCAACACACACACACACACACACACACACACACACACACACACACACACACACACACACACACACACCTGACAAGTTGTCTAAGCGTGTGTTTCTGTCTCTAGGAGCTGTATGGGAGTGTGTCCAATGACTCACGGATCCTCAGAGCTCTGAAAGACTTTGTACCCGATTTGGAGAAGGTCGTAAAACTACAGTATGTAAACCCTGACCTCTGACCTCTAACCCCCACGTGACCCTCAACCCCAAACCTTGGATGTTTAGCAACAAAACAGAAGCGTGCGTAACTATGTGGCAAAACAGACTGGGTTGAAAATTATATTTAGTCTCCAAATGTTTATTGAAAACATAAATACATTTGCACAATGTGCACGTGTTGTCTCTCAAATACATTGTTACAGTTGTTGGTTAGCTAGTTAGCGAATTTTAGCCATATTAGCATTGACATGAAATCAGTCAAAACACCTAGAAACAAGACATGGTATCAAGAACAAGATGAAACTAGCTGAAATGAGTCACGATTCCCCACGTCAGCTTCTTGTCATTGTTGCTAGCTATCTGGCCATCCAGAATCACAACAACTCAGACTTCTGCCCCAGTGAAGCGTGCGCATCATTTTGGTGCCGTCAGCTAACCCATCTATGTAAAGACAATGCATTAATACATACACTTCTGTTCTCTTGTTTCTATTCTTCAGTTCAGAAGAGGCCAAATTGAAAAAGGTATGAACAGACTATGTTTTCGGGTAGAGTCTGTGTGTGTCTGTAAAAGTGTGCGACGTGTGTTATTTTTTTTATCTCTGTGGCCTGTTTCAGCAGAAGGTCCTTCTTAGAGAGTTCAGCAACGGAGACGAGAGACTAGTGAAGAAACAACCCATCAGGAACTGTGACGAAAGTGAGTGTATTTGTGTTTGTGTCTTACTGCACTTTTTATAAAAAACATGTTAAAAACGTGTGTGTGTGTAGTCCTGTTGAAGGTGTACTGCAGTGACCATACCTACACCACCATCCGGGTTGCCGTGGCAGCCACAGGGAGAGAGGTGACCAGTGCTGTGGCTGACAAACTGGCCTCAAACGACGACCTACTATTGGTCCACCTCAGCTCCGCAGGCGGTGAGGAGCCAATCACATCTCACTTCATTTATACTGTACAAAAATATAAACGCAACAATTTCAACGATTTTACTGAGTTACAGTTCATATAAGGAAATCAGTCAATTGTAATAAATTCATTATGTCCTAATCTATGAATTTCACATGACTGGGCATGGGTGCAGCCATGGGTGGGCCTGGGAGGTCATAGGCCCACCCACTTAGGAGCCAGGCCCACCCACTGGGGAGCCAGGACCAGCCAATCAGAATACATTTTTACCCACAAAAGGGCTTTATTACAGACATAAATACTCCTCAATTTCATCAGCTGACCGGGAGGCTGGTCTCAGACAATCCCACAGGTGAAGAAGCCGGATGTGGAGGTCCTGGGCTGGCGTGGTTGGATGTACTGCCAAATTCTCTAAAACGACATTGGAGGCAGCTTATGGTAGAGAAATGAACATTCAATTCTCTGGCAACAGCTCTGGTGGACATTCCTGCAGTCAGCATGCCAATAGCACGCGCCCTCAAAACTTGAGACATCTGTGGCATTGTGTTGAGTGACAAAACTGCACATTTTAGAGTGGCCTTTTATTGTCCCCAGCACAAGGTAATGATCATGCTGTTTAATCAGCTTCTTGATATTTACATTTACATCATTTAGCAGACGCTCTTATCCAGAGCGACTTACAAATTGGTACATTCAACTTATGGGACAACCACTTTTTTGAAGGATTACTTTATACTATTCCAGGTATTCCTTAAAGAGGTCTCCGGAAGGTGGTCAGTGACTCCGCTGTCGTGGGGGAGCTTGTTCCACCATTGGGGTGCCAGAGCAGCGAATAGCTTTGACTGGGCTGAGCGGGAACTGTGCTTCCGTAGAGGTAGGGGAGCTAGCAGGCCAGAGGTGGATGAACGTAGTGCCCTCGTTTGGGTGTAGGGTCTGATCAGAGCCTGAAGGTAAGGAGGTGCCGTTCCCCTCACAGCTCCGTAGGCAAGCACCATGGTCTTGTAGTAGATGCGAGCCTCAACTGGAAGCCAGTGGAGTGTGCGGAGGAGCGGGGTGACATGAGAGAACTTGGGAAGGTCGAACACCAGACGGGCTGCAGCGTTCTGGATTAGTTTTAGGGGATTAATGGCACAGGCAGGGAGCCCAGCCAACAGCGAGTTGCAGTAATCCAGACGGGAGATGACAGGTGCCTGGATTAGGACCTACGCCACACCTGTCAAGTGGATGGATTATCCTGGCAAATTAGAAATGCTCACTAACATGGATGTAAAGAAATTAGTGCACACCATTTGAGAGAAATACATTTTTGTGCCTATGGAACATTTCTGGGATCATTTATTTCATCTCATGAAACACGGAACCAATATATATATATATATATATATATATATATATATATATATATATATATATATATATATATATATATATGCCATTTAGCAGACGCTTTTATCCAAAGCGACTTACAGTCATGCGTGCATACATTTTTGTGTATGGGTGGTCCCGGGGATCGAACCCACTACCTTGGCGTTAAAAGCGCCGTGCTCTACCAGCTGAGCTACAGAGGACCACACTTTACATGTTTCATTTATATTTTTGTTCAGTATACATATCATTTATTACTGTCATTTTCTATTCCAACGTGTGTGCCTTCTCCTGTACAGAGAAGCAGATGCTGAAGCCCAATGACGTGTCTGTATTCTCCTCTCTGAGCATCAACGGGCGAATGTTCGCCTGTCCCCGGGACCAGCTGAATGCTCTGGTGAGAGAGAATGAGGAATAGAAATGTGGCAACATGTTTTCCTTTGAGGCACAACCATACTGTACATCAGGGAGCATACATTTTTTTTCTTGAGCGGATGGTCACGGGGCCGGAACATAGGTACAAATCATTGGTAGACTGAAATTGACCGCAAGAAGCCCAAACAGATATCATATTTGACTAAAACATAATAATTTCAAACCTTGCTTACATTTGTATACGATCACATATACAGTGTCTCTCTATTATGCGCGGGAATACTTTGGAACAGATTTCCAAAATTAACATGACTTGGAGCTGTTTTGCTGGTGTTTTTACAGTATTTTTGTGTCCAACAATAAATAAAATAAATAATTTGCTCAGAAAACTTGACGGGCCAAATAAAATCACCCGTGTGCCAAATTCGGCCTGCGGGCTACCAGTTGGGGAACCCTGCTGTACATCATAGTGATTTGTAGACAATAACCCAGTGTGTGTATGTGTATCAGACCCCTCTCCCAGACCAGGAGGGGCCCTCAGCGGGGTCCATGTCCAGTTTTGAGCTGATGAGTTCTAAAGACCTGGCCTACCAGATGACCCTGTATGACTGGGAACTCTTCAGCTGTGTACACGAGGTAGACTCATACACACCCTTGCTAATTTGAGATAACCAAGCTTGTCTTTCTGTACACCTGGACCCTATAGTATGCGTTTCCTCTCCTCCCTGCTGTAGCATGAGCTGTTGTATCACACGTTTGGCCGTCAGAGCTTCAGGAGAACCACCGCCAACCTGGACCTCTTCTTACGCAGGTCTGATTTGAATCAAACATGGTATCTAAATAACTTCAATTACTTTTTTTCTAGGCAGGTTGTTGATGCATGTTACAGTATGTTATTTGACCTGCGTGGGATTGTGTGGTCGTGGTCAGGTTCAACCAGGTGCAGCTGTGGGTGGTGACAGAGGTGTGTCTGTGTGGTCAGCTCAGCAAACGGGTTCAGCTACTGAAGAAGTTCATCAAGATTGCTGCTCAGTGAGTCTTGTGCACACAAACAGTCAAACACTCACTCGTTCTGTAGATACGCACGCTCATAGATTATTGATGGTACTGAAATGCTTCTTCAGTCTCTCATTGTATTGTTGATGTTGCTTTCTCCAGCTGTCGGGAGTTTAAGAATCTGAACTCGTTCTTTGCCATCATCATGGGTATGAGCAACCCTGCAGTCAACCGACTCACCCAGACCTGGGAGGTAAACCATGACTACTACTATAGTGTTAAATTACAGCTTTTCTATACATTCACTGAAAACTGAAGCCCCTAAACCTTTCTCTTTCTGTTGGCAGAAACTCCCCAGCAAGTTCAAGAAGTTCTATGCTGAATTTGAGAGCATGATGGTGAGTTGCTTCTCAAAGACCAATTTCTATTTGACCCCTAAGTGGACAATAAAAAAAGTTATTGACCTTTGAACTGTGATGTGTGTTAACAGGACCCGTCCAGGAACCACCGGGCCTACCGCCTGACCGTCACCAAAATAGAGCCGCCAATCATCCCCTTCATGCCCCTCCTCCTCAAAGGTAAGCTCCGGTCACGATCAGTAGGCAAGCAACGGAAAACCGTTTTCAAACGGAAATCGAGGTGAGAAAGTTAACTCCTCTGTTTCAAACTGTGCTTTTTCTGTTCTCTTCTCAGACATGACTTTCAGTCACGAGGGCAACAAGACATTCATAGACAACATGGTCAACTTTGAGAAGATTGTGAGTATACACAGGCGTTCATAAGATGCTCATAAACTCTTCATGCCACTTGTATGAATGTTGTAGTCATAGAATTAGGTTGTAGTGTCAACAACCTTCATAGAACATTAATACAACTTATGTATGACATGTGACAACTGGTGTACCACACCCCCCGCAAGCCCAGCAGTTCGGGGGGGGGGGGGGCAACCCAGAAAATAAGCATATGAACACATCATAAACCATGAAAAATTGTGTAGAATAGCATGATATTAGCTATAAAACTGCACATTTCTTTCCCTGCCCCATGGCAAAATGTGTAGAATTGCAGGGAATTAGCTGTTATCCTAAACAATCAAATGGGTTGCGAGGTGGGGGACTTGCTCGGATCTTGCGGGGGGTGGGCTCGCGAAACTGCGGTATGCCACTGCATGTGACACTGCTTGTTGTTGTGTTTTCCAGCGGATGATCGCAAACACCATCCGGGCAGTGAGACACTGCAGGAGTCAGCCGTTCAGTAAGTCTCTGCTCTATCACTAACAAGTGAGCCTTTAAGCTGGACCCATAACAATAGGCATTAACAATACATCTCTCTCTCTCTCTCTCTCTGTCTCTCTCTCTGTCTCTGTCTCTCTCTCTCTCTCTCAGACCCTGAGGTGTGTCAACCCAATAAGAACCATGCTGAGGTGAGGGGTTACGTCAGGAAGCTGTGTGTGATTGACAACCAGCGGACCCTGACAACGCTCTCCTATAGGCTAGAGCCCCGCAGGACCTGAGCCCGCCCACCATCGCAGTAGTTACGTATGTGACATCATACTGAACCATCAGCTCTATGACATCATACAGAACCCTCAAGCCTCCGCGAGAGATCACAGGTAACCTACATCACTGTGACATCACATGGCTTCATCTGGCCTCTGATATCATCTGGAAAACTCAGACCTCTATGACATCACATGGAATTCTTAGCCCTCTATGACATCTTACCGAAACCCTTAGCCCTCTATGACATCACACAGAACCATCAGCCTATGCGACATCACACAGAAGAGAGATGATTAGAGATCCGAGACACTTGTTAATTGTAAGGTTACTGTACACGTAGATAGAAAAATGCAAGTACTTAAAGTGACTGAAAAAAATCTGATTTCAAAAGTAAAAACAATAGGTTTTAGGTATTTTTAGTGATTATCAGTATCCCTTACTATAAGCAGATGTCAAAAATATGAAGAAAGTATATTGTACCAGTTTCACAAATACCAAGATCTTTTACATAGTGTTATAGAGAAGCAAAACCCCTAGCATTGTTATGCCAGTGTTAAGCTCTGTTCTGAAATCTTTCCTCAAATTCTTGTTTATTTTTGCATGAAAGCACAACTCATGTAGCATATTGATATTTCTGTTAAATCAGTCATCCTTCTCAGTTGTGTTCTCTTCATGTACTTTTGTATATGTGGATACAGTATATTTGACTCTTGTTTTACCTCAGGACCGCATTATGATGTCAGTGTGTTGAGAGTGTCTAGTCTGTCTGATCTTTAAATAAAAAAATATCTAATATATCAATCAAAACATTTTATGCTGGCGGTGGTTATTGCTGATTTGGTCACTGTTTTTGTCCATGAAAGTGATGTCACCCTCTCTGTCCCCAGTTGATGATGTCATCAAAGTCGTTCCTGGTTGGTCGTGTCACCATGGTCATTCCAGACTGGTGATGTGACTGTCCCCCTCATTCCTGGTGTATGTGGTGGGAGTGTGTTTTTAGTTGCTGAGTGAGTGAGAGACAGGGTTGGTTGTCAGACTAGAGAAGAATCGTTCTCTAGCCCTGTGTCTGACCTGTGAATTGTGTCTGACCTGTGTGTGTGATGCCATGCATGCCCTGAATGCTAGCAGCCTTATTTGAACTGACAGCAAGAGGTCACACACCGAACATCCACCCCATACATACACTGGGAAAGCAGAGAACAGGCAGGCGAACAGAATGTGATTAACACACACACACACACTCTTATCTCTAACTCTCGCTCTCTTTCTCGATCCAAGTGTGTGTGTTCTGTAGTCTCACCACAGGGTGGCGCCTCAGCACCTGGCCTGAATGAGGGAGTGAATGAGGTCTTACTACATTTACTGAGAGACTCTCGCTGTCTGCTGTCTCTCACTTCATTCTCTCGCTCCATTCTGCTATCGGGTGTGATCAAACTTATTCTCCCTCCTACCTTTTCTCTCTTTCTCTCTCTCCGTTCCCTCGCTCTCAGTTTGCTCTGTGTACTCAGAGCGGCTGTCGTCGAGTGTGTGTGTGTGTGCCAGTATGCCATGTCGTCTCTGAGTTCGTCGTTTGTCCAGATAAAACATGAGGACCTGCGGTTCTATGAGAACTGTGGAGGGGGCAGCTTTGGGAGTGTGTACCGAGCACACTGGATATCTCAGGATAAAGAGGTTGCCGTGAAGAAACTACTCAAGATCGAGACTGAGGTAAGACCGAGACACACACACACACACACACACACACACACTCAAGTGATTTGGTATGCCTTTCCTCCATGCCAGTCATTTGATTTGAGACAGCTCTCTCCTGTTCTCTCTCCAGTTCTCTCCAGTTGCCTGTGTGTTGATTTGGTTTAAACACTCCTCTCATTGTGGAGTACAGTATTTGTTTATAACATAGGCTACTCCTATTGTGTGAAATAAGGTATGGGCTAGCTATTTCTTAGGTGTGTGTAGTACTGCAGTTCAGTGATTCCTAACCAAATTCTGGGTCATGGACACGCCCCTCCTTTTTTCACAATGAACAAAAGACTATGTCCTGCCACATCCCAGTCTAAAGTTGTGACCCAGTATAAATTGGTTCCCGAACCAGCAGAAAACCCTGTTGTGGGTTATGGTGGCCTGGCAGTGACACTGTCATAAAACCCCCTGACTTCCTCCCTCGAGGGCTGAATAACTGTTAGTACATATGCTGGCAGGGGCACTGCTGATCACATGCACACACACATGTGCACACTCACGCATGCACACGCACATTCACGTGCCTGCAAACAGACACATGTATGTTTGTGTCTGTTTGCAGGCACGTCTGTTTGCAGGCACTTCTCAACAGCTTCTACCCCCAAGCCATAAGACTCCTGAACAGCTAATCATGGCTACCCGGACTATTTGCACTGCCCCCCCACCCCATCCTTTTACGCTGCTGCTACTCTGTTAATTATTTATGCATAGTCACTTTAACTCTACCCACATGTACATATTACTTCAACTAGCCGGTGCCCCCGCACATTGACTCTGCACCGGTACCCCCCTGTATATATAGCCTCCCTACTGTCACTTTATTTTACTTCTGCTCTTTTTTTCTCAACACTTTTTTTTGTTGTTGTTGTTTTATTATTATTTTTTATTTATTTAAATAAATGCACTGTTGGTTAAGGGCTGTAAGTAAGCATTTCACTGTAATGTCTGCACCTGTTGTAGTCGGCGCATGTGGCCAATAAAATTTGATTTGATTTGTATGCATGCACATACTCTGCAGGAATTTTGCTTTGAGAAACTCTAGCCTTGATGCTTGGTTACAAAACAGTTGGATTGTGTTACATGATCATGTTCCATGACTCTATCTAGTAAGAGGTTGATACAAGTTGTTTGTGTTCTAGATACGGCCTGTTAGTGAGTTGATTGATTGCATGTTTGCCATGTTGACGTTGTGTTCCTAAGTGCTCTGACCCTAACCTTAGCGTGAAGAAGTTCATACAGTACACAGATGCATAGCAGAAATACATTCTGTACAACCCTCAGATTGCTTAAATAAAATGTATCAAAATGCATTATCATAGAATTAGGAATTAGATTACTAACACTGCAATTTTAATAGGATTTCTAAATTATGACTCATACTCTTACTGTAAGTTAAATACTGTGCATACGCTCTCTCCTCCTTACCCCTCTCTCCAGGCTGAGATTCTGAGTAGCCTCAGTCATAAGAATATTATTCAATTCTATGGTGCCGTACTGGAGTCCCCCAACTATGGCATCGTCACAGGTCAGTGTGTGTTTCCTGATACACATTTCTGATGGACATGGAACCACAGGTCTATGATCAACATTTAGGCCACTGAGCGTGTGTGTGTGTGTGCGCTGAGTTTCCTGGCAGGACATTTGTAACTTAACCCAGGTTTTTATGTGTCTACTCCATGTGGTCATATGGTTGAGATCAGCTCTGTGACAGCACTGCCCATATGACTTACAGAACACACTACCCAGTGTGTGTGTGAGCCTGATGTGCTAAGCTGTGTTTGACGTTTCTCAAGTCGTTGTGATAAATAAGTTCAGGTTGTGAGTGACAGGAAGAAAATTGTTGGACGATCTCGAACCCTGTTCTCTCTCTGTGTGTGTGTGTGTGTGTGTGTGTGTGTGCATGTGCTATTTATTTATGCAGTTAAGTGTTTATTCTGCACTACACTGTACTGTATATTTCATGTAAACTGTCCTTGGGTTTTAGAGAGACATTATGTTACACACTCCAGTTATTTTTTAACTTTTCTTGTTGAAAAACAATATCCCAAGTATAAATACAGTAATGTATACACACTTAACGGTGAGCGAAAGAGTTATTTTTTTTTACACCTGCAAACTTCAAGGAGTAGGGCATTCAAGGAGAGGGTCTGATGTGATGTCATCGGCCTCCCCCCTCGCTTGAGGAACAATAGAGGAGCAATAGAGAATTAAAGAGGAAAGGCCCACCAAAGAGAGAGGTCGCCAAATCACCTGTGGGCTAAATTCGGCCCGCGGGCCGCCAGTTGGGGAACCCTGGTTTACAGTACGTGTTGTGATCTACTCTACAGAGTATGCGGGCGGAGGTTCTCTGTATGAGTACCTCTCCAGTGAACAGAGTGAGGAGATGGACATGGAACAAATCATGACCTGGGCCATGCAGATAGCCAAAGGTAAGGACAGAGGGTTAGATTGACCCATGTTTTAAGTCTTTAAGTTCCCCTGTACCTAGAGAACCGTTAGCATGCTAATTAAGCCCTTTGGTTTAGTTCTGTCATCTATGAGAAGGCAATAGGAGCATATTCTCATCTGGTGTGAGGATCAGTGACTTGTTTGGAGACTGGTAGCCATTGTTTAGCCGAGTTGTTAACATTTTGCTGGTCTGTTATTGGTTCATGGCTGAGGATGTTTAATGTTTCTGTCCAATAGGAATGCACTATCTTCACTCGGAAGCCCCAGTCAAAGTCATTCACAGAGACCTCAAGTCACGAAACGGTAACCAACCGCACACACACTCTGCAACCAAACGTATATCTACCCTCCAGGACATCCAACATTTCACGCACTACTGCTGCTACTTAATCATTTTCAGATGTGAACTAATGGCTATAGTTTCATACTTGGGGAAAGCAAAAACCACAAGTAGAACCCCCCCACTGACTCATCTCTTTGTGTCTCAATACAGTGGTACTGACAGCAGACAAAGTGCTCAAGGTACAGTAGGGTCTCTAACAGTTATTGTATGTTCCACTTATCCATCCATGATTCTTTTGTAACTAAGTGTCCCAATGCCGTCTCTCTCCCTGGTGCGTTGTCAGATCTGTGATTTTGGAGCGTCTAAGTTCCAGTCCCACACGACCCACATGACCGTGGTGGGCACCTTCCCCTGGATGGCCCCAGAAGTAATACAGAGCCTACCTGTATCAGAGACCTGTGATACATACTCCTACGGCGTGGTGTGTGTGCTGGAGGGGAGGCATTTAATATTTTCTACGTCAAGTGGTTTTTCAGCCAAATATTGAATGTATCATTGTGTGTATGTGCGTGCATTCCCAGGTGCTATGGGAGATGCTGACACGGGAGGTTCCATTTAAAGGCTTCGAGGGGCTGCAGGTGGCTTGGCTTGTTGTGGAGAAACAAGAGGTACCCACACATCCAAAGACACGTTGTTCTGATTTTAGGAATAGTTAAGAGCTTCAAGGGGCTCAGGTTCACTCACAAATAAAAGACGGTCATATGCAATACCAAACATAAAACAAACACAACACTGAACAAGCAACACACACAGAGCTAGAGTAACAATGTGATGCTCTCATGCTTTCCGCTGTGAGGAGGGTAAGGGGTATTTTTAGGGTTGATGTCAGCTCTCTGCTCTTGTAAGGCATGGATACTCTGCTGTGGAGCTAGGCCAGGACGTGTAGTTTTACTGTGTGTGTGTGTGTGTGTGTGTGTGTGTAGGGGGTTATACTCCGTGCTTAATTTGTTCACTGACAGATTTGCTGCACATTCCCGACTATAGACTATGCCTTGGCTACACACAATCCACAGCTAGGCAAAAACGAAATAAGAAAGCTCTTGATCCTCTGTGGCTAAATTATAGGCCTACTCCTGGTGTGTTATTCTGAATTATTTCATTTCAGTGAATCTCAATCTAGTTATGTGAGAGATTCAGGCGCGCTTCTCTCTCTCACCACCGCAACGGCCATGCGTTAGTCTATCTCTAGGCTACAATGTTGCGCAAACCATAAACTGACTCAACATCAATCAATTCTTAGAATATCAGGCATGTTTTCACATTACGCTTTTTTTTTAGGGTGCAGGAGAATTACAGAGGAGGCAACTCGATTTTAACACTGATTGCTTTTATTGGACTTTTTACATTGCAAACCGTGAAAATTATTCTTCATGCTAGGAGAGGTACCTGATCCGGGCAAATAGGTTCCGGAATGAAACAGTCCATAACTGAGAAGTGCCAGATCCTGTTCCAGCAGGATCCGGCTCAAATGAAGCATTGGTTATACTGTGTTTGTGCGTGCGTGTGGAAGGGGGTTCCAACTGTGTGTATTCCAGTAATAGTGTACTGTCACCCATAGAGATCTGAGAACATGATTCCTGAGTATCCTAGCATACTTTTGGATGGGGTCCAATAGTAGTCCCTAAATAACCAGAGCGAGAGAGAGGGAGAAGGGGGGGGGGGGGGGTGACCATTATACTAACCGTTACTGAGAGAGATTTATTTCAGTTTTAATCCCCCCCCAGAGGAAACTGTTTCCATATCCCCCTGCCCTTCTCAGTGGATGTATCCTATAACCCAATGTTTCCCAACCCTGGTCCTCGACTACCCCCAACAGTACACAGTTTAATTGTAGCCCTTGACAAACACACCTCATTCAACTCATTGAGGGCTTGATGATTACTTGACAAGTTGAATCAGGTATGCTTGTCCAGGGTTACAATAACAATGTGTACTGTTGGGGGTACGAGGACCAGGGTTGGGAAACGCTGCTATAACCTGCTGTTGCTATGTAATGCCCCCCCCCCCCCCCCCCCCCCCCCCCCCCCCCCCCACTGGAATTTAAAGGCACAGTTGACATTATACTGTAACTGATGGGTTACTGGTTCAACTCCCTGCTGATCGGGGACTGTATCCCCTCTAAGACTACATTTTAATGGGGGAGCCTCAGCATTTCCTACTTCATATTGTGAGTGTGTTCCTATGAGTGTAATATTCCTCTGAGTGGGTGTGTGTGTGTGTGTTCCAGAGGCTGACCATCCCCACCAGTTGTCCGCCTAGCTTCGCTGACCTGATGAAGAAGTGCTGGCAGGCCGAACCAAAGGTGAGAGGGCAAAGGTCAGGGCTACCACACAATCATCTCCATATCTGGCTCTGGAGATGCCAAATCCTGCACACCCTATACACTGAGTGTACAAAACATTAGGAACACGCTCCTAATATTGAGTTGCACCCCCTTTTGCACTCAGAACAGCCTCAGTTTGTCGGGGCACGGACTCTACAAGGTGTCGAGTGTTCCACAGGGATGCTGGCCCATGTTGACTCCAATGCTTCCCACAGTTGTGTCAAGTTGGCTGGATGTCCTTTGGGTGGTGGACCATTCTTGATACACACGGGAAACTGTTGAGCATGAAAAACCCAGCAACGTTGCAGTTCTTGACACACTCAAACCGGTGCGCCTGGCACCTTCTACCATTCCCCGTTCAAAGGCACTTAAATCTTTTGTCCCGCCCATTCATCCTCTGAATGGCACACATACACAATCCATGTCTCAATTGTCTCAAGGCTTGAAAATTATTCTTTAACCTGTCTCCTCCCCTTCATCTACACTGATTGTAGTGAATTTAACAGGTGACATCAATAAGGGATCATAGCTTTCACCTGGTCAGTCCATATCATGAAAAGAGCAGGTGTTCCTAATGTTTTGTACACTCAGTGTAGTTCTCCAGGGCCAGAGTTGGACACCCGAGCAGCTGGTGTTGACCCTGAGCTCTCAAGGCTAGCTCACTATGAACTGTTACAGAAGCCTGAACTATAGTTAAAGTCCTAATGTGCTAAGTTGGCTGTGTGCAGACTACAATTCAATTTGAGTCTTAGTTGAAAGATATCAAAAGTGTATGTGTTTTCTAGGAGCGTCCAGTGTTTAAGCAGGTGTTGGGGACTCTGGAGACCATGTCTAAAGACAGCAGACTACCAGAACAGTGTAACTCCTTCCTACACAACAAGGACCAGTGGAGGTACAATTACAGTTTGTGTGTGTGTGTGTGTGTGTGTGTGGGGCTCTGTTTCAGACGTGTGTGTGTGTGTGTGTGTGTGTGTAATGTATGTCATATACAGGTGGTAGAGTAAGCAGTCTGGATTGTTTAAGCTCCAACTTTCTGCAGCCAGACACAGGACAGAGAGCAGGGCTCACTGTATACACTCACAACTTAACAAGAGGCCCCAGTGTGTGTTTATGTGTGTGTGTGTCTCAGGAGAGAAGCTGAATGCATGACCCTGCTGGCTCGTTGGCTTTGGTCTATAATAAGACTATGGTACCTATCCATGTAGGAGATTCCTCTACTTAGCCTGTTTCTACCAGAGCGAGAGAGAGCGAGAGAGTTCACAAAATAAGCATTTAGGGGGCAGCTAGAAGTCAAGTACGGGAAAAAGAGGGGAGAGGGTGCTGTATAGAGGGGGGCAGAAATGTAAAGAGTGCATGTGAAATATACAAACTGAGCGAGAACGAAGAGAGACAACAAGGAGTAGAGAAAGGAGGAGGGGGGAGAGGGTGACAGATTCTGTTTGTGTTTGACATGAGTGTGGCAAGATAATCAATTATGAGGGAGGTATGGAGAATGGGTGGAAAGATCTGGGTGAGAGAGGGAGGGAGAGCGTGAGGGGGAATCGAGGGGAAGAGGGAGGGAGGTTTAGTAATAGAGGGAGGGGAAACATTGTGAAGAGGAGAGGTGGAGAGAAGTAGGGAGAGGCGAGGAGTGGGATTGGGGGTTGGAGAGGGGGAGGAGTTTAAAGAGAGGGAAAGAGGGAAAAGTTGAGGGGGAGGGAGATATGTCCTTGCGTCAGATGTCTGTGTTTATTTAGGTGCTGTGAGAGCTGCTGGTGTTTGTGTGTGTGAGCGCGCGAGAGAGCATTCCATTATGTCCCTTTATATCATAGACTAAACAGTGCCACATGCTGGAATAAACTGGCAGTACGAGACAACTGCTAGGTTTCAGATTACAGCGCTTTCAAAACAGAGCAACTCGATCCCATACTGTCTCTTAAAAGGAAAATGACTTACCTTGATAAAAGTTTACTAAGCCACTGCCACTAATTTCTAACATTAGCATTGATGACCACAGATCAAGGGAAGGGACATGGGCATATGATTAACAGTAGGTCTCCTCTCTGTAGGTGTGAGATAGATGCTACGTTGGAGAGGTTGCGGAGGCTGGAGAGAGACCTGAGTACCAAAGAGAAGGAGCTGGAGGAGAGGGAGAGAAGACTGAGACTGTGGGAGGAGAGATTGATGGAGAGGTCCAATGTCACCCCTGTGAGTAGCCTACATATTTGCCGGGTTTCAAAGACCATGATGCTTCATTCATAAACATTTTCTATTTGTTTTACAACCTTATTTGAGATTTAGATATTAGAAACAGTCATGTTGTATGGTGTCAAAGCCCCGCATCCCTAGAGTAACAACACATTTATAGTGTGGTTAATGATGACATCTGGGTTGTGTTCAACTGCCCCCCCCATCTCTTTCTCTCTTTCAGTTCTTCTCCCCCATAGCATCAGGCATCAGCTCGGAGTCGTTCTTCCGTTCTCAGTCTCAGGAGTCCAACAGCGCCAAGATATCCTGCCTTATCAGAACCCTCAGCAACGGAGAGAGGGAGAGGGGGATGGAGGGAGGGATAGACAGGGGGATAGGTGGGTTCCAGTCCATGATTAGGGGCTTCTCAAGCAGTCTTGGGGAGGCGGATGGGGATGGAGGGATAGAGGTAACCTGGGGGGAGAGAGAGAAGGAGAGGGGGACGGAGGGAGGGATAGAAGGGGGTCGGCTGGAGCTAGGGGAAGGGGGGAGGCTACAAATCATGCTAAAGGGGTTCCAGGGTGGGATTGGAGAGGTAGATGGGGAGACAGAGAGGGAGGAGAGGGGATGGGGGGAGACTGGGAGACAAGAGGGATGGAGGGAGGTAACGAAGGAGGAGAGGGTGGTGGAGGGGGGGAGTGTGGAGGGAGGGAGGATGCAGTCAATGTTTAGGGAGCTGAGTGGGGGGAGTATGGTTGGGTTTGGGGATATGCTCTCTCTGGATGATATTGGGGGGATAGAGAGGATAGGGGACATGGATATGAATATGAACATGGGGGTGGTAGGGGTCAGGGGTGACATGGCTAATGTTGGGGTCATAAGTCATAAGGTCAGGAGTGAGTTAGGGGTCAGAGGTCAGGGGGTGAGGTCGGGGGTACAGGTGAGCATGCGGACAACATCCAATCAGAACTCTTCTAAGACCTGCAGCGTACGACAGGGAACCAAAATCAATATGGCCGCCACCGCCGCGACGCTGGACATGAACATGATGGACCTGGGCTGGTCTGACGACGACAGTGACTAGGAGAACACACAAACACTATTTTGTTTCTGTTATGTCATTTTCTTTTTTAATTGAAGCCAAACGTATACACGCCCCTGTGTGTGAGGACTGTAGGGGATAATGGTGAAGAATTATGAGCAGTGTGGATTTCCTCCTGCTAACTGTCATGTTGTTCTGGGCCCGGTTTCCCAAAAGCATCCTAAGGCTAAGTTCATCCATAAAGTTCTAACAATGAACTTAGCCTTAGGATGCTTTTGGGAAACCGGGCCCTAGTCTATTGAAGCTTTTAAAGTGACATGTAACTGATGTGCCATATTAACAAGTGTTACATAGACCATAGAGCACTTGAACACCACTCCTTTTTAGATGCTAGGACTAGGTAAAGGGTACCATCCAATGTTTTCTGCTTTTAGATTTGTACACTTGTTAGACGATACAGTTGATTTGTTCAAAATAATAAGCTTTGAAGTAATGGGTTCTTACTGTGATCAAATGTGTGAAACTATTTTGCAGCTTGTACTGTATTGTTTTTCAATAAATTCAGAAAAATACAGATATATTCATACTAATTCATATGAAAAAACTTAATATAGCTTTATACATTTTCATATAGCTTTCAGGTGCTAAAACAGTACTATACAAATTCCTTTTATATTTCAATAGCAGCATGAAACCTGGCTTGAGGGATATGTAGTAAAACATGCGTATTTTACATAAAATAACTTTTCTCACACTTAGCAACATAATGCAGAAAATACACACCCTACGAATAACTAAAGAAAAAACTACCTTGCCTCTTTCCAACCTCAAAAAAGCCCTTTTTAACCAACAGTCTTGTAGAGCATCAGGCCCCTCATCCTTCTCCACCTTCACCTCATTTCTCTCACAAGCAGAGTTCCTACCCTGACAGCTCACACACTGAGCAGCAGTGCCACCCCAGCCAGTACCCACTTGGCTGGTCTCTCTCTGGTCTTGAGGCTGAAGGTCCAGACATAAGTGGTTCCTCTCAGCTTGGTCTTGTACAGGGGACACTCATAGATGTTACGCGTCTCCTGTCTGTCGTTAGGTACGGCTCGGACTGAGATGACTGGCATGGAGGGGGTTAACTCCTTCAGACGAGCCTCAGTGATCACCCCACCCTGAGTGTCCCATCTTGCACCTATGGGACAAAGAGGGAAAAATGAAGATAAATGAACTAGGATGTATGTGTTCATGAGAAGGAGAGGAGTGTATACCTTCCATGTATAGTCCGTATACGTATGCTCCCTCTCTGGCAGGCTGGTTGAACTCTTCCTTAAATTTCTTAGTCACATCCACAGTCAGGTTCATCTTATCTAACGGCCACTCATTCTTACGAGCCAGAGACTGCATCACCGCTGGAGGGAGAGAGGGTAGTTGAGCAAATAATTCCACTGAACAGAGAATACCAAGAGGCAACTGACAGTTACAACATAAGTTGGTTGGGTATGTTGTTTGTAAGTGTGTAGGGGGATGTGCGTGTATGTTACCTGTTAAGAAGGACTGTGGGTTAAAGAGTCCAGACAGCCAGACGACGGTGGGCAGAGCCAGGTCCTGTGTCCAGCTGTCCAGCTCTCTACAGCGCAGCAACACGTCATTATACCTGGTAAACACACACACACACATAGCAACACATCATCTTAAGTACACGTTGGGACAGTGGGAGAGTACACACAGTGACTCACCACTGGGCCAGGCTGTAAGTGGAGGGGTAGGCCAGTTTGGTCCAGGTGTCTGGGACGTTATCAAAGAACAGAGCTGACTGGATCTGCTCCATCTCTGAGGAGATAGCCAGCTCACCCTGGAAGGAGAAAAAAACATCACTGTTATGAGAGACAACTACCAATTCACCCTTATGTCATCTATCAGTCCTAGTCTAATTTCCCAGCTGACCCCTAGCCCCTAACCCACCTTCAGCCCCAGGTCCAGCTCCTTGAGTGAGCGTCGTATCTCGTAGATGAGCGTGTTCATACGTTCACACTCCTGGAAGCAGACCAGGATGTATGGTGATCTCTCAGCAGTCTTAGACGTGATGTCTGACATGTTGTACTCTTCTGGAAGCTTCTCCAACACCTCGTCTAGGATGGTCTTCACCTGCAGGGAGGATGAGGGATGAGTGTGTGTGGGTCCGCTGTATGTGTGTGTCTGCTATGAGTGTGTCTGTTATGAATATGCCTGGTGTGTGTGTGTGTGTGTCTCTCACACACACCTTCTCCTCTACGGTCTGTGAAGCCCCCTCTCCCATCACAGAATCAGGTGACTGCAGCTCCAGCAGTGTGTGGAAGAGGTTATCAGAGGTCACCGTCAGAAACTCTATCTCTGCGTTGGGGTGTAGTCCATAATGCACCGGGCTCTCGTGGGGCAGCATCTCATCTACGTAACCATGGTAACCCTGGTAGTCCAGGTTGGAGGGAACCACAAAGCCCGGAGCCAGAGCCAACTTCCTGTCAAACTGGTGAGAAACAGGATGGAAAGGGTGTAGGTTTATTTTTAACACTATCATCACAATCGTAACACACACACACACCTGGTTGGGCTGCATATATTCCTCCAGGTAGGTTCTACAGAGTCTTCTGTCCCAGTCGTCTGTGATGTGACCTCCATACACGATCTCTCCAAACAGATAGCGCAAGTCCTCCCACGGCACCTAAACATGCGCAAGCACACACACGCACACACAAAATACATGAACAATGACTCATCATCATCATCAATATAAACATCATCAATCATCAATACAGTCATGATCATCACCATCCTGATCACTATACCACGGTAAACAGTGACCTGTGAGTTGGCCTCCAGGTAGTTGTAGAGCACGTTGACAGAGATGGTGAGGTCTCCAGTGTTAAAGGGGTATTTCCTGTTCCAACCCTGAGGACCGAACTTACGCCTCTCAGCCACACAGGCATGAAAATAACACAGAGAGAACAGGATGGTCTTAAACTCCTGCTCTCTACTGCACTGATCCAATATGTCCTACAGAGAGATAGACAGAGAGAGAGAGAGAGAGCGAGAGAGAGAGAGAGCGAGGGTGGTTGTGGAAGGAGTTTGTGGGATATTGATAATATACAGTTGAAGTCGGAAGTTTACATACACTAGACATTAAAACTAGTTTTTCAACCACTCCCATTTCCTTTTAACAAACTATAGTTTTGGCAAGTCGGTTAGGACTTCTAATATGTGCATGACACAAGTAATTTTTCCAACAATTGTTTACAGACAGATTATTTCACTTATAATTCACTGTATCACAATTCCAGTGTGTCAGAAGTTTACATATACTAAGTTGACTGTGCCTTTAAACAGCTTGGAAAATTCCAGATAATGATGTCATGGTTTTAGAAGCTTCTGATAGGCTAATTGACATCATTTGAGTCAATTGGAGGTGTACCTGTTGATGTATTTCAAGGCCTACCTTCAAACTCAGTGCCTCTTTGCTTGACATCGTGGGAAAATCAAAGGAAATCAGCCAAGACCTCAGAATAAAAATTATAGACCTCCACAAGTCTGGTTCATCCTTGGGAGCAATTTCCAAGCGCCTAAAGGTGCCACGTTCATCTGTACAAACAATAGTACGCAAGTATAAACACCATGGGACCACGCAGCTGTCATACCGCTCAGGAAGAAGACGCGTTTTGTCTCCTAGAGATGAATGTACTTTGGTGCGAAAAGTGCAAATCAATCCCAGAACAACAGCAAAGGACCTTGTGAAGATGCTGGAGGAAACAGGTACAAAAGTATCTATATCCACAGTAAAACGAGTCCTATATCGACATAACCTTAAAGGCCGCGCAGCAAGGAAGAAGCCACTGCTCCAAAACCGCCATAAAAAACCCAGACTATGGTTTGAACTGCACATGGGGACAAAGATTGTACTTTTTGAGAAACTGGCTCTCATGAGGACTGCCACAGGAATGGAAGACCCAGAGTTACCTCTGCTGCAGAGGATATGTTAAATAGAGTTACCAGCCTCAGAAATTGCAGACCAAATAAATGCTTCACAGAGTTCAAGTAACAGACACATCTCAACATCAACTGTTCAGAGGAGACTGTGTGAATCAGGCCTTCGTGGTCGATTTGCTGCAAAAGAAACCACTACTAAAGGACACCAATAATTAGAAGAGACTTGCTTGGGCAAAGAAACACGAGCAGTGGACATTAGACCGATGGAAATGTGTCCTTTGGTCTGGAGTCCAATTGGAGATGTATGTTCCAACTGCCGTGTCTTTATGAGACGGGTGTGGGGTGAACGGATGATCTCCGCATGTGTATTTCCCACCGTAAAGCATGTAGGAGGAGGTGTTATGGTGTGGGGTTGCTTTGCTGGTGACACTGTCTGTGATTTATTTAGAATTCAAGGCACACTTAACCAGCATGTCTACCGCAACATTCTGCAGCGATACACCATCCCATCTGGTTTGGGCTTAGTGGAACTATAATTTGTTTTTCAACAGGACAATGAACCAACACACCTCCAGCCTGTGGAAGGACTATTTTACCACGAATGAGAGTGCTGCATCAGATGACCTTGCCTCCACAATCCCCCGACCTCAACCCAATTGAGATGGTTTGGGATGAGTCGGACCACAGAGTGAAGGAAAAGCAGCCAACAGGTGCTCAGCATATGTGGGAACTCCTTCAAGACTGTTGGAAAAGCATTCTAGGTGAAGCCAGTAGTGTGCAAAGCTGTCATCAAGGCAACTGTTTTTTAATTTTTTTAATTTCACCTTTATTTAACCAGGTAAGCCAGTTGAGAACAAGTTCTCATTTACAACTGCCACCTGGCCAAGATAAAGCAAAGCAGTGCAATAAAAACAACAACACAGAGTTACATATGGGGTAAAACAAAACATAAAGTCAAAAATACTACAGAAAATATATACAGTGTGTGCAAATGTAGAAAGTTATGGAGGTAAGGCAATAAATAGGCCATAGTGCAAAATAATTACAATTAGTATTAACACTGGAATGATAGATGTACAAGAGATCATGTGCAAATAGAGATACTGGGGTGTAAATTAGCAAAATAAATAACAATATGGGGATGAGGTAGTTGGGTGGGCTAATTTCAGATGGGCTGTGTACAGGTGCAGTGATCAGTAAGGTGGTCTGACAACTGATGCTTGAAGTTAGATAAGTGTCTCCAGCTTCAGAGATTAGGATAAGCTAAGATAAGGAGGGGATTTGCCTAGAAGTGATTTATAGATGGCCTGGAGCCAGTGGGTTTGGCAACGAATATGTAGTGTGGACCAGCCAACAAGAGCATACAGGTCGCAGTGGTGGGTAGTATATGGGACTTTGGGCGGGTGAAGAGCATGCATTTCATTTTACTTGTGTTTAAGAGCAGTTGGAGGCTACGGAAGTTGTGTTGTATGGCATTGAAGCTCGTTTGGAGGTTTGTTAACACAGTGTCCAATGAAGGGCCAGATGTATACAAAATGGTGTTGTCTGCCTAGAGGTGGATCTGAGAATCACCAGCAGCAAGAGCGGTGTTTGAAGAATCTCAAATATAAAATATATTTTTATGTGTTTAATACTTTTTTGGTTACTACATGATTCCATATGTGTTATTTCATAGTTTTGATGTCTTCACTATTATTCTACAATGTAGAAAAACCCTTGAATGAGTAGGTGTGTCCAAACCTTTAACTGGTACGGTATATCTTTTTTTATAACTTTGGAGTGTAGTTTTAGACGTTTTTATTTGAGCTACTGCTGGTTCTTATGTTGCGTTTTACACGAAAAGGCTATTTAGCCTACTTCTATAACGCATTTTAAGCTAGTCCTTCAGTCAGTCCTGACATAGAAGTAGGCCTGTATGCTCCCCACTTCAAATAGCGATTATAGGCGAGCACCTATTTGTCCCTAGGCTAAATGCTCATTATCGGAGTAGATTGCTAAAGTGAAATGACTAACGCACCCTTTAGGGGGAAGAAGAGTCTGGTGGTGAACGAGATAAGCGCGCACCTGACAGAGGTGCCAATTTAATTTGACAGACCATTGAGATCCATGCAAAACACTCGCAGATACATGTTATTCATCCATTGAGGCCAGAAATATAACGCTGTAGCGTAGCAGTCACTCAAAGATTATTTCGTTTTCAACGTATTGAGCTAGGCTATAGCAAATATGAGGCAAATTCTATCATGGCGAAAATCTGACTTTATTTATTTGTGTTATTTATTTATTTTTGCCAACATCAAACTTAATCTTTCACAAAATCGCCTCTATGACATGCCTCTTTATTACGACGGGGACACACAATTTCAGAACGCTCGATTTCAGAACCTTGGACAATTCCGATGTTCACAACCATAACAGCCTTGAACTCAAAGCACCTGGACAACCCGTCTTTACCTTTCAATTAACGAAGAAAATATTGAATTATCTTTACAATTTTTCACATATCAACTTGAAATCAGTGAGTAATATTTTTGTTTTGCTTTGAAATGTTATATTGCTCATGTTTATGAACACATAACCCTAATGTCTATGCTTAATACTCTTTGATTTAGATTATGTCCCACATGGAACCCTATTTCCTATATATTGCACTACTTTGACCAGACTCCTATAGGCCTTGGTAAAAAGCAGTGCACTATATAGGGAATAGGTTGCCATCTGGGAGACACCCAGAGCTGAGCTAGATAGGCCTACTGAACTGATGCCATGCATTTCATTTTGCTAATATTGAAGCATTTTGTTTTCCACAGGCACTATTGACCATGGGATCCGCAATGTCTATCTCACTCCGCGAGAAGGCAGTCCACTTCAAAGATGGGCCGGACACGGTGGGCCACTTCTTTGAAGTCCAGACCCGTAAGAGCGGCAAAGACAAGACCCTGAAGCGCTACTCGCCATGGAGGTGGATTGTGAAGAAGAAAGGCTCCAAGAAGGTGCAGGCCCACGAGAACACCAACCAAAACAACATCGCCCATCTGAGTAACGAGAACCTGGAGAAGTCTCAGTCCTCCTCCAACTTGTCCACCCTCACCCTGGAGAAGTCTCAATCCTGTGACAAGCTGTCCACCCAGTACCAGAGCACTCCAGCCATCGCCAACAGCTCCAACAACGCCGCCTCGTCGGTCGAGAAGGCCCCCTTGACCAACTCCAACACGGCCCCCGACACGCCCCAGACGGTGATCGTCCAGGACCTCGACACGCCCAAGAGGCTGGTGATGGTCCATGCTACAACCGGCGAGCTGCTGCGCTGCCTGGGTGAGTTCCTGTGCCGGCGCTGCTACCTGATCCAGGACATGTCTTCCATGGACCCGGAGCTGTGGCTGCGGGTGGTTGACCGTTATCTGCTGGACAACTGCTATCAGAACCAGAGCTGCATCAACCCGGCCATGGTGGTCTTCCTCTACATGCTGTGCCGCGAGGCGGTCTCCTCCGAGGTGGCCACCTTGCATGAGCTGCAAGCCGTGCTGCTTACCTGCCTCTACACGACCTGCTCCTACATTGGCAACCAGATCTCCTACCCCCTGAGACCCTTCCTGGTGGAGACCTGCAGGCAGACCTTCTGGATCCGCTGCATGTCCATCACCAAGCTGATGAGTGGTAAGATGCTCCAGATGAACACAGACCCTAACTTCTTCTCCCAGATGT